CAGCAGAAATTCTCCCTGTTACTTCGGGCGCAGACACGCATGACGTGAAACGCCTTCTTTTGGCAGAAGTCCGCGTTGCGGTATTCCACATTTCACCTTACGCCTGGTCAGGTGCATATGCCGAAGCATGCCAAAAATGGCTGAGTTTTGTTGCATGTTGTATTGAACACCAATGTGATTTTATTTCAGGAGATGGAAACCTATTTGCCCAACGCAGTTTCAAACAAGATGAGCATTCCGATTTTCGGACATCCATCATGGTTGATATTCTTGAAAGATTTCTTCAACAGGTCAATTTACAGCGCAGTCCCATCAACCGCACTACGTATAACGTAGTTTCATCCACGATGGCAAGTGAGTATCTTCGAAGCATGGAAGGCAAAAAGGCCGACTGCGATTCTATGATTTTAATTTCCTTACGTTACGGTAAACAAGTTGCAGTTTCTGAAGCTCGAGGCAAGGAATTTGGATTCAACAAAGATTCCGCATCTGCGGATGGACCCGTAGGTTCAGCCTTTTCCGATGAAGTCATGTTGAACGACGTAGAACAATTGAAGCACCTTTTGACATATGATTTGGGTCTTGCCGAAAAAGATTGTGCCTATCATTCTCCCTTGTTGGCCTTTGCACAGTTGAAAGCTCTTAAAAACATGAGAATCCGATCAAAAGAATCTGAGGACCGGAGACGTGCACGCTGGGGAGGACTCAATGAAGGTTATAAAGAAAAACGTGACGATTGGCAAACTGAACGCAGAGAACGCAAGGACAGTGTTCCGCCTTTGCGGAGAGATTCCTACCGAAATGTTGGTGAACAGAGATCCCGTTCCACCAGTCGCATTCCTAGCAGCGATCGTCGTCCACCGCCGCCACCGGCGCCTGTTCGACCACCAGTAACACCACCAAAAACGCCACCGTCACAACAACCACGTTTTAAGGCTGCACCTCCCTTCCTGAAAGAAGCACCGACACCATCAACAGCCACACCTCCGGTCAAAGCACCACCTGTACCGCCTCCGCGGTCTGCAAGGTCACCAAGTACTGATCCACCTGTTGCTTCACGTACCGTGGGAACATCTAGCAAAACGCCGCCTTGGCGAGAGCGTGAGCAGCGCCAGAGTACTGCTCGAGGTCATGAGCGATCTCAGACCCCGGTTGAACGCAACACACGAACACGTACCCAATCTCGGTCAAGCTGGACTGACAGGAGTCTTCCTACTGGAGTTCCTGAGCCACCGCCGCCTCCGAGCCGCATGTCGGGATCGCAGTGGCTAAACTAAACCAAGGCTACCAAGAGCCTCCATCCAGCTCAACTTCGTCCCGGTATTCCGGTCAATCTTATCAACAACCTTATTATCGCAACAATCGAAGAACTTACAATGTTGAGTATGTTCCTGGCTATCAAGTTCCACAAGATAGATGGATCCGAAAGCATGATGGCCAATGGATAGATTGAACAATCAATTTATTTTCACCAGTCTCGTAATCAGAGAAGAAACAGCGAATTGTTCCTGTACGGATATACCTTTCACACGTAGGTCCTTCAATTGTCAATGTGCCGAATTTTCGGCCAGACAACAGCTTCCTGCCTGTAGCTTTGATTTTGGTCTTCGGACACGTTTCACAACAGAACACAAGCTGAGCGCTTCTTGTGTAAAAATAGCTGCATGTTCCGGCACGAAGAAAATTTGGGTCTGTTTGTAAATCACTTTTAAGGGGACGTGTCTACACAATGCATACATAACAGTTTGCATGTTGTACATGACATGTTCACATAATTCACTATTTCCACTGCGCCACTTCGCTGGCTCAAGACTACTGCATTTCCGCGTAGAAAAGAGTGCAGCTTGCGCTGGTAGACTACAAGGGTTTCGTAGATTCCAGGGCTCCCTCAAAACGGGGATAGCTACCTCACCCCCCACCCCACACCACATCCACAAGGCGGGGAGGGATACATAGACATATGCATATACACATACATTTACATACTGTCTACATTTGCACATACACATACTGCATACGTATACACACAATTACACACATAGATAGAGAGAGAGATATATATATATATTTATATACACATACTATTTCTATGTATATATAAATAGTTAAATATATATATATATAACTTACATATACATATAGGGACTATCACCATCTCGGGGGGAGGGGGGGACCACCAGACACTGGGCCTTATATATACTGTATATATATATACATATGTGTGTATGCGTGTATGTAGTGCAGTATATTTCAATGTAGTGTAATTTAAAGTAATGCAATGTAAAGTAATGCAATGTAATGCCACATGAGGTGTATGTAGATGTAGATGTATGTGTATCTATACAGTTCTGTACAGACATACATATATGTATATATATATATACAAATTTGATTATGTTTGCATTTAAACATCTGTGTGCAATGTGGATGTGTGCAGTGCGTGTATTGAAGTAAAAAAAATGTGTATAATTATTTGAATTCATATGTACACATGAATAGCTAGCCCTGCCCTCTCAGCGGCCACCCTTTCTGGCAGATATATATATATATAGACGTAACTCTACCTATTTCGACTACAGAAAAGAGCAGACACTTTTCCGCAAAAGAAGTGGAATTATATCCTAAACACCTCACCTAAAACATACAGGTGCCGGGCATCTGAGGGGGCCCCCGCTGTTGTCACTTTTCAAACATTTTACAGGGGGGACCACAAAACGCTGAAAAGCGAAACTTTAGCATCAGGAGCAATTTCATCATCATCATCATCATCATCATCATCTGCATGTTGATCATTCTGGAGATGGCACTTTGGCAAGCCCCTTTTTTAAGCGGGGGCAGCGAGACGTCCAAGCTTATGCAAAGCTTTGGCGACATCCATGTCTTGCGACAGGTGGGTATATCTCCAAAACCAGCTGTGCGCGTATTCGTACAGTGCTGGGTTCAATTTTCCTTTCTGCAAGGTTGTGATGCTACGAGGTAGCCAACTATCAAGCTGGTCCCAGTTGCGGTCAGCTAACTGGGTTCCAGCCTTTGTACTGGCTCCTTTGTACTTAACTCAGATTTGTGCAAGTGCATGAGAACGTACAGCAGCGTAGCATGACGTATGTGTGCAAGTGCATGAGAACGTACAGCAGCGTAGCATGACGTATGTGTGCAAGTGCATGAGAACGTACAGCAGCGTAGCATGACGTATGTGTGCAAGCATGCGTACAGCAGCGTAGCATGAATGTGTGCGTACAGCAGCGTAGCATGACGTATGTGTGCAAGTGCATGAGAACGTACATGCTATTTTTAGTGTAATGTCAAAAACTGACAACAGCGGGGGCCTCCTCAGATGCCCGGCACCTAAAACATACCTCCAATTTAGACTTAGAATCGTCCGCACGCAGTCCAAATCTACAAAAGACATTGTGTCCCGTTGTCTTATTTGCGCGTCTACCATTCACAAGTTACCTCAAAAATTCTACCATTGCAAGTACGCCCTTGTGTCATGCACAAGAACCACAATACCTCCTCTCTCTGCAGTACCTACTGTTTGTTGGATCATGCCTACTCTGATTCGAACCAGTCAAAAAATACTGTGGTATTATGTGGTAGGTACATAACTACTGAGCCACACTACCTTCGGCTTCACTGCTCAACTGGCGCAACTGGACCCTTTTTCATGTGTCCATGGCACAACTCTGAAATCCTATGCATCGACGTAGCATGAACGTGTTTAAGGATGTTTAAGGTGCTTTTGTCTTTACGTGTTTCCGTCTGTCCATGGACATGGATGCATGCACATATGGATGGGATGGAACGGGATGCGATGAGATGGGCGAGGATGCAATCTTATGTACTGTCACTGTAATGTAGTGCAACAAATGGATGGGTGGATATGTGCCTGTATGCGCGAATGTACGTATGGAATTCTACGAGCTGATGCGTGCATGCATGGCTGGAGAGGCGCAAGCAGACATGTAAGTATGCAAGGCGATGTCAGATTGTATACTAAAAGCTATACTATAATGTGACGGAATGTACCACAATGGAACACAATGTACCGCAATGTGATGCGTTGTTCGCACACAGACACGTATTGACGTGGCTGGCACGTCCCCAAGGTCTGAATCGGACGACCCTATGGCAATAATTGCACAAACACGTGGAGAAGATTGCGTCTGCAAGGGCAAAATGAGGGATTGCAACTGGATTCTCAGACATTTTCAATGTGGGCAGGCCGAAGCTGAGCCAAAGGCTGCCTGTTCAGGCGGGTTTGCACGCCTCAAAGAAAATACATTCAACCCTTCGGACAAAACCGTGTCATTGGACAATGCTAGGCTGCATACATCGTCTCACCAAGATATATAGGCAACCACGGACACCTGGGGATTCACTCTCGAATGACACGGGGTTACCAAGCAGAAAGCTTTGGGAGCAGGTCTTTCCCATAATACTCCAGCACGATCTTTTTACTAATTCAAGTGGCAAATAAATCATTTGGAAAGATTGAACAGATGTGAACAAATGTGAACAGATTGTGTGAAGTTCTATACCTGGGTTTGATTTGCTGCCGATTCCACCTGTGAGGATCTGGGCCACAATTGTGCACCTGAGGTTTGCAAATCAAATAGGATAATGACGAGGCCAAGGTTTGCTCAGTGAAAAAAAGCATGGACGAATCATTTAGATTCATTTAGTCGCTCAGCAGAAGGCAGCGAACTTGCTCGAATCTCACTTTGGGTTCACACACAAACATCTGGCATGCTCCCTTGGAGCGCCTCCAGCAACTGGTGGAAATTCAATGGCTTCAAAATGCTTCAAACTCTTGAAATTTGTGTTCCACATGGCATCCATGAAAAGCGGATAAAAAACTACCTCCACATTCACGTAGATCTTTGATGTGGCCTGGCAAGTTCAAAAGGCGACAACATGGAGAAAGGACAAGGCAAACTCATACAATCTCTAGCAATTTCATAAGACTTCAACAGCTTTCAACAGTATAATGTCGTAATATTTCAATATATTTCATGTGTATATATATAATTATATATAATTGTCACATTCACTTTGCCCCTGACCAACCGGCTGAAGAAAAGGAAGTTGGCTGGTCGTCCAGGCTGAACACCCATGGCCTGAACCAAGCTGCAAGTGCCGCGAGGGTAGTGAAAACATGTGAAAACCATTCGCAGTCATCACTCAGCCATGACCATTCGGACCATTCGGAACATTCAGATCATTAACATAAAGGCCGTTACAGAACCAGTAAAAGCCTCTCAAGTTCCCTAAAGACATCCCAATTTCAGGGAATGTTTCTGTCAAAACGTTTGCAGCAGATTTGAATAGATTTGAGCATACATGAGTCGAGCCTGGGGGAGTCCAAGCCACAGCTCTGTCCATTCAATGACGTAGCCATCCTCTCCACGAGAAATTGACAGAGTGCTTTGTGATACCTGATACCTCCTGCAACCATCTCGTGCAGCCACCCCTGCTCAATTCTTGGTCCTTGCCCTGGTCAATGTCTTCAGCCGCTGGACGCAAGTGCTTCTCTGCCTAAGTGACAAAGCTAATAGCAGGATGTTTAAGACTTTTCCAGCTTCCAAGGACGGGACGAAGGCAATGATTGAGAACGTTGCATCCTGTTCACACAACAATACCAACCAAAATGCTTTGAAACTCATCCTTGCGTAAATCAAGTCAGGATTCACAGACAAGCAGGCTGTGGACTACTGGCTAGCTAAGCATAGTTTCAGGGTCCTCCGCACTGTGGACCCCGATGTGAAACCTTGAATCAAACACTCGAAAAACTTCCGACTGTGAAGAGAAATATTTCAAAGAACAGGTCGGGCGCCTGTGAGAAAACACGAATTTCACGAGACTGTCCGAGGCAATTGCTGAGGCAGAAAGCGCAGAAAGCTCAAAATGTCAGGCTCTCTGAGAAGCTGGCCAACCAGTCGGATGAAGCCTTCGCTTCGGATCATCCTCAATGGAACAAGGTGCAAAGAACTTGCAAAGAAGGTGCAAATGGATTAGAAAAACAAGCACCAGAATGATCTGGGCAAAGATGGAGGCACCAGGACGACACGTTGATGTCTGGTCAACGGATTGGATGGTGACTTGGTCGACTGGTTGGATGAAACAGAAACAGGTTAGTGCAAGATAAGCCCTCTCTCCGCACAGCATATCTTTTCTTGCACTCACGATGAAACTTCTTAGCCATTGAGAACCTCCCAGAGGTTTCGGTAGTTATGAAAGTGACAGTGCTACTAAGTAACACTGGGTCTGAGTCGTGTTTCACTTGGACACAAACTGAAAACACAAACCAGCTGTTTAAGGTCAACAGACACTTCAACAATTCACCCGGGGGTACAGAGACCCAAAGAAGAGAAAGAGAGAACTGTAAACCCACACTTAGGCCCACCCCCCTATCACCCCGCAGAGGGGATCAAGGGAGGGTGGGTGGGACAAAAATCAAAAGGGATCAGACTTAAGCCCAAAGTGGCATCAAGTCTGATCTCAAAAACTCAACCGTGTTTCATGCTACATGAAAGACCCGTTCCCAACCATCCATTCTTTACATGTAGACCAAGAAACAGGTTAGTTTAAGATAAGCCCTCTCTCCGGACAGCATATCTTTTCTTGCACTCACGATGAAACTTCTTAGCCATTGAGAACCTCCCAGAGGTTTTGGTAGTTATGAAAGTGACAGTGCTACTAAGTAACACTGGGTCTATAGCCGTGTTTCAGCTGGACACAAGCTGAAAACACAAACCAGCTGTCTAAGGTCAACAGACACTTCAACAATTCACCCACTGTCCTTCAAGAAATCCTATAAAACACCCACTGTCCTTTCAAACTACTAACGCTGCCAAGGAAGAAAGAAAATGATCTGGGAGGAGATCATGCGGAAAAGGATAGTCATGAATGAGCCAACCCTGAGCCACAGTCCATGGGTCATCGATTCCTAAGCGACTCAAGCCATCGGCAGGATTTGAAAAAAAAATCGACCCATTCCCACCAAGTGCGGGCGCCCAATCGGTATTGAGCGATCATGTGCACATCCAGCTGTTTGGAGGAGCCACGGACTAGAGATGATGCGGCTGCTTCGTTGTCGATGTACCAAATCACATCGGTGTTGCGGAAACGATCTGGATGCAAGACAGGAACCATCAAGCCGCATAACGTCTCCCCTCGGTAGATCTGCTGACGACGGGGTGCCCAAGAAGCCAAAGTCGCGGTCGGTACAGCACAGCTGCCGCCAATGGTAGGTAGGCAGGGGTGGAAGATCACCCAGCCCAGGCGGAGGATGCCTGCTTCAAAGGAAGCGTCAGAGTAGACGTAGACAACCACTGGTTCCTTGGATGGGCCGGCGACAAAAACGTCACGTGGGTCAGCATGAGAAATGATTATATAATTTCTTCAAGCAGTTGGAGATTCCAAACCTGTAAAGGAGTAAGCCTTGGGTCTGAGCTGGTCTGTTTCTCCGTGAGAAGTGGCCCAGCCAACTTGCCCACGAAACCAGCACACATGCTCCAAAGCCAGTTGATGTCACCACGTAGCTTACCTGCAGTGTCACGGTCCAGGGACTTGCAAAATCGAGCTTCTCGGAGACGCCGTTGGACCTTCCACATAGTGGGTGACTTCGGCTGGAAGCAGGCAAATCCCGCAGAGAAAGCGTCACCAGTGTGGACCGACGTACCCGGGTAATGTCTGTTGCAGGCTGGAGGAAAGCTCTTGGAAGGTTGCGGCGAGGCCCCCATCAACGAAAAAGCAAGCTGCAAACCACATTTTGTAACGTCAATGTGCGTGATGAACTCGACAGAAAGCTCGTCGTCGAAGTAAGCTGCAGCAAAACCAAGCAGACATCGGCGCATGATGGCCACACCGAGTTGCGGGAACCTGTTGAAGGCCACAACAGCAGATTCAAGTCCGCAGGCTAATCCCCATAAAATCGTGAACCGCCAGCCTAGCCCAGAGACGTGGACGGCCACCATGGAGAAGCGCAGATGGTCTTCGCATACAGGTAGCCTACGGTAAGCGTCCGGCAGATCGTCGGTGCCTATCCGCAGCTGGAGCCACCCAGGGCACTCAGCTGGGAGGGGCTCCGTGCCAAAGAGCGCCTGTGAGGTCATGCGGGCAGCGGATGCTATCAAATCCACCGATGTGGTCGAAATTGTCTCGGACATGAGTGTATGTTCATTGTGTCCTGTTTTGCGCCCATTGTCGATGACCCGGCGCTTTCCACATCCCTGAACAATAAGGAAGCGTTCCAATGGCCTCCATTGCCCACGCCCGAACGGATCATCTAGTTCGAGACGGGTCATGAAGGGGCTACAGAATCAAGTCCTTGGCCTGCTTGTGCGCAAGATCCTATCCACTGCCTCCTCTGCAGGTGGCCCCAACCAAGCGTCGACAGGGAGCTTGCTCGGCTGAGAAATCGGGCGGAAAACTCCTGATGGTGCCACTTCGCCTACAATGGGATAGCCAACCACGAGGTGCTTGCCCTGCTGAGTGTTCGGCCAGCGTAGGAGCGATGTCATGCAGCTGACAAAGGCAGGGCCAAAGACGATGCACACAGAGCGATCCCGTGGTGTCGCGATGGAGCCTTCACTCAGGATGCCAAGGCCTCTGGAGTCGGGTTTGGAACCTGCTCCAGGGCTGTTTTCTGCCAGCGATGCCTGGCCAGATTGCCCCGCGGCGCCTACACGGCATTGGCCGACCTTTGCGGCTGGCTTCATTGATCTGAGCTGGCCCCTTCGGATATAAAAGAGCCGTAGTAGTCAATCCCCCCTTAAGTGTTAATGCTTTACTGGGCAGCGATGTACCCAATGGAGGTTTAATTTTAATTCTTACTACCTTCATTTTGGGCGGGGTCATTGGGGGCAATCTGCCCAGTGGGCTTCTGCAGCTGTGCGGTCGTCACCCATGACTCTTTTCTCGTAGGTCCCAGGTGTTAGGAAAGTTTTGATTTTGTCAGCAGGGAGGTTTTGCATGCATACAAGTTTAAGCCATCCTGCTGTGTTTGTCACCAGTATTGGTATGGCAGCCTTTTTGGGGCCCAATCCTCCCAATTTTGCCCTGTGTGGGCGTGAGCTCATCTCCGGTTGTCACCATGAGTGCTGTGGCCCGGATTGACACCCTAGAGGATGACAGAGGCCTCAAGACGTGCTTCGAGGCCGCCAATGTGGAGAGCGCTTGGATGGAAGCCTTCGTCAAGGGCCATGGCATTACTACGCTGGACGATTTTGTCTACTTGGTGGATGGAAAAGCTTGGGAAACCAGTCTTCAAGACCTGCTGAGTGGTATCGAGGCCCTGAAGAACAAGCGGCTGATTTTGGCACGATTCAAGGCTGCCTACGAATCGGGGCTCTCAGCCATTCAGCACTCCCAGGCCCAACCGAAGTCGGATGAAGTGACTGATGCATTGCTCCCTGACTCGACTCTTAACCAGGTCTCAGCAGACTGGAAGAGGCGATATGGTGTGATCTTGGATCCAGCGATGCCTTGAGGTCTCGGGTTTACAAAGAGTTCCAGAAGCAGACCATGACCGTCATTGAGGCCCGATGTGTTCGCAGCATGGTCCACGTGAGCATCCCGAAGACCACTGAGAATGTCAGGCTCGGCTCTCTGAGACCATCCAGTTGCAGTTCCAGGAGGAGACATCAGTCGCTATTAGCAACATTGTGGGGTACTACTGGGCCCTGCGCGTCATCACCAACGCGTGGAGCTGGGGCGGCCTCTTTGAGGCGTCTGACCACCATGGGACCCGCAAGCTCTTCATCAGCCTCACTGATGCCCAGCAGTATGCGGACTTTGCCCTTCGCAACACTGTTGAGTTTGGACAGGGGCCCTTGGTGTGGCTCCAGCGCAACGATTTGCTGACCAGATCCAAGATGGCCTCGCTGATTCGCAGGGGCTATACTGGCGGCTCTGCCCTGACGGAAGCTGCCAAGCAATGCCACCTTGAATGGCATGCCCCTGCCCTCCAGGCGTCTTGGACCTGGAGCAGGGGCGTGCGGCCGTGCCCAAGAACCGGCCGGTGCCTGAGCCCGAGCTGCCCCCATTGGCTAAGCGCCCGAGGATGGTAAAGGCAGACGCCAAGCAAACTGTGTCAATGCTCAAGGGCGGCAAGGCTCTCTGCAAGGCCTACAACGACCAGCGTGGGTGCCGTGGTTGCGAGAAGATGCATGCCTGCGACATCAGGCTCCCATCCGGCCAGGCATGCTTGAGTACGAAGCACAATCGCCTGACCCATCCAGAGGAATCTCCCCGTGCAAGACCCGAGTTGTGCAATGGGCTGATTCCGATATCAAGGCGCTGCCCAATTTGGATACCAAGCCAAGTGCGCTTGAAGCTCCGAGGCAAAGCTACCACACTGTGGATGACCAGACTCCAGCCTCCTTGTCGTCCCTTTCAGAAAAGTTGGCGGCCGCCAAGCCAGTTGTGTGGAGAGGTAAGGGCGACCTCCCCCAATTCCCCTGTCTTAGACCTTTGGGCGGGGGTACTCTGGTTTGTGCACCTCCCTGCTTTCCATGGGGGTTCATTTCTATGCGCTAGCGGCCGAAGTTGACCCTGTGTGCCGCGCTTGTGCTCAGGAGACTGTGCCCAACATTGTCCATGTGGATGCGGTCGAGCACATCCAGGCGCGCCATGTTGAAGAGGCGACAATTTCGTGGTATCATCTTGGGCGGTGGCTCACCATGCCAGGGCAATAGTGTTCTGAACCTGAGCCGAGGGGATCTTGCAGATAAGCGTTCCCTCCAGCCTTCACTTCTAGCTCTTCATGTCGAGGCAGAGGCCTGCAAGCCTCTTTGACACCACCGGTGGATTGGGACTGGGTTCCCACTGCTGGCGGCGAGGTGCCTGAACTGCGCTACAAAGGGAAGAAACCAATCCCATCCACTGTCACATGGCTGGATGGCTTCTCCCCTCGCCTTGATCCCTCCAAGGTATTAAAGTCTGGAGGCAGGCACCGGGGCCATGCACACTTTCACAAGAGAATTTTATCGCCCCAATGACAGGATTCGCCAAGTATCTGCAGATGCCGCTTCTCGGTTTGAAGAGGACCACCGTCGGTTTCCACCCGGTTCCTACGAGGAGCACAGTTTGGTGTGGAAGCAGGACCGATGGCGACAACTGTGCCCCGAAGAGAGAGCTCAACTGCTGGGCATGCCTCCGGAAGCTGTGTCAGCTGTCCGAGGTTCAGAAGCCCGCCAGACACAGGGCAGGAATTCCCTCCTGGGCAACGGTTTTCACATTCCATCCTTGCTGGCAATTTTCATGATGCTGCCTGCCATTCTGGATGCTAAGTTGGTTCTAGCCCCATCGGCACCGGACCTCCCACTCAGAAGCTGGCTCCAGGGTGGTATATGGGAACCGCAGCGGCTCGACTCCTTCCCTGGATTGCTCACCAGCACCCAGATCATCAGAGACATGCAGTGCTGTTTCGAGGACATCTTGATACCAGAGCCCATTTGGAGTGACGTGGAGCGTAGGCTCTCACATTGTAAGCTTGCACGCCTGCAGGGCTTTGCTGCTTGGCGACGACTTCGAGGAGAACCTTGGCAGTCCCTTGGACCATCTCCCTTGTTGGCTCGAGACCGGACTGGCATCTATGCGGGATTGTCTGGGCAGCGATATGCTTCCTCGTCTGCGAGAGGTCTTGATCATCTGCTCCCTCCGGGTCTGGGGCCCACATCGTGAGTCTTTGAGCCCTGGCGGAACCAATGCATGTCATCTACCACCTTGTCCAATGGTGGCAAGCCTTCCAGCTCCTCTCCCTTGCCAGAGACATCACTGGCTGATGAGGATGTCGTAGAAGATGACTCCTCCCACTCGGATTCCGATCCTCGCACCTTTCCTCAGCACAGGGCTCTGCAGGTGGGGAATCGCCAGCCACCAGTCAAAGGAATCGAGGGGTCCAATGCACTGTCCGCATCGATGCTCACCTGCTCAGACGGAGGTGGTGGCTCCGCAATGCCCATCTCCAGTGGGGGCATGGTGGCGTTGGTCGCCGTGAACTCCTCCCAGGTCCAGGCGTCGCGGGGCAGCAACTTCATCTCTGCGACGGCAAGCTCGCCCATCTTCCGGCGGAACAAGGCCCAGAACCTGGTGAGCACGGCCTGCTTGACCAGGAAGGACTGGTGACATTGGCTGCCACCTGTCGCCCCAGAAGCCAACAGGCGCGACTCTTCACTCGGGGATTTGGGCCCCCTCCAGCGGGGACCTCAACCCAGCTACCCACAGCCTGGAGATCGTTGCCTTCCAAACCAAGGCAAGTAGCCAGGGTCGGTAATGGAGGAGGTACTCCAACCTGGATTAAGGCTCCACGGAACAGCTCGAGGAAGCGGCTCCTGGACATCGGCCGATCAATGATGAACGGGGTAGCCTCGGACACATCATAGAGGCCATCACTCTGTAGTTGAAGGCTTGGCCACAAAAAACTCACCCCAGGTAGAGCCTCATGTGCCAGGAACTCCTTGATCACCTTGAAGAGCGAGAACCCGTGTAAGGAAACTTCTGGCATGCACCATGCGTAGCCAGGATGGCCCCCTGATGCGCTTCGTCCCCTGCTTGCACCAAAACTCGGTCCAGTCTTTGTGATGCGCGGTCCGTGTGCTGCGCTGGATGTGCTCGAAGCGCACGCAACTCACCGCAGTCATGATGATGAAGGCCAGGACGATGAGGTTCGTGCCTCGTTGGGAGGCGGCCCAAAGCACCAAGTTCACAAACTCCCACGGTTGGAGTTCAGGCGCCTGTGCAGCTGTGTGCTCGGCCGGCAAGAACTGGAATGGCTTCACCAAGAAATGCTGGAGCCCGAGAGGAAGGCCCATTTCGTCTTCGAACCACCGCAGGGACTGCCACAGTGCCGCTGCGGCGGTCGGACCTCCGCGGCTGGCCTCCTTAAGAAAAGCCGCCAGCTGCAGCGGGGTAGGCTTGCGGATGGAGCACTGGTGGGCCAAGGCATAGCGTCTCCATCTCCGAAAGGAACTGGCAAGAGCTCCCAGCCTCGTAGCCGACAATTGGCTGGGTTGTGCCATCACCGTCTCCTTGAGCTGCTGAACCACTGCCGGGTCCTGGATCTGCTCGGTATCCAAACCCAAAGCTTCTAAGTCCAGGACATCTTCCAAAACAAGGCGTCCACCTTCCGCTCCTTGGTCGCCTTCTCCCGGGCATGGGGGTCTGCAGTCGCCGCCTGAGACAAGATGGGTGGTGAAGGCAAGGCCCCCTGAGTGATCATCTGCCTGCACGGGCTCTCCAGGGTCCGGCGCAGCATGGATGAGCACTGTGGATGCCCGGTCTTGGATCACTGCGTCAGTCGCCCTTTGCACCTCCTGGTGTGATCTCCCAGAGACCATGGTCCAGAAGGCGTGTATGGTCGCCGTCAACCTACCATGTGCAACCTCATATTCTTCCACCAAGCTGCTGCCACTGGTCCAAACCATTTTCACATCACGGCAGGTCTGGATGCCCACTGCCTGAAGGATCTCCAGCAGCTTCGGCGGTCTCCCTTGCGCCGGCTCCACGATCTGTGGGTCCATGCTGGATGGGGATGATACGGATTCGGGCATCTGGTTCGACGCCCTCGCCCTCTCGCGTGAGATAGCCGGTGATCTCGATCGCCCCGTCGTCAAGGTATCCATGCTCCCCCCTCGCGATGGCATTCCCTGCCTCCCAGCTGATGCCATCAGCTCTGCGCTGCAAGCACACCTCCTTACTCTGGTCGCACTCAGTACAGACAGCAGAGTAAGGGAATGCGCTGTCCCCAGATCGCAGAGAGCGGCTGTAACAGCCTTCGCACCAGGAGGCGGTCCAAAGGCCGCAGCAGGATCACGCCTCTGTCAGCTCCTCACCCCTGAACGTAGCCAAGGTGAAGGCCGCCCGTGCCTCTGGGTTGGCCAAGCGAAGTGACCTCGGCAACTCTGCAGGGCGTGGCACCTGAAGCCACTTGCCAGCCAGCCGGACCAAGGCTTCCAGATCAGTGGCGGCGATGGGGGGCATAGACCCAGGAGATCCCACAAAAATCAAAAGGGATCAGACTTAAGCCAAAAGTGGCATCAAGTCTGATCTCAAAAACTCAACCGTGTTTCATGCTACATGAAAGACCCGTTCCCAACCATCCATTCTTTAAATATAGACCAAACTACAAGGTGGTCGAGTGTTACTTACCTGCTGAAATCGGAAGCAACCAGCCTGTCAATTGGGACTCGCTGGATCACTTGCGAGAAAGAATGAAACGTTAGTTGGCCAGAATACTATGAATACTTCTGACATCTTCTGACCGTAGCCAGAACAAATTAATTTCTCAACTCCAAAGAACTGGCTCCAGTTTTCCAGAATGATGAACTCCCAACAGCGCCAGAATCTGGCACATCTGATGCTGTGGTCACACAGCAACTCTGAACACCCAGTAATAAACTTTAATAAACCGAATTTGACACTTTGCATGCATGAAGGTGATTCCTACACACAGGTATATTATTGTTATATGTGGCATAGCCTATCTTCACACTTTTAGGCTCATGTCTAATGTTGTCTATATAATAGGAATTACATGCCTGAATTGAACATTATATAGCTGTAATCAGCTTGCATGACCTGACTGCCAGTAAGACTGTGGAATTGTCGACGCAGTAGATTTGTCAGAGTGTTTCAGAGTGTTGAGATGTGTGGAGACGAAGTGTTTTGCCGCTCTGTATACGACTTGTCTGAAGCTCTGGCTGATGCAACTATGATTTCATCATCTCCTTGAGTTGCTGAGCGCCTAAACGTGAGCAACAGATCCCGAGAGATTTTGCAATGGCATGCTGTAGTGCGAGTTAGCGCAAGTTGCTGTATATAGTCACTATATGTCACTATTCCAGGCAAGGCTGGGAGCGTGACCATTGAGAGGTCAGGTGAGCAGGTCTCTGGTTCACCTACAACATATCACACCGAGCATCCAACGCACCGCCACTGCTCACGGGATTGAAGTGGGAAAATCAATTGAAGTGTAAGGAAAGCAACAGCAACGCAGAACAATTTAAGACAGGTAGGCAAATAATGCAGCAAGGGAATGCTGATGCAGCTTTTGAACCATTTGCAGGGAATGCTCCGAGCCGATCCTCCTCATGGGACATTGCACAGTCAGGATCTCCATCAAGCTTTGTCAAATACACCTGGTGCTCATACGGACTTCACTGTGTCTGCATGGCACGTGCAGCGACTTCGTGAACCTACTAAGTAAACATTGCAATCATTACATTATATATCAAATGAACATGCCAAGTGTCAGGCGTCAAGTGTCATGCCACTGTCATGCAATTTTCATGCCACCAATAGAATGTTCAACCTCGATGTCTGTGTCAGCACTGTCCACATAGAACTTGTAAAAGCTGGCACTGTTCCTGAGTGATCAGTGCCCAGCGGAATGATATGTCAATGTTCAATAGATGGGGAAACAACATCACATTGGTGAAATGCACCGTTGTACAAAAAAAAACTATCCTACAGCAGGTCAGCAGAAATTGAAATGGGTTGGTTTGAGCAAACAACTGCACCAGTCAAAGTTGTGTCTAGACATCAGGATCCAGAACAGACGGGTAAACGTAAAAATCATCCTAGCTGCATGACAATGTTGAAAGCATTTGAGGTTTCTGCTTCTTCACAACACCGAATGTTGGTCTTCCCAGCTTCAACCATTGAATCGAATGTGGCAAAGTGACCTGCCAGCAGCTCCCTAAAAAAGCTGAAAAGACAAGCAAACATGTTTTGCATTACGAAAGTCTTGAGGATGTGACTGAGACAACAAACGGAATTGGCACCAAGCCATGCCTGAACACGAGAGCTCCTGTTTATCTCAGTAAAACCATGGCAAAGAATGTAACGAGTTGCTTGTTCCTCTCTGGAAAACTGGAAAACTGTTCAGTGACTGTGACAAAATCTAAAGAAGGTATACCCACATATTATTTTGTCACAGGTAACCACGTAGCCCACAGAGTTTGAAAGCAGCCAAGTTCGTACTGGTATTTTGGAACAACATATTCGCGGCACATCACCTTCAAGACCTATGTTGCTAGGGATCTAGGAGTCTCAGAGGCCCTGAAGAAATTTGAATGTCCATCGGGTTTCTTGTTTGCAACATTGATTGGGTAGAAATACCTTTGTAATACCTTTGCAACATCCTCTTCCTTCTCCTTTGGCACTTGTTTTTTCAATCGCTAGATTTATGTTTACAATACCAGCAGCCTTATGTGACCAATGCAGTTGCCATGGCCGGCAAATGACACAACATGGCGATTGACAGGAACCATTTTAAACCGCTGTTTGAGGGCAGCAATTATGTCATTCAATCAAGTCAAATGTTCATGGACAAATTGCACGGTCAAGTGTTCTGAAACATCTACACAAAACCCGCGACAAATATTTACATAAACATCAACTGTTTATGCGCAAAGCCCACCTCAGTCCTGAACTGCACACTTCTCAGTAAACATTGATTCGAACGCTCTTTGTCACCCCTACTGAATCAACTAGCTATTGAATAAATTATGCGAAGTACTGACACTTGCCTCATTGAGTGAAGTATGGTGAGTGAAGGTTGCCTCTTGCCATGTGTTCGCGAAGTTTCTCATCTAAACATCCATTGATTTTACATACCATACATCTCATACATACCATACATACCACACATGCCATGCACTCGATACATACATACCACACATACCACATTCCTCATACTTGTCCATGCTATGCGATTCCATTCCGTTCCATCCTAACCATACACACAATTCTTTACATTAGGTTACCGTGCAGTACCTTACTTGTGCCAGGCATGAAGAGTAATGTGTAAACTCAAGAAGGCCATACAATGTGTAGCAAAATTAGTGGCATCCGTAAGTGAAGAATGTCAACATAGTTTGTCAACTGCAAACCTACGAATGTCAGGGCCTCTTGATGACAGTGATGTAGTATGTTCCTTCCTTGATGTCATCACTGGCCACCTGCTCATGCGCACACCAAAACAACTGTCGAAATGCCGGTGAAAAAAATGGACTCGCCTCGCCACTGAACCACCCCCTGCTTGCCTCACATCTCGAATAATTACATTGTATTACAAAGCCAAAGCTTCTGTCTATTTAGTCTATTTGTATCTTCGGGCTTTCATAAGCTGTCAATAAGCTGTCAAAGTCAAATTTGACATACAAAGTGGATGTGTTGCATCTCCGCTGACTCTTCTGGAGAGATGGTTTGCTTTTTGGGTGGTCACTTGTCACCATGACCTGACCAAGTGCTGCACATTTAAATGCTCATCAGCCGCCATGGGGGGCTTGCCGAATCTAACCTTGCCGAACAAGTCGTCATGCATGATTAAACGCTAGCTCACTAAGGGCATTGAAGCCCATTGAAGTGTAAGATCCATACCAAAAGCAGTAAATGCTTGGTCGAAGTCGCATCCCGTGGCCAAGCACTGGCAAGAGGGAATCATAGTGATTGAAGGATGTTCGTATCATGCCTATCAGAGCTAAGTTGACCGACAGACTGTCAGGAAAAACCAGACAAAGGACGAGGCAAGCAAGCAGACAGACAAACATTTGCACCACAACTCCTCAACCAGGAGCGGTGCTTACAACCATTTCTAGGTGGGGTTGGTGGGTGGGATAAGGCCGAGATCTCAACGCGGCGAACCTGCCTGAAAGTGATGCGTTCCTTCTTTCCAGTCTCCATATCTTCTTTACACCTGAGCTCTGATTTGCTTCTGCTAGATTCTTGAAGATGGCAGCCTTGCTGTTTCATTGACAGTTGGCAGACATCCAAATACAACTGTGCTTCGAATCTGAGAACACAGCTTCTTCCCACAAACGAACTTGAAGTGAGAAGGAACTCCGTGGTAGGCAATACCTGGGTGTTGTTGTCCAGCCGTGAGCTCCTCCGCCGGGCTTTAAAGCACATGCAATAGTTCCTGTGTGGATTTGATGGCGCATAATACAAAAAGAATAGCCCTTGAGGCCGGGATTGGTAAAAGCTAGCAGGAACGGGTGATGGGGGAAACAGGACAAATCGATTGGCAGTGAGGGGTGAGCCAGCTCGGAATTGCGCTTTTGTTCGTGGTGGCTGGTCCCTCCGTGATGCCGCCGGGAAAAGAGGAAAATGCGGAAAGATGGTTTGCAGCAAACCGGCCTCTGGGCCTGAAAACATCGTGGTTCAAAACATTGATTGTACTTGGTATGACAGTTGCCGTTCGAAGAAAGGTGACGGTGAAATCTCAAGATGACTGGCCTCATCATTGAATCATGGATGATGTGACTGCAAAGTATGTAAAGTGGAAAGGGAATGAAAGACAATTCGTTGTTCATGCGTTGGTCAGATGCGTGGCACCGTGGCGCAACGTGATTGGTAGGTTTATGTTGTTAGGGGCATCGTGAGCATTTGGAACCACACTAGGTCATTCATGCCTCACTGTGCGAAGATTTAGCAAATGTCAGGTGCAGCTGCCTAAAAATCTGCGCAACTCCTGGCCAATTGTAAGGACTGGGGATTTGGCCCACAACCACCTCTAGCAATCAAGAGCAATCACGTAATCAATCGTAATCACATTCCCTTGAAGAGCACCCCTGTTTTTGCCACTGAGACTTTATTCAAGATGGAAGACCCTCAGGAAACCTGCACCCAAATCCTAAGCACTTGCCAAAATGGAATAAGTATCTGGATGGGTAGGTAGAGGCTGATAAACACTGTGCTGACCTGAGCAAGTGTATGTGTGTGTGTGTATGCCAATCACATGTTGCTTATTGTACTGGAATAGGCAGCAAAAATTCCCGGGCCAAAGGATTTCGGCAGCCGCTTTTCAAGTCATCTAAGAAACCAGGCAGCCAAGTGGCCAAGATTTGTATCAGACCTGAAAACATTCTGGATCCTTTTGCGTAGCCCCAAATTTTGCCGGATTGCTTCCTTGCTTCCTTTATACCTGTTTTATTTGCACTTCCGGAAATATCAGATTCATGTCTGTTAGATGCATGGGATGAGCAAATCTACATTCATCTTAAAGGTTCTGGGTCTGGCTATGTCTGGCTATGTCTGGCTTCCTCACGCTGTCTTGCTTGAAGTATTCAGACTTTTACAATTTTATGAACCAAGAAAGCCAAAGCAACCTTGCCAGTACGAGCACATGATTGTGCTGGCCTGCCAATCATCCTCCAGCTGCGAGAAGGCAAGATGGTACTCACATCCCTCCTTGCTTGTAAATGGGAACTTCCCTGGCTCAATCTAAGCATATCGCAAGCATGGCACATGTGACGCAACAACCTGTTTTTGAGTGCCTGGCCTTTCCTCTGCAATTCACATGCAAAAAGTATTGTGTCACCTGAAAGCCAACTCTGTTTGAGGCAATCACCAATCACTACACAGTATTTCAAAATCATGCAAGAGCCAGGGCCGCGACATTGAACGCCTTCGTCAAATTTGGGTGAATGCGCATGTACTCCCCGCCAAACTCCTGTGATCCAACAAGGCTGGACTCAACATGTGAACCAACAAGGAGCAAAGCCACTCCTGCGAAGTGAACACTGGCAAACAACTTGTGGTTGGCGATAAAATGTAAAGCCTTTGAAAGCGACAGGGTTCAGGTATCCTTTCTTCAACTGAAGTGCATATCACAGTCCAAGCCATTGCAAATGTGCAAAAGCAAACTCCCGTACATTTTCTGCACCTTGACTGCTTGCAAACATGAAAGACTTTCTGGCTTCAATTCACGCACTTTTGGATGCTTCTGCTTAACCCTGGCTATTATCACTCTATATAGTCTCTAGCCGCCATTTTCTTTCTGAATGGCCTCATGTCGGGGTCGATTGAGCTGTTCGAGGGAGTCACCACGATCGCTGTGTCCTAGTGCTTGCGCATGAGACAGGGCGGCTCTCAGTCCGGTCCAAACTCGCAAACACCAAAATATTGCTCGTCTTTGTTTCCAATCAAAGACTGCTCTCTCTACGGCGGTATGATTCAAGTCTACAATCCTAGTGCACTGAAGTCTGTCTTCTCACTTTAGTGCGCCAAAAAAAACTAACCTGCCCAAAGGCATTGACAGTCAAACTGGATGAGGTTGCTTGCAACCATGAAGGGAAACCACTTGCCTGTGCAGCTGGCGTGAAGGCCCATATTGCATCACCCTGACCTGCACATCGCTGCCATAATCTGGGCGTACAGGGCCTACACTGTTTCCAAGATGGCACTTTGATAAGTCTGCAAGGGCCAAAAGAACTATAAACAGCACATACATGATCATACATGTACATACTGTATATATGTCTTATAACGAGTACTATATCTTACTTCGAATAAATGAAGCAGGTCTGATACAGTGCACGTGTCGCTTTGATGTGTTGACTGGCATCGCCGGCATTGCCTCTTTGCACCACTCTTGGTTGTTCATGGAAGGAAAGAGTCACTTGGATGGCTCGGGTGCCTGCGGGGTGTAATGTCACTTCGTTTGTGTTGAAAATCATGCACTCGTCAGTCTCGAAAATAAATTGTGGACATTCTCAGGAAAAAAATGCAAGTAAACTTGTGCTGTTGGTCACAGTAGATTTGCTGAGGTGGCCACTGTTGCAGATTTCGTGCGAACTGACCTCACAAAGCATACAGAAAGAACAGGATGCAACAGGATGCAACAGGATGCAACAGGATGCAACAGGCAAAGATCTCATCCGAACTCAGGACTCCACGGACCAAACCAGATATAGAAGACACAAGACATAGACGGAAAAGTTGCCTCTTTGCCACGTCAAATAGAATGGATCTCCAATTGTTCCTCATACTTCCGCACACTTGAGAGGTGTGAATTCTTTCCGAGAATCTGCTTTCCTTCTTTATCTACTTTTTTTGGGGTGGCTCTGGGAGCTGCTTTCTTTGATTTTCTGTAGATCTTCCTTGATTTTTGTTGGTGGCAAATTAAATTTGCAACTGCTTTGAAACTAATTTCACTTTGAGCTTAAGATCGATTCAAATTCGATTCAAATCAATTTGGATTCAATTTCGCACGAGCCTAAATTTAATCTGAACCTAATTTTGGATTTAGGTGGAAATTCATCTAAATCTAATATAGAACTAATGTCAATTCAATTTGCAGTTAATCTAGATTTAACTTAAAATATCAAGTTAATTTGGATTAGTTTAAAATCGATTTTCAAAGCAATTTTGATTTTAAAATGAATTTAGTTTTAACTTAAATCTATGCTTAATCGAATTTAAACTTAATCTAGAAATAATCTTAAAACAAATTAGATTGATTCAACTTGGTTTAGATTCAATCAAAATCAATTTAGCTTTGACTTAAAATCAACTCAAATGGAATTGAGACTAAATTTCAAAAATCTGTTGAGGTCTAGTTAAGATTTGACTTAAATGATGTGAAATTAAATGAAATTTGTTCAGTCGTGTTCTAAAGTTAATGCAAGACTCTATCTACTTCTTAACTTACACTTAAGATTTAGTTTTGATTTAAATTCGATTTATTGAAATTTCTTTAATTCGAATTTAAATCAACAGTCATGTCAATATAATTCTAAATTGCTTTACATATAAGTACTTGAAATTAGTCTAATTTAACTTTAAGTACATGTTGATTTGGTTTTAGACTAATTCAGCTAAGATTTGATTTTTAGCTATATAGTGTCTAGATGTGTATTGCAATTAATTAAGATTTAATGCTTTGGATTAAATCCAAGTTACTTAGATTCAGTTCGAAAGTAAAAAGCACAAACAGAACAAATGCTGTAGCTGCTCGAGGCCTCTCATCAACGGCTCCGAACTAGCGGGAAAGCCACAAGAGCTACTCTTCCCAGTTGCAAGCCTCAAACATGCTGGCACAAACGCGTCATAGTTTTTGAACTCATCAACTTCAGTCGTGGCCCTCCAGCGATCGTTTTTAATATTTTATATCATGTTCTGCCATCCGTGACTTATCAGCGACTTGTGACTCATTGGGTGATGGGACGACAATGCAATCGCACCTCTGCGCTGAGTCTGCAAAAACCAGGCATGCACTGCCTGCACCACAAAAAACCAAAATCGTTACAAATTGTGGTGCAGATTGTCTCCAACATTCTCCAACTATCAGCCATGGCCGGCCATGGCTGCCTTGCGAACGGCGGCCCGAACATTCTTCAGAGCAGTCTGAATATCAAGTGTCTATGTAATAGGTGTCTAAACATTGCTGGTGCTGTTGTTGCACGTATGCGGCATACCGGCATACCCTTACAACAAATCGGCTATCCGTGCTATCCTGCGTTCATATGCTCAGCACACAACTACAGTATATAATACAACTAGACATTGCTGATTCTGCCGAGAGAGTCTATGCGAATCAATCAGGATCTGAAACTGCACACAAATCTTGCATCAAAGAACCGCCATGCAAATGTCCAATGGGTGGCTGCCGAGTCACCGAGTCATACGGACTTCACTTTTGCGCTCTGCACGCCCACGCTTTTGCGCATGGCGCCAATGCACCCGGAACCCTTTGGCACCGAATTGAGCAAAGAATTCTCATCCCAGGCCCGAAAGAATCAAACAAGGGATGATTCTGGATGACAGCATTATTTTGCTTGCAGCACGCCTGGAACTCAGTTCGTGGAGCAGATGTGCAATCTGAAAGAAAGCAACATGAAGCAACCACTGTCAGTGCATAGGGTGGGCATTTAGCAAAATCACTCAGAATTGGAACTTTGACACTTTGCAACTTTGCATACATCTGCCGAAACGGGACCATCGCAACCTTTGGTGCTTCTCGGCGACAGAAATGGGAACGACTAGAAACCATGCGACAAAGTACAACCTTCACTTCTTATCTCATCGCAACTTATGCGCACTCCAGGTATCAGGGGTGACTTCATGGCTATCTGCTGTGACTGTCTTGGGAAGAAAAGCTTTGCAGCTGTGTTGCTGCAGTCACTCTTGTCAACGCCTACAGTAACTACAGGGAGCTTGCAAGGAATAGCTCCACACATGGACTCAGACGGCTTGAGGCACCACATCGTACCTTCGCACTGAGAAGCGCGCATTGAAGCCATCTGCTTTTGTGGCTCAATCACCATGGACTACATTTTTTTCAAGTATAGAAAATTAACAATTTGAATGTGTCAATGATCATACAATACATGGTATCCATGGAAGGTGCCACGGTAGAAGCCAAGCCTTTATGTTCTGATGAGTTTTGAATCCATATATGCGTAGATGCACAACTTGAGAACAAGGTGTGGAAATATCCTATATACAGTAGTGCATCTCACAATGTAATGTACTACCTGAATCATCTCCGAATAACATCTAAAGATGAGATCCTCGGAACACACTGAACACTCTGAACACATGTCGATCATGTTGCTTAAGAGATCTTATAAGAGTATCTGAACGGCGGCAAAGTGAAAATTCACAGCTTCACAGGCCCTCCCAGCTCCACAGCCCCTCCCAGGCACCGGGGAAGAGTTTCAGTTCTGCTGAAAGAGCGTGCGCCTTGGCAGGCGCACACGAAAACTGCGATAACTACATGTGTATTAGTATAAATAAGATTATATTAAATCATATCATATTATATCATATCATATCATGTTACATTAAATCAAACCATATCATACCATGTTATATCATATTATATTATGTCAAATCATATCATATTATAATTTAACTTATACTATACCATATTGTATTAGATTATATCAAATAATATCAGATTATTTTATACCATATCGTATTATATAATATGATGCTATGTTATGGTATATTAAGTTTACTATATTGTATCATATCAAATAATATTATATGAGTTATGTTATGTTATATTTTATCAAATATCATATCGTACCATATTCTAACATATTTTCTGATGTTATGTTATGATAGTACTATATTGTATTTCATTCAATGTTTTTATACATTCAAATTCATTTATATAGATATATATTTTATCGGTATACACACGTGTGATAATTCATTATATTTGAGAACTATATGAGAAGTCAAATGATGCAAATGCAAATGCACAGGCAATCAAGCTTTCTTTGAGTTTTCTTAACGAGGCTCCAATGCGCAAAGCACCTTAGAACACTAGACATCCCAGGTGCAACCCCACACGCTCTGCACTCTTAGATGTGGGCCACTTAGAACTAGTCCAGCAACGAGGCCTCTGAAGCAGCGTGCAGAAAGAGTCCAATGAACTGAACTAGTCCAATCACCGGATGAAGCAAACTTGTATGTCTGCTATGGAGTCTTTATAATATTTTATAATTGTACAGTGTGCTTTGTATGTGGGCTTCATCACTGCACATTGCTTTTTGTAGGGTTTTGGCAGAAGCAGCCCAGAGCAAAAGCCAGCTGCAAGTCCTGAGCTCAGCAGAATAGTCGCGAGACCCTTTGAAGAAGCTCTTGAAAATCTCGAGAGAGAGAGTCACATTACTCAAAGATACTCAAAGCAGAGTCACTTTCTGAGCACCGACCACAGCAAATAAGATATCACTTGCTCACAAAGTCCCTATACTCACAGCACCACAGCACCACAGCACCCAGTCTCTTTGACAGTAGACACAAGTGCAGACAAAGCGTCTCGAGTGTGCTGAGCTTCAGCTGCAAGCACCTCAAGCCAAAAGGCACGACAAAACATAGCACCTTCTCAGAATCTCGCTTCAGATGATTCAAGACATCCGAAGAAAACTTGAGCCCGGCTGCGGGCCTTGCCTTGTCTTTGAGCAGCGCCAAATCATATCGTCTCACTACAGCATCTGGCAACCTTGGGAGGAAATGTAGGAGCGATGGCCAGCGATGGCCAGCTATGGCTAGCTCTGGCTGCGCTTCCAAATTCATTCAGGATGTTGCGGGGAAGAAAGCTCCTCAACCCAGTCACCTTGTGAGCTCAAGGAGCTTGGCCTCGCAAATGCTGAGGTTAAACCCCATCCGGCATATCAAGCCACATCATTTCATATCATGCCATATCCTACTACGCATTGCATAAATTCAAAGATCCGCATCTCTGGCTCTGGCCAAATAGGGGCTAAAAATATCTGAGGTTACAGGTTGCATGGCGGCCACAGATTTGGAAGACATCATGAGGCATGTTCTAAATGCATTCAAAATATACTCAGGTGGGCAGACTTGATCCACTTCTTCAAAGCAGCTGGACGTTACAATCTTTTTATACTGCTCGGCAATTTCAGAGAGACCAGTCTTGACAGGTGTCCACGAACACTTCGCGACAGAAGTTCCTAAGGGTACAAACTAATAAAGCTAAGATTGATACCTGGCATCTTCAGCATCTTCAGCGTAAATCAATTGACTGTCCTGAAGGAATTTGTGCGCAATAAGAACAATATCATGAACGCATTTTGTGGGTATCTGATCAAGCCACGCCAAGGTCATTTTGCCCCACCTCACACAATTGCTCTGACTCACCTGACGCAGAAAGGTGAAGTGGGCAAACCACCTCTTGATGTAAGATAGCTGAAGCAGTTTGAGGCATTTTGAAGCCTTCATTGAAGAAAATTTGAAAATTCAAGGCCAAAAGTATCTTCTCAACTTTGAGGTTTGGACAGCAGTACTGTCTCACGGTATCAGGCCACCGGTCCCTCCAATAGACGTTGTCCGAACACTTGAAGTCATCCTCGGTCACCCAAGATTCCTTCCAAGGTTCCTCTCAGGTTCCTTGGAATAAGATGTCTGTTCCACAAAACAACCTCTCGGCAATATTCCAAGGCTGGTGCAAAGTTCAAAGTTTCGTCTGGCCTTAGATTACTACACACGAAAAACTAATAACATAGTTCCAGTTGAAGACCAAAGTCTACCACAGTCGCTACCGGAGAACCAAAGACGGCCACTATTTGTTGAAGCGGTCACGTCGGAAAATATCTTTGCATTGAGCGTCAATGAAATGCCGAGCAAATGTGAATGACATACACATGAAATGAATGCATGTTAATGCCAGGCATGTGCTCAAGATGCTGAAGGCATCGAACCTGTCAAATACAGGAGATGCTAGACTTGGCGGGCTTGCGCTCACCTCACACACAAACAAACCATAAAATGAAACTGAACATGAAACTGACGAAACATCACATCATGACAGATGACTCGCGACATCACATAAGATCATATGATATCATATCAAATTGTCTGACATTATATATATATATATGTCATTATAGTCATAGTTATATGACTTCAAATCATATCATATTACATCGTATGACAAAGCAATAGATAGCAATACATAGCACATGACATAGAAGCCACAAGTATAGCATGAACAGTAACTCAGTAAGGCAATGGAAGGGAAAGAACAGCATGCATTAGCTTCACTTCGTTCGCATCTCATCTCAGTCTCTGGCAGGCACATTCAGTTGATGATTGCCGCTGAAGTGGCTTGAAGATGGATCTGAGATATCTGTTACCTCGGCACATTAAAGCTAAATTGACAAGAGCAGCATTTGAAAGACAAAGATGACAAAGAGACCAGGAGCAGAAGCTTCCAGAACCAGGCATGAGCCGCATGAGCCGCATGAGGCGGAAGGTTCGAGGACTTTTTCGACTTTTTCACTGTGGCTTCTGGCTTTTAGCTGCCGCTCTCTGTTGCGCGCCTTGTTGCAGGCTTAAGGTCAGCACTGTTTGACATTGCAACGGGTCTGTTTCGTCGGCTTTGCATGCTCGAGTTGTGAAAATGAGACTGCGCAACCTGTCTTCTGGGGCTTTGGACTCCTCCTCTACCACAAGTCGCAGAACATGAAGACCACCTAGACCAACCGCCTCAAGGGGAGCCAGCTTAACTGTTTAACCATGTTTAACCATTAATTAAACCAAATCAACAACATACACTTGGCATGTCTTGGCATCAGTGCGTCATGCAGGACTTTGTTGCACGACCGCTTTGTGGTGTATCCTGGGACCCGGACTCCATGAGCAATTGTACCTCACATCAGAAAAGAGCGCAAGCAGAATGCTGAAATATGCTGAAATTGAATTGTTTTGTTTATACCTCCTACATTATCTACATTCAATTTGATACAATCCATCAGACGATCGTAAATCAATTTGAACAACACTTGAGCGACTTGGGCGACTGAAGGCTGAGAGACTGGCCATGCGACAGCACAAACTTCTGTCCCACCCTTACTGCACCCGGTGACATCGCGGAAGCTGCCCTCACAATCGAGGCCACCATTTGCCTTGAGGCCAACTGAACAGGAACTGAACAGGGAATGTACATGAAGAGTTCATGAAGAGGAAACTGCCGGTGACTTTAAGTCATGTTACTTAAAGATCTTAAAGTCTCAATTGCATTCTTTATTGAATATTATTGAATCATGTATGTAGGTACTGCTTGGTCCGTTTTGACTTTGGATTTCGGCCCCGCTCTCAGAAGCTGACAGCGTGGCGGGCATAGCCTCGCGTGCGAGTCTTTTTGTCAAAGGCATCGCACCTCAAATCGATCTGGCTGAACTGCTTGAGCGAAAGACCGTGGAACTTCAAATGAAACTATATGGTGGATTTACAACCTTCAAACATTTCATCAAGAACAAGACCTGTTTGTTCTCCAAGTGCTCCACTCAGTCCACGCTGTCCATGCTTCCCACACGCAATTCACCTGGTACTCTGATGTAATGCTGAGCCCACGTGATGCCCCGCGACCAGAAAAGATGAGACAAGCCGCATGTTGCCGGATGGTTTGTGTTAAACAGGCCCCAAGATTCTTGACGACCGGGAGCAACACTGCAGTGGTCAGTATCTTGAGACCCCAGCCCTACCCTCGAAGCAGTGAATGCCAGGATTGCAATTTTGGGTCTCCTCCAAAAACTTCCACGTTTCCACATTCTGTAAACTCAACACAGCCTGCCTGAAGATATTGGAACTCGGAGCTAATTTGATGCCATTCGACTCACCATAGATAAGTCCTTGATCCCTGAAGGGCAAGACTTACCACCTCTCTGCGGACCAACCTGCGAGCTGAGGTAAAGAAATGCGTGGGCAAACAGACATGAATCACCACACAAAGCCACATGGAATGACTGAGATCTAGTGCAGAAGGGGTGGAGCATCGGAGGGATTTTGTTTCCCACATTGTCCTCGGGGCTAGCCTCTATGTTGCGAGCTCTTACAGAGTAGCCCTTTTCGCATGTTGCTGAGCATGGCGACCAATTGGACCTGGCCAAAACAATGCTGGATGCAAGCCTACAAGCTCCAATGTGGGTACCAAGAAGCACTGCAATCGTTTCATCTACAAGCAAGAAAACAAATTATCGCTGTCGTCATCATGATCATGATCGTGATGATGACGACGACGAGGAGGACGAGGACGAGGATGTCGCCGTCGTCATCGCCATCATCACCATCACCATCATCATCATCCTCCTCGTCGTCCTCGTCCTCGTCCTAGTCCTCGTCCTCGTCCTCGTCCTCCTCTTCCTCGTCCTTTCCTCCTCGGCCTTTCCTCCTCGTCCTCATCCTCCTCGTCCTCGTCCTCCTCGTCCTCGTCCTCGTCCTCCTCCTCCTCGTCCTCGTCCTCCTCGTCCTCCTCGTCCTCCCCGCCGTCGTCGTCGTCGTCGTCGTTGTCGTCCTCGTCCTCGTCTTCATCGTCGTCGTCATCATCACCACCATAGTTGCAACATATCATAACAATCACCTTCGCCATCGTCATCATACTCACCATTAGTACCCAAAACACTTCACAAGGCTTTCGCGCAAACAAAAGAACCCCAAGCTCAAGTCAGCAGCACCATTGACTCATGACACAGTCTTGTGCGCCACTCGCATGGTTGCTCTTGTCCCTTGCGCGTCAGTTGTAATGCGCTCATCCAGGCAAGCCAACTATACCGGGAGTCCTAGATATTTGCCCCACAACTTGTTTGCAAAAGCTTCACTTCTGCCCAGTTGTCTTTCCACAAAGGAAAAGTGCAAAAGCGGCATTGCAGTATGCAGCATGCAAAGCAAGATAAAACAAGCATATGTGATCAGGTACTTAGCTACAGACTGGCATGAAAATGGTGTCGGCTCTCCCTCCGCTGGGTTGCACCTGGTCATCAAAATTTTCAAGTTCACATGGGTTTGTTGTCACGATGTGGTTCAAACAGAAATCGATAACAAACTAGGGACAGTACTGGACGGAGCGCTCCATCGCCCCGACACAGGGTGCACCTTTGCCTAGCATCCGATCAAAGCCATTGCGAAGCAGCGCTGTGAAGCTGCGAAAGTTTATGACTTTATGACCAGTTTGCGACAGACTGTGACAGAAGCGCTGCCAGTGTTTACTTCGGATCTCTACAGAAACACAATCGAAAGGGACACGTTTTGTCCAATCCCTTGAGCTTCTTGAACCTTGCCTGTGCTGTTCCGAGCAATGCTCCGAGAACTGATTTGCTGGCCGTGGCAAGCAGCTGAGCAGGCCTTGGCACCAAGAGCATGCAGAAGAGAAGGAAAACCCGCCACTCTGTGTATCTGCATCATTCTGTATTTACCTACGAGTACCTACAACCGACCTATCCGACATCTGTTGATAGCCACCAGAGATGCATTGACTGCACTGAGTTGTTGCTATAGGCGGCATCGGTTTGCAAAGGTTTCAGCAAACTATCCTCACTCAGGAGGCACCTTTTCCATTCATTTTAAGGACCGACCTTCTGAAGAAAGCGCCCATGAGAGACAAGTAGGGACATTCTCTTACAATATGCAAATGTCCAAAAGCAATGCACAACCCACATCAGGAGCTACTGCCTAATATACAAAGTCAGTCACACAACATCTCACATGTTCCACTTGCTCTGGGCATGGAGAAATCTGCAATCTTCAGAGAGGAAACAATTTTTCCTATATGAAGGGGCAATTCGCAAAATTAGCTCGAGACAACGTTTATCAGAGAACACCAGAAAACCTCTAGAAAACCTGAAAACATTATCCCCGCAAGAGACCCCAAACAGTGTGGAGGGCTGGAAGAAGAATGTATGACAATGTTGCTGTTGATGATGATGTTGTTGATGATGATGATGGTGGTGATGATGATGTTGATGTTGATGTTGGTGTTGATGTTGATCGATGAGGATCGATGAGGATGATAATGTGGGGGGCGATGATCTAGAGGATGATGATGTTGCGGACGATGATGTTGAGGATGATGATGTTGAGGATGTTGAGGTGTTGAAGATGATGATGTTGACGATGATGATGTTGAGGAGGATGGGGATGAGGATCACAATGCGGAAGAGGAAGAGGAGGATGATAAGGTGGAGGATGGTGATGCTGAGAAAGATGATGATGAGGATGAGAATGAGGAGGATGATGATGATGATGATGTTGCGGACAATCATGCTGAGGATGGTGGTGTTGAGGATGATCAGGTGCAGGAGGATGATGTTGAGAAGGATGATGAAAAGGACGATAATGTTGTGGAAGACGAGGTGGAGGAGGATGATGTTGCGGAAGATGAGGTGGAGGATGATGATGTTCAGGCTGATGATGTGAAAGGAGAGAAAGATGATGATGTTGAGAATGATGATGTTGAGGATCATAGGAGGACCGATCCCAAGACCTACACTTTGCGCGAGCCTGCGCAGTCGACATGCACTTGGACATGTCAGTAGAGCCACTTTGTGTGGAAACTTACAGGGAAAGTGCCCGAGCCCAGAATCTAGGTGCCCACTTTGCGCGAGCCTGTGCAGTCGAAACGCACATCAACATTTCATATAAGAGCCACTTTATCAAAGGAAACTTCCGAGTTACGGACGATTGTCATGGCTAGCCACCATCGTGGCAACCACATCATCATGTCAACCATCATCATGTCAAACACATCATTATGGCAACAGCATCATCATCAAGCCGTTGAGAAGTGTAAAAGATCAGGAACACGTGAATTCAGATTCAGGCTTGAAAACACTCTTGGGCGCAAAACCCTGTGTTTTTTCAGGTCAAGTGGCTGCCGCGGTCGCCGAAGGAGGGTCTCTGTTTCTGCGGTTGCGCACGATCTGGGAAAGCTGCCGACAAAAAGTGCACAGGACTGTAGCGAGGGCGCGATTTCCACCTGAAAATGTTTAAAAACTGAGGCGTTCCGAACACTTTTGGAAGATGAGGTCGGCAAATGAGGTTGGCAAAATGTGCACGAGACTGTAGCAAATACTTGATTTCCACTTGAGAATGTAAAAAAACTGTTGGGAACACTTTTGGAAGATGAGAGCGGCAAAATGCGCACGAGACTGATAGCGAGACCTCGATTTCTACTTGAGAATCGGACAAAAAAACGGACCACTTTTGGAAGATGAGGTTAGAGAAATGCGCACGGGACTGTAGCGAGAGCTCGGTTTCTACTTGAAAATGTTTAAAAAAACTGAGGGTCCGAGAGCACTTTTGGAAGATGAGGTCGGCAAAACGCAATATCCCAGGATTCAAGATCGTCCAAAAGATTAGTGAACATGCAGAAACTATTCAAATTAGATGCAATTGCAAGTTCGCCCGATGACATCAAATTAAACCAAATATCAGAGAATGGTATCTTGAATGTGTAAAAATGTCCATATAGACGAAGAATTATGTGTGTCGAAATAGGCTCACATGAATGCAGGGCAAGCCTCGGATTGTTCAAGAACAGCAGTCTTGGATTAAAAGGGTGATGAAGGGGTTCGGCTAATATGTATATAATATGTCATGTCTACATGTAATATTACTTATATATATATAGATATTCAATACCTGTCACAGACATGCTCAGTGTATGTTCTTGTGCCTGTCTCCTGGAAGGCAATCAAAACACATAGCTGCAAGTGGGGTGTGTTTTTTGGATACAAGATGTCCTCCAGAACTTGTACTTCTCTCTAAGCCGGGAGCTGAGGGAGTTGACCACTGGCCAAATTCGCAGTCCACATCAACTGTTCAGGCGGGGACAGTTCCACTTCCGGCATTCACAATGAAGAGCCATTGAGAAGATCTGATTTTGGAGCGGAAAAGGGGAAATAATGATTTTGACAAGGACAAATTAGAGGTTTCATCAACAAGGATGCAAGACCTTCAAGGGCCATTGGAAAACTCGATGTGGCCTCTGACTTTTAGGTAGTACTGTGGCGAATCGTGTGAAAAGTTTTGACCGTACACAACAAACAAACAGGTGAATTAGATGCGTAGTGACACGTTGCAACACGTTGTAACACGTTGCAACTCTGAAAGAACGCCTTCACAGGCTTGGGCTGAACACTCCTCGTACTCCACACTGGAGCCAGCAGGAGGCTTCCCACAGAAGCTCTCCTCAGGAAGTGAAGGTTGAACCGGTGTCTTGCACTGCCATGCACCATTCCACAATGCATCGCAGATCGGTACTATAGCCTTTGCATTTTCGACCTGATTGCGCTCAGAGGGAGGAAACATCTGACATTGCAGACTGGCCATGGTTTCCCCGCCGCGCAAGTGAACTATTCATCGCTGTACAAAAGCAGCGGGAAGCCATGTTCTTGAATCATTCCACCCATTGCCATTCCAATCAGTCCAACCATTCCAGCTGTTCTGGTCAATTGAAACACTTGAAGCAGCTGAACATCCATGTGGTCCATGTGGTCCATGTGGTCCATGTCCAAAGCTATTTGAGCTCACGGAATCTGGGAGCTTCAATGGCTGAGCCGATGCAAGTTGCCCTGCAAGCCCCAAGCCGGGCACTCCCATCCCACTCGATAGGTGGGCACTTGGTAGACTCAGGCTCCCACCAGGCTGCCCAGGCGGCAACGGCTGGCTGGGCTGGGGGGTGTGACTGAAGCCTGGCCCATTGCCAGGAGTCCTCCGCTTTGACGCTAACCCGCCCCTTTGGCACCCAGCTTGGCCCACCTAAATTTGTTTCTTTCCAGTCGGATCTACTTTTTTTGAGGTGCCACTTCTTCCCATTTTAGAGGGCTACAATATACTCATTGAAAGGGGAAAAATCGGATACCGCAGAGGCCTTGTACGTCAAGCTTTATCAAACCTATCAACTAATCCGTTCTGTTAGCATTGTCTGGACTTTGAAATAAACCAACGCAGTGTGCTCTACAATACATTCGAGCACGGAAACAAAGTGAGCACCAAACGAAGTCTTCAGCCTCGCAAAGAAAAGCGAGTCGAGGCTGAGGTGGCTGCTTTTTGGAAGGGGGTCTCAGTGAGATGAGCTCCCAAGGGGTAGATCCATCGCAACAGGGATGACCGGGATGCGATGTTTCTTTAATTTCATGCCTTGCGGGTCCGCGTGGCCATGTTCCTAATGCGCTCGCTTTCACACTGGATATTGCAGGTGTAGACTCTGTCTAGCTGGATTCTGGTCGATTTTTCGTGCCCGGAGTAAGCTCGCTGCACTTGTTTAGAGGGGGGCCGACGCGCCGAAATTCATCCATAGAGGTACCGACCTGCTGCAATAAGGAGATAACGTTGGCAGTATTTTTTTTGACTTCGCACAAGAGTGCGAATATTTCTGTCAAGGCTAAGGCACTTTGAGCTGCAGCATCTCGTCTGTATTCGCAGCATTTTCTAGCTTAAGCAATCTCTCATTTGCACAATATTTGCAGCTTGAAAACTCATTTGCACGGTATTTGACATGTTCAGAACCTGGGTCTATTATTGGCACTGTATCTAGATCAACTTTTTCCGCTTGCACCGTATTCGCGGCATTTGGGGGTTTCAATGTGTCGTTTGCATTCACTGCAAAGGACGTGCCGGATTTTTGCAAATTGAAAGTTGCACAATTTGGAATTTAGATATCTGTTGTTCTTGCTTTTGTTGTGGTCACGCTCTTGCTGTTATCCTTTCCTCTTGCTTTTGGTTAGAGGGCCAGGTCGGGCCCTCCACAATCCTGAATTTCTGTAGTTGTGTGTTTGTGTCGCACGGAAAGTTTTATATGCAATGTTCATATCGTCACGTTCTCACATGCAGCATAGATATCATAGAAATTGTCGTGCTTTCGACAACATTGTCATGGGGTCACATTTTATCACATTGTCGTCGACTGATCATATGATGAAGCATTCTTTTTCCTGAATGCGTAGCAAGGGTTCCCGTCTCACTCTGGGGGTCTGGGGGTTGAGGGTACGTTCGCTCGATGTTGCGTTTGCGTCCACAACCGTCCGCAACCGTCCGCAACCGCTCGCAACCGTTCGCGTGAGGGCCGTATGGCCGTGCCTATGGCGAGTTCTGCTAAAAGTGGTCCCTTCTGGAGGATTGAAACGTTGCGTAGCTTCGTTTCGCGTGGCAGGCGTGGAACTTTGTGACATTCCCAACATGTTTTATCACGTGTCCAAAGTCGCTTTGTGTGACAGGCGCAATACATTTTGCGTCATTTTCAGAAGATGACATGGATTTTCTTGGCAAGCACAGCACTTTGGTGACCTCCATCGTCATTTTTCGTGCCACGCGCAGCACATTAGACATGTCGTGTTGCGTGCTTTTGCGAATCGCATTGTCAGGGCTGCATCAAGTGGTGACAACGTGCCAATGATGTGGTAGGCATGGCATTTTGTGACAGGTGATGAGAATTGACGGAAGCCACGCACGAGACATCGATTTTGAGGTAGCGAATTTTGAGGCTCATGGGAAAACTCCTAGGAAAACGTCGATTTTGTAGCTACAAAGTGTGAAATTTTGAGGAAGTCTAGCGCGAAACCCTAGGTTCGATGCTCAAACAGTTTCAAAACGGGTTCTAAAGTCGTTTTGCGTGGCAGGCCTGGCACTTCCTGACATTCTCACGTGTCTACAAAAGTGTCGAAAGGCGTTTTTGTCTGACAGGCGCAATACTTTTACAAGGTTTTCAGAATATGAGTTGCATTTTCCTGGTAGGTCCAGCACTTTGGAGACCTCCATCGTCATTTTGCATGGCATGCGCGCAACTTCAGACGTGTCCTGTTGCATGTTTTTTGCGAATCGCATTGTGAGGGCTGCGTGAAGTGGTGCGCTCTATACTTTACACTTCGCACTCCACACTTTACACTGTACACTTTACACTCTACGTTTTACACTCTACACTCCACACTTTACACTTTACACTCCACACTTTACACTTTGCATCTTACACTTGACACTCTACACTGTACACTTTACACTCCACACTGTACACTCCACACTTCACGCTTTAGACTCTACACTCGGCTCTACACTTCACACTCCGCACGCTACACTCCACACGCTACACTCCACACTTTACACTTTACACTCCACACTCTACACTCCACACTTTACACTGTACACTTTACACTCCACATTCTACATTTTACTTTTTACATTTTGCACTTTACACTTTACACCTCCTTACGCTTTACACTCTACACTCCACACTCTACACTTTACATTCGGCACACTTCACACTTTACACTCCACACTCTGCACTTTACACTCCACACTCCACACTCTACACTTTACACTCCACACTCCACACTCTGCACTTTACATTTGGCACTTTACATTCCACACTTCACACTTTACACTCCACACTTTACACTCTACACTCCACACTCCACACTCTACACTTTACACTCCACACTTCAGACTTCGGACTTTACACTCTACACTTTGCACTCCCCACTCTTCACTCCACACTTTACACTCAACACTCCACACTTTACACTTCACACTTTCCACCCCACTCTTTGCACTTTACACTCCGCACTCCACACTCCCCACTTCACACTCTACACACTACATTCCCCACTCAACACTCCATTTTCGTCACACTCCACACTTTGCACTCCACCTCCTTCTACATGCCTACAGTGCACTGGTACGGTAACAGGGGAAAAATGTACAAGACTGTTCAAGTAACTTGTTTCACAAGAGTGTTTCATGTGACTGCATTCGGGTTCGTGGGCTGCATCTTGCTTATCTTCATTATAGTCTACAGCGTCACCGTTGTCAGCGTCTTCGTCATCGTCATCTTCGTCATCATCAACACTACAGTAACAACAGCAAATCGACAAACTGTGGGGTGAATGCAAAGGCTCCATTTCCAAGCGTCTCAAAACAAGAATCAAAGGATGGCTAAATTCACACTTGTTCGCCCAAGACTGCAAGAATAATGATTGAATAATGTCTCCAAAGATCTGCTGGGCTGGGGCAAGAGTTTCAGGGTTAAACAATTGCAGAAAAAGAACTCCAGGTCGGTTCCTGATGAACAAAAAAATAAAGTGAAGTGTGTGTGTGTTCCATCTTCAAGAAATGAAGTTTTGACATTCCAGTTGCTCAGCCAATTGCTCAGATTATATATGTAGAAATCATGCAAAATGTGTTTCTGATCTACACCTCACAAGGTTTCATGCCCATGTATATAAGTCTAATCAAACAAAAATGCCTCTAGGGCGATGAGCTATCGGCTCTCAAATCCAACACGATGCCAGAATTACATCTTGTATTTCAGGAAGTGCTTCCAAGGCCGTGTGACCTGGTTGCTGTATTGTTGGATGATGTTTCTTTCTTGCAAGCCAAACATGGCAAGCAAAGGAGCAAAAGGCACAAAAACCAAAGCATACAAACCACAAGCACAAGAAGCTACAAAGCCCAAAATGAACCAAAGTCAGAAAGGCGACTAAAGCAAAGGAGCCAAGAAAGCAAAGAAATCTAAGTAAATCTTTCCAGCAACATAGAGAACAGTCAAAAAACTCTAACCCTTCTTTACCAAAAGCGGGTCTTTGGTCCTTGGAAGGGCAGCAGCATTCAAGATGTAGCCAGGCGAGATCTCATGCCCTGCCAGGGCCTTTAGAGTGGCATCACGATCTTCTTCTTCTCTGAAATAGGCACGCGCCACACTCAAGGATGGCTCCGGATCATAGTGTATGACTCTGACTCTTTGCGAAGCAGGACCAAGGGATAAAATGGTTGCTTTGATGTCATCGCAAAGTGTCCAGTGTGGAAAATTCCGAAGCTCGACTGGGTACCATGGAATCGTTTCATCCTCTGGATGCGGTTTCTTGCGTTTGAGGTTCTTTTCAATTGGATAGCTCGCAGAAATTATAGTTCCGAATGCCTCTCAAGCACACGGCTGTGCAAAGTGGGGTTCATGGCAAATGTACTTCAAAGCCTTCAAAGCAGCAAAAATAAGCTGCACAAAATCGCTCTTGCTTGGGTCCGTCATTGTTCTTCAGGATTCTTGTGGTATTAGTCTATTTACGCGGAGTGGAGACAATACTGCACCACTTGCTGATCGAATCTGCGTCTCTTAGACCATTCAAGATGCACGTGATCCACTGGTGCGCATTTTTCAGTGTTTGATTCTTGTGGTGTCAGCATTGGTTTCTGTTGAAATGAACCAGGCCTATGTCTGCCAATGGCTGTCAATAGAACCTTTCACACGCTGTCGAAGCAATCGGATTTCTCCACTTGAAACGGCCCGAAGACTAAAACCAAAGAGGGTGTAGCCCATTGCGCACATGCTACTGCACAACAGCTATGGAGAAACCATAGGAGTTACGAAACTTTTGGGACACCTACACCAAACCAGACCAGTAGCAAGTGCGCAAACAATAAATCAAGCAAGAAGAAATAAAAATCCGATACATGGTACAAATTTGAGCAAGAACAAGAACTAGAACAACATGATAGCCACGACGCAGATGGACGACCATCACAACAACCACAACCACCGCCGCCGTCGCCACCGCAACCGCTGCAGCAACAACAACGACGACGACAACGACGACAACGACCAAGGCCACTGCCATAGCCACAACCACAAAAACAACCGCGGCCAGAGGCACATGCACAAGAACAACCAAGGCTTTTACACCGGCAAGAGACCCCAAACAGTGTGGGGGGTAGCAAGTCAATGTACCAGATACAAGCAACAGCGGCGATTGAACAGTAACAGATCAGGCTAGATATTTCCGGAACTGCAGCAGCAGGAATTTGCTTTGGCACAGCAAGCAGCGCTACGTATGTCTACTTATCAGGACTTCATACCAGAACTCATACTAGGACATCTAGAAGAATTTCAGAAGATCGTCAAAAGAGGACCTTCTGTATAGAGGATCTAACAAGATCCTCATACTAGAATTTCCTATGATCATCCCAGAAAAACTTTCATACACAAAGATGGTTTCAACACGATCTCCATAAGATCTTCTCACAAGGACCTGTACGAGATTATGCAAGGACCTCAAGAGCTTTCATACAAGCACCTCTAAGCCATGGCATCTGCAAGATCTTCATGCAAGGACCTCTCAGAGAGGATTCCACCAGGATATCCACAAGATCTTCTAGTAAGGACGTGTACAGGATGATGCAAGGACCTCTTAAAGAGGAATTTAATAGGATCTCAATCAGAGCCTTTCTGTGCAAGAATTTACCAGAAAATGCCGCAGAGGGCAGCCCAGGCCCAAGTTGGGCCCAACCCGGGTCAATTTTGCGGACTCAATGCGACACGTTGAAAACTTGCATTTTTACAGTTATTTCCAACTTTTTTGGGCTTTGATGGGGGTTCGTGCAAGGAGCTGCCCACATTGGGCATGTCTCGGGCCCGGCTTCGACGCCAGATGCCCGCACACAGGACCAAGCTGCGCATGCTAAGCCCAACTTGCGTCCAAACGTGCCCAAGTTGCGCCATGTTGGGCCCCGAGTTCAGCGCAAGTTACGCCCAAGTTGGGGCCAACTGGGCTCCTGCTCGGCCCAACTTAAGGCCAAGGACGGCCAAGTTTGACCTCGCCAAGTAGGCCCGCTTCTTTCCTCTCTGTCCTATTCCCTGGGTGCGGGCGGTTCTCCTCGCGAAGCGATTCGAATTACACTGGCAAGAGACCCCAAACAGTGTGGGAGGTAGGAAGTCAATGTAGCAGATACAAGCAACAGTAGCTATGGAACAGTAACAGATGAGGTTGGACATTGTCGCAACGGCAGCAGGACCTTCTATATAGATCTACATAGAGGAGCTCACAAGATCTTCGTACAAGAACTTCCCTTGGGCATCCCCGAAGAATTTTCATACAAGCACCAACGCACAGGATCTTCAAGATCTTAATGCAAGATAATGCAAGGACCTGTTCAGGGGGATTTCAACAGGAACTCCACAAGACCTTCTCAAGGACCTGTATCAAATCATGTAAGGACACCGAGAGAATTTCACCAGGACCTCTTCAAAAGCTTCTCACACGGACCTGTACAAGATCATGCAAAGGTCAGGGTCTCCACAAGATCTTCGCACAAGGAACTGTAAAAGACCATGACCCAGATCTTCATGCCGGGACCCCTAAGAGAATCTCACAAGATCGTCATAAAAGGACCTGCTGCTGCTGGAGCGGACCTTACAAGATCTTGATACAAGAACCTACCAAGAGCCTACCAAGAGCCTCCCTCCCACAACTGCTTTCATACAAGCACCTCTAAGACATGGCATCCTTTATGCAAGGACCTCTTAGAGAGGATTTCGCCAGGATATCCACAAGATCTACTATTAAGGACCTTTACAGGATCATGCATGGACCTCTTAGAGAGGAATTTAGTAGGATCTCAACCCGTGCAAGACCTTACAATGAAAATGCCGCAGGCTCACTGCTTGAGAACCCGCAGCGCAGACTTTGTGAGCCTGTGCAGTCGGCATCCACACGGACACATCACAAGAGCCATTTCATGCGAGAATTTAAAGGAAAAATGCCAGGGCCCAAGATCGCAACGCACAGTATTTACAGGAACAATGCGGGGGGGCAAAATCGCGACACACAGTTTGCGCTAGCCTGCGGCCGATATGCACATGGGCATCGCACAAGGGCAATTTTATGCGAGAAATTACAGGCAAAAAGCCGGAAGCCAGATTCAGCACCCTGATCAAGCACCGGCCTTTACTCCTACCGTAAGAACCCCTCAGTGTGGACACACATGGACAAAATACAGAAGGGAACCACAAACAACATACAGTACAAAAAACTGCAAGCCAATCATGTCCACCACCAAAAAAACAAGGACCGTGTTTGAAATGAGACTCGCAGTAGAAACTGAAAGAAAAACACTGTCAATGACTGCAACCATAAACTCTTGTACTTGGGATGGGTTAAAATGATACAAAGTTCCAAATTTCACCCTTATCACTGCAATGAATGTTTTTTTCAACTTAGCTGTTCACGCCCCGGTCGGCACCTGCGCATTGTTGAGGCCTCTAATTGCAAATGCAGCTTCTCCAGGACTGACCATTGAGACGAAGCAAGCCATATTGAAACCATTGGATGGTAGCATGTACACGGCCTGACAAGTCAGGCACCAAGAGGATCCAATCCACCGGTTGGTTGAGTTGTGGAGTAAGCACATTGCCGATTCAATCTGCTAGTGTCCAAACCTGAACCAATAGGCGAAACTTTGTAGGCCTAGAAGCAAACACTCTCTGTCCACTGCATTGTTTTCCAAACTGTTCAAAACCTGTCTGCTCCTGCAGCACTGGATGTTTACCAATCGTTGTAGTTGTTGCAGTCTTAGCGTACCTCGACCTCTCCGAAGTCTTCAATGAGCTCTGTGATCTGCTCTTCGCTTGTGTCCAGAGGAATCCTCAGAGCGTTGTGAAAACTTCCAAGCTCTGAAACCGTCTCGAAAAAATTTACTGGATCCTTGCTTAAACCATGGTGGCGGAAGTTGACTCAACACAACATAAATCTTTGTTTGCAGTTCAATCTACCGACTGCCAAGAGTCTTGGAAAGGTAAACACTTCGGCCTTCTGATTGTGCTAGCTTCCCATCCCCCTGCACAGTGCACCGCCTTCCTTCGAGAATCGAACAAACACAGAGTTTGCAGATCTTTCTAGAGGTATCTAGATCGTTCTAGACGCGTCTAGATCTTTCTGAATATTTCTAGATCTTTTAGAAGGTGTCTACATCTTCCTGCCAAATGTTCTAGGTTTTCAAGAGATTTGCAAATCTTTCCGGATGTTTTTGAATCTTTCTAGAGGTTTCCAAATCTTTAAAGATGTTTTTAGATCTTTTTTGAGGGCTCTACATCTTTCTGGATGTTTCTTGATCTTTCTAGAGGTTTTCAAAATAGTTCTAGATATGTTCAGATCTTTCTAGAGGTTCTAGATCGTTCTAGAGGTGTCGAGATCTTTCTGGATAATTCTATTTAGATCTTTCAAGAGTTGTCTATATCTTCCTGCCTATGTCTAAGTCTTTCAAGAGGCGTTCAAATCTTTCCAGATGTGTTTGAATCTTTCCAGAGGTTTCCAAATCTTTAAAGATGCTTTTAGATCTTTTTGATCGCTCTACATCTTTCTGGGTGTTTCTTGATCTTTCCAGCAATTTCTAAATCTTTCTAATGTAGCCGTTTCTAGCTCTTTCTAGGTGTTTCTGGACCTTTCTAAAGCTTTTTGGATCTTTCTAGATGGTTCCAGATCTTTCTAGAGGTTTCCCTTGCTAGAAGTTTTTGGTAGAAGTGTCTAGTTTGATTTGTTACCTCCCAAGAGATTGCTGTATTCAAAACTGGTCAAAGTTGCATTTTTGAGATCCCTGAAAATGGGTACATTGAATGCGAATTTCATATCGGGTACACAAATGAAGCCAGCCTCATCCAAGAGTCACAGGGGCTACTAAATTATATGATTTATTCATACTAGTTTTGTGTCTTTGAGTCCCTGTAGTTCAACGTCTCCCATTTGTGCCTCTCCTCCTGCTCGTCCTGGAAAGGTCATTCTGCTTCCAAGAGTTCCTTCTACCTGCAGGGAAACTCAGAAACCGTCACAACCCATCAGAATCCATCAGAAACAAAACTCAATCAGAATTGAATCCTGCAGCATCAGGAAAAAAATGTGTCTGAGATCTTCCCGCATTGACACAACATGACACAGACACTGACAATACTGAGTCAATACTGTTGCAAACGCAGGACACAAAAACAGCATGACACATTACACGCTTGGCTTGCCTTGTACCTGATGCTGCAAATGAGGTAGAAAGTGTCTTCTCCATCTTTGATTTCCATCCTTTCCCATTGTAGCCAGGTTTGGACATGGTCAAGAAGCTGCAAACAGTCACTGTCATGCAAGCCCTACTTTATCCGTGTTCACCGTGCTCACCTGTCACATGCTAAAGCTGCATTTCTTGCCCCCTCTGCGGTGGTGAAGTCAATCGAAGAAGTGCGAACACCCTTCCCTCGTAGTCCACCCCTGGGCACGACACACACAAGTAGCAGGAGCAGCATCTACATGAGTGTAGGCCCAGTGTAGGCCTTTGAAAGCACAAGAGTGTCAGGCCACTGATTTGCTTCAAAAACCAAATGCACTGCTGTCTGGGTCTCGCACATGTAGACAGCTTCCACCTCACCTTCATACTTGCTGAAAAAGTCTTTGGTCTGTTCCGTAGTCCAAAGTGCGGGCAAGCCAAGGCAAAGCAAAGATCTTTCTTCATGCAGAGCTTTTTCATGAGGATCTCCCGAGCGATCTTCCTTTCCGTTCTTTCCAGGCCGTCGCCTCGCCTCCACAGCTTGACATGGCTTGACAGCGAGGCATGCGATGGCCATGCAACTGAGAGTCGCGAGAGCCGCGAGAGTCATCAGTTCGCCCAGCCTTGGACTTTCCTTTGGCATTTCCTTTGGCATCTCCTTCAGTTCGCGGCAGGGGCATTGTCTCAGAGCATGCGGAGCAAGACCCTTGGCAGTTGATAGGAATTTAGAGCATCCTTGTTCATTCAATTCAAATCCCAACCTCGAGCACCCACAAGCAAATTATTGCACAACACCCTAAACCTCCTGAAGCTTTCAAAAACATTTTTGCAAGCCCTTTCCAACTGGTTTTGGTCTGGGGCGGGACTCACATGCTTTGCAGACATGTCAACATGAGCACATTCATCTCAGTTGCAAGCTCATGCACTTAAGTGATCTCAAGCATCAGTGAGTCAGTGAGTAACTGAGTCAGCACCTATAAGTGAGCAAGGAAGCAAGTGTGTCTCATCCATTTCTGTGAAGTCAGACAGTATTCGATATTTTTACGCAACTCTATATATATATAAATTATCAAAGGAAGTTGGGAAGCAATACTTCCGAGTTACGGACAAATAGAATTCTGAGAATTGAAATGATGAAGGGTGGTACGTCATCTAACAACACATAACAAAAGAATAAGAAGCTATGCAGTTGACCTTGATGAAGGGTGGTAGATCACATAACAATACATAATGTAACAATACATAACAAAAGAATAAGAAGCTATGCAGTTGACCTTGATGAAGGGTGGTAGATCACATGACAATACAGAACAAAAGAATAAGAAGCTATGACACAGGGTGGGTGAAGAAGGCAAGTGATGATGAAGGGGAGTGGTGACGAAGGGAAGTGGTGAGGAAGGGAAGTGGTGAAGAAGGGAAGTGGTGACGAAGGGAAGTGGTGACGATGGGAAGTGGTGACGAAGGGAAGTGGTGACGATGGGAAGTGGTGACGATGGGAAGTGGTGACGAAGGAAAGTGGTTGACTAAGGGAAGTGTTGAGGAAGGGAAAGTGGTGACGATGGGAATGTGTGATGCAGGGAAGTTGTGATGACGGAAGTGTGAGTACTGGAAGTGGTGACTATTTGAAGTGTTTGTACCTGGAAGTTAATTTTTGACTGCTGGAAAGTGATGATGAAGGCGAGTGGTGAGGAAGGCAGGTGGGGACGATGGGAGGTGGTGAGGAAGGGAAGTGGTGAGGAAGGGAAGTAGACGATGGGATGTGGTGACGATGGGAAGTGGTGAGTAGGAAAGCAAAAAACACGACCCGTTGTTCGACGGGACGTGGTTCGTGCAGGGCAGTGGTTGACCGATTGGGGGAATGGTGAGTTCAGTGAATGTGTTTGAGGAAGGGAAGTGGTGAGGAAGGGAAGTGGTGAGGATGGGAAGTGGTGAGGAAGGGAAGTGGTGAAGAAGGGAAGTGATGATGAAGGCGAGTGGTGAGGAAGGCAGGTGGGGACGATGGGAGGTGGTGAGGAAGGGAAGTGGTGAGGAAGGGAAGTAGACGATGGGATGTGGTGACGAAGGGAAGTGGTGAGGAAGGGAAGTGGTGAAGAAGGGAAGTGGTGACGAAGGGAAGTGGTGACGATGGGAAGTGGTGAGGAAGGGAAGCGGTGACGAAGGCAAGTGGTGAGTTGGGGAGGACGCCGGAGCACGAAACCTTGTGTTTTTCCGTGTAAAGTGGCTGCAGCCAGCGATGAAAGGTACCTCGTCTGTGCGGCGGTTGCGGCTGCGGTCGGTTTGCCTTCTTTTTTTGCCGCATTGTAACGGTGGCTTCAAGCTGCTTTGGGTGTGCTTGTGTGTATGTGCGTAGTTATAGGGTGTTTTGGAATCTGTGCTTGCAGATCGCATTGGAATGGCTGCATGATGTTGCAAGGGCTCTGTTTTGGGGAGGAAGCCGGAGCACGAAACCTTGTGTTTTTCCGTGTAAAGTGGCTGCAGCCGGCGATGAAAGGTACCTCGTCTGTGCGGCGGTTGCGGCTGCGGTCGGTTTGCCTTTTTTTTCTTGCCGCAGTGTAATGGTGGCTTGAAGCTGCTTTGGGTCTGCTTGTGTGTGCGTAGTTATAGGGTGTTTTGGAATCTCCGGTTGCAGATCGCATTGGAATGGCTGCGTCAAGGTTGCTTGGTGTGGCGGCTGCATGCGTAATACTATTGTCTTTTGCAGCTGAAGATTGTAAATTGTCTTGGAGTGGCTGCATCCAGGCTGCGATAATGATTTGTCAGCAGATTTTCGCAATTTTGGCGGTAGCAATTTTCCTTCCAAAAATCCTTTTACAAAGTGCTTCAAAATCGTCTTTTTTCTGCTTTGGCGTCGAGATTTGGTTTTGGAGCTGCAATTTCCGATGCCGTTGCGTGTAGATCTATTGTGTTTTGCAACTCAGTCCCTGCAGATCGCAATGTAATGGCTGCGTCAAGGTTGCTTGGTGCCGCGGCTGCATGCGTAATACTATTTTCTTTTGCAGCTGGATCTCGTAAATAGTATTGGAGTGTCTGCATCAAGGCTGCGACAGTGATTTGTCAGCAGATTTTCTCAATTGTGGCGCTAGTAATTTTCGGTTTAAAATTCCTTGTAAAAAGTGCTTCAAGATTGTGGTTTTGTTGCTTTGGCGTCGAGATCCGGTTTTGAAGCTGCAAATTGTAGTATACTGGGAACGACTTTGTGCAAGCTTTGTAGTACAAAGTAGTACTGGGAAGTACTTTGTGCAAGTTTTGTAGTACAAAGTAGTACTGGCAAGTAATTTTTGTAAGGTTTGTAGTGCAAAGTAGTATTGGGTGCAAGCTTTGTAGTACCAAGTAGTAAGTACTGGGAAGTGTTTCATATTTCAAGCATGTTGTGTTTTGCATGCCGCATTGTTTTGGACGTTAACATGTTGTTTTGGACGTTAACATGTTGTTCAGGCCAAAGTCATGTCGTGTTGTATTGTGATGCTCGCAGCTGTGTTTGGCTTGAGTGATGATGCATGACGTGGTATGAATGCAAGAAAGATTTCAAACAGGCAGCAAAGAAAGAAGTGAATATTTCCATTTATTTGCTACAAAACACATTTCTTTCTTCCCTACTTCCGAGACGCGACAGTGCGGTCCGTCTCGTTTGCCATGGCTGGGGCTGTGCTTCCTGGCATGCAGTGTGTGCAGGGTCAAACGTTGAGTGACTATAAAACGAACATGCGCAATCATTTGCAGGCGCAGGCCACTCTTGAAAGCAACCACTGCATAGCTTGCGCGAAAAGTGAAGGCACGACATGCTATTACTCTCCCGGGGGACGAAATGAATACGAGAGAACTGGTGTCTGCGAAAGGATTGCATGCTCAATCCCGCGACTGCCATGCAAAAAAAGCTCCAACAGTGCAATAAACTGAATACCACTGGCGTGGAACAAGCGAGTCATTGGATAATGGTGGCAAAAGCCCGCAACTCATTGACAGTATCCCAACAGGACTATGTTTGGATTACTGATGTCAACGCCGGTCGAGGAAGGTTCGGTAATCCATTTGTTTGAGGCTTCCAGCGGGCATGCCCGTGCGGGCTGCAGCTGTAGCTGTCCTGCTGCAAACACGCAGTACTTTGTTTACTCACACGCTAGTGCAAGCTGCGTTGGAGCAGGAATTGAGGGCTCAGAGATGTTGCTGTCCATGGTGATACATGGTATGTCTGCGCTAGTGCGAGCCAGAGGATGACGTGAGACAGCATGCTGGAAGAAGAAAAAAGGATTGCTGTCGCTTGAGTCAGAGGGAAGAGTCAGAAGCAAGCTTTGTAGTACAAAGTCGTACTGGGAAGTAGTTTGTCAGCTAGTTCGTGGATGTAGGTTGCTATTTCGAGTTTTGTGTACGATATTGATGTAGGTAAATGTTGTGACATTGATGTCCAGGAACAAGCTATAGAACTCTTGACCAGAAACCACGGTGGCGATGTGTTCTGGCCGCAGCTGTTTGCATTTTCCAGGAGGCAGACATGTGTAGCAAGAAAGAATTGGGAACGTGCATTTGCCAGAGGTGTCATGTATTCAGGCCTCATGGTTTGTCACGAAGATTTTCTTATGTTTTGGAGCGGTTAGTGGATGAGAAAGGTATGCATGATGAGACAGCCATGTTCATAATTTCGGACGTCGCAGTGCGCAAGGAGACGTGGCAGTGCGGCCCGTTTCCTAAGACTCGGTGGAGCCATGGCGCAATCGGGGACCTTTGCTGATCTGTGGTCATACATCGAGAAGGAAGCGGTGACTTTGAAGGTTCTGGAATGTAAGACGTTGAAAGCTTGTCTAAGCACCGGAAAATGTTGGAAGTATTACAAGATGTATCTTGCTCTTGAGAAAACACTTTCTGCCGAACAGACTCAGGTGATAGAAGAATGGGAAAAACAAAACTGCGTGTCAGATGTGCGATCAGCCTTTCGGAATTTCTGTGCTGCTGCAGAAGCGCACTTAGAGGAGATGAAGGCTTTGGGAAAAGGTACATTGCGTGATGTCTGCACGAGTAGGGCTGCTTCAGAGAGTAGAACTTGGGGAGGCATTTGTTATCGTTTTGTGAAGAACTACACATATGAGAGGTTGAATGAAGAAGAAAAGGAAAAGTGGAAGGATTTGGAACGGCGGGTATGTGTGAAGCATGCCTCTGCGCAGCCCGAGTTCGATCGTTTCGTCAAAATTCTTGAAGATAACAGAGAAGAGTTGCAAGGGATGCAAAAGTCTACGCTGCTTCAACTCATGTGTGCAGCTGAGCGTACAGGTAAGCCAGAATATGTATTTGGCAGAATTTTTTGGCGACGGAGCTATGAAAAGCTTGATGAAGATATGAAGGCGACGTTGCAGGAATGGGAAGCATTGTTGTGTGTGTTCCAGCGGTTGATTCGGTAGACAAGTTCATGCAGATCCTGGATCGAAGAAAAGTAGAATTGCAATCCTTTGGCGCAGCAAGTGTTGAGTCTTTGTTTGCAGTGCACGCCATGAAAGGAGATGCCGAACTTCGTTGTTGTTATGACTTCATGCAACGCACGTTTCCGAGTCTGGCACGTTTCCGAGTCTGGCAGAGGAGACGAAAGAGATGGTGAGAAATGCCCTAGGACAGCTCTTGCCAGCAGCAGCCACTGTGCCGCTGAAGAAATCACATGAAGCCAAGTTGCATAGCCGGGAGACAGTCTTGGGAGATAACTTGCCACGGCCGAGGTTGCCGAAGAGTTTGCGACAACTGTACGGAAATTCCGCAGATGCCGAAAGCCGCACCATGGTTTTTTTCCATCGTGTCAATGAAGTCGATACTTTTTTGAACGAGCTTGAATTTCAAGACTGCTCGTATTGTCACGAAGGATGGTTTGGCACCAAGCGGACGAAAGCACAGTTGCCGGGGAAGTTTGAAACGCAAACTTTCCAAAAAACAAATTTTGTGCAAATGCCGAAAAAAGATTGGCTTGAGCCCGAGAGACCGATCTGTGATATGTGCTTAAAAGAAGCCAAAAAGCGAGCGCAAGATGGCTTGCCGAAGCAACCATTTCGATTGACTGCCGAGAACTTTGCAGATCCTGGCGACACGTTGCCAGAAACGGATGCTTTGACATTTCGTGATAAGCTGCCAAAAGCCTAGACGACCAAGTGTAGCGCAGAGAAAAAAGCAGCTGTTGACCTTGGACTGCGTGAATCTCCTTGACAGGTAACAACTACGCCATGTTTACACTTGCCGTTGTGATTTGATGCAATGCATCAACGCTTGGCATTAATGACCTCAATATTGTAAATATTTTATGGTCTACGCCTTTTGGCATGTAGAAGAATCGACATGAGTTACGCTCAACCTTGCTGACGTGCAGAAGCGCCGAGATAAGTTGAAAGTAGCTCCAACGCATGAGAAAGTTTGAGCTGCACTCAGATGACATGAAAATAGCCAAGAAGAACGTAGCTGACATATGGGAAGACATGAAACCAGATGAAAAGAGCTCAGATGTGAAGTGTGAAGGGTGCAATGTGATGTGTGAGGAAAGTGCTTGCTTCACGTTGCATTGCACCGGGGACGCGCGCAGGTCATGTTCTTGGACAACAACATTGCAACAGCTTCGCACAAAGCACCCACGCACGGGCCTGGCTGGCGCACTGCGCATGCAAGTTCCTTTGTAGTAGTAGGGGAAGTGATTCATGAAAGCTTAGATGACATATGAGAAGAGACGAGATGAGAGGAGCTCAGCTGGGATAAGGTGAGAAGAGCTCAGATGAGATGAAGGGTGCAGTGTGAAGTGTGGGGCAAGAAGAGTGCAGTGTGAAGTGTGTAGTGTGGAGTGTGAAGACTGTCAAGTGTGAAGTGTGAAGTGGAGCTTCAAATGTGACATGTGAAACAAGACACCAGTTTCGCAGAGTGCACGCACGCACGGGCTTGGCTGGCGCACGGCGCATGCAAGTTCTATAGATGAGAAAGGTCTTATATATATATATATCTTTAAGGCAACTTCCGCCCGCCTCGTGCGGGTACTACTGGTATATATATATATATCTTTGTCTGTGTATGTGTACAAAAATCTTCTGTCCCCTTTTCCAAGCACGTCTCCCAAACTCGTGTCCTGGTCTGCTCCTCTCCTCCTGTGGTTTCTCCTCACCTTCGTTTAAACTTTTGCCTTTTCCTTCTCTTCCTTCCCTTCCTTCCCTAGGTCCGTAACCTCTGAATCCTTTCCCGACTTTTTTTCCGGCCTCACAATTTTCAGCAACTTGGGCCACTTTGACAACTTGGACAACTTGGCAAGCCCAGCTTCCGAACAACTGACTGACTTTTTATTTTCCTGTTTCGTCAGTTTGGCAGTGGCGCAGCTTTCAATACCCTGAGCCTTGGCATCTTTGATCCTTGTCTTGACAATAGCAACCGAGTCCCGGCAGCCATACATAGATCCAAAATCGACAACTTTCCATGCGACTTCAAAGTCCAGTGATCTGAGCAGCTCCTCTGCTTCCTCATTTATCCAGTTTGAATTTTTGGCCATAAAGGCATCAATGAGATCATCGACAGAGGATTCTTGATGGGCTTCCATCCAATCTCGATGCACCTTGAATTGGGCAGTCAGTCAATTGCTTTTGGAAACTGTCGATGTCTTGTCTGAACGCGTATTCAAACCAGTTGATATGTTGGTCATTGGCATTCAAAAAAAGAATGCTTCAAACAGTTGCTTACTGCACACGCATCGCCACGCGCCTGCAAGCAACCGTTCCATGCTCTTGATCTAATGATTGCCACCGGATCTCTGCAGTTGGACAACGAACCTTCTTTGATGACCTCAAGGCGGAGGGACGGCAGCCTCTGAAGCCTCTCTGCTGATGAAAAGCAAGCTGAAAAACTATCCTGTGTCTGTCCTGAGAAATCTCACTCAATCCTGTTTATTCGGGGTTAAGCCTCCAGCATATCGTTGGTCCTCCTTGCTCATCTGCCGAAATATCTCCTGCAAATCAAGCAATTCACAGTAGAGCACAACAAACGCATTTGAGCATTTGAGCATGTGAGTCATGATGTTAGAAAATCTGCCTCGGCTTCATGGGAGAGAAACCGCCGGTTCGCTATGACAAAGGCAGTGACATCCTCACGAAAATAAATGGCACCACGTTGTGACAATCATTGTGGATGCTTGAAAAGTTTGAACACTGAAAGTGTTTCATACAGCAAGTTCATGCGTGTAAAAAGCAGTGCTTTCTGAAGGGAGTGTGGCGCGTCTCCTCGGTCACACTCCAAGTATCTGATCTTAGGAGCAAACAGAGAGCACAAGAGCGAGAGAGAGAGAGAGAGAGAGAGAAAGAGAAAGAGAAAGAGAAAGCGAAAGCGAAAGCGAAAGCGAAAGCGAAAGCGAGAGAGAAAGAGAAAGAGAAAGAGAGAAACAGAGTATCGTGGGGCTAGGACTTCTCCGATGGGGTAGAGTGGGGTGGGGTGGGGCAATAACGTTCAAGTGCATTTGCGTACATGTGTGATGCTACGCAGTTGTACGTTCGCTGGCACGTCGGCAGACATATGATGCTACGCTGAGGATGTGCTACGTCATGCATATGGGGTGGGGTGGGGTGAGGTGGGGGCTACACATCACGCTACACTCTTATGATGTTACACATCACGCTACCGTGGGAATGTTAAAAAGAAATTGCAGACAGAACATGATAACAAAGAAATGTAAGTAGAACGCAAAAAAAAAATACTGACTATCAAGATGCGGCTTGGTTCATGACGTCAGAAAAGACTGCAAATACCAATACAAAATGGCCTCTTTCATTTTCACTGACGTTTCCCAATGAATTTTACCCTTGTTTCATTTAAGAATGAATATGTAAAAATTTAAAAAAAAAAAGAGGGAAAATCAACAATTCTAAACCTTGCAGACACATAATAATAACAAAGAAATATGAGTGGAAGACACAAAAACCTCTGACTATCAAGCTGCGGCTCGGTTCACAACGTTACAAAATACTGCAAATACCAATACAAAAAGGCCCTCTCTCATTTTGACTGGCGTTTCCCAATGATTTTGCGTTTCTTTTTCAAATGAAAATGAATATGTTGAATCAAAAAAGGCAAAAAAAACAGGGAAAATGAACATGTCCAGGATAGAGGCCAATGAAGAGTACATGTTGTACCTCAACTTATGTAAATGGTCAAAAAAAACGTCCGTCAAACATCGAGTTGTCAAGACAAATCACAATGCTCAAACATGTGCAAATTACCAAAGCGAAAACATAATTTTCAACATGTCCAATCACCCACAAACATGACGCATCGGCAAACTTAGCGCCCCTAGCGTATGTGTATATATATATGTATATGTATAACACAGAATGTCACAAAATTCAACGACCAACGCAGCTCTCCTCCTCTGTTGGTTCGTCATCCATGATCCGCAGAAGGGAATCCCATCACCAGGCCATGGGACTGGTTCGTACTCGACTCATCTCTTTGCCAGCTAGGATACACGATGATACACGATGATACACGTGGTATTATGACTTGGCATTGTTGTGGAAGTTGAAAGCTAAGACAGCTAAGATGCACTCAGTCTGCAACGTATCTTTACCCGGCACACCTCTTAGTTGCATGCTAAAGGTGAATGGCTTCTCGCTGAATCCACAGACTCCACAAACGCTATTCCACTTGATCAGAAAGGTAGAGACGTGTTGTTCAAACGTCAAAGTTTTAAAATTTCCCGGTTTCGCGATCACAGCTAACTGCAGCTCACGAGGTCAGATCACCTTTACTCTGCCCATTGGAATACAGTTCCAAAGCTTTCTAAAGCTTTCTAAAGCATACGTTCAGCGTACTTTTGGCCACAAAACAAACATCAAAACAAACTCAGCCCGGAAAGACCGGAAAGAGGCTCCTGGGTCTTGTTTACGCGGAGCCTCTTTCGAGTGCCAGAGCCGCATGACGCAGTACACCTGAACAGAGCAAAGTCAAGAATTTGCACTCTATATAAATATAGTTACAATTATAAATATATATATATAATTATATATGTAGTACATATATATATATACACACACATTTTAGTTACATACGTGTTACATATGTGTTGAAGGTGTTACGCAACTGTCTGTAATGTAACTTATGTGACTGTTCTGCTGCCTCCAATTTCTTTACATGATTTCACAGCTCAACTTGCACTGAGGGGCAGGCCCTCCCCAGTCTTGCCAATCATGCCATTCACCATCCACGCAGCACATAGCCTGGAAGCGTGCGATGTAGTATGTTGGCCTGTCTTCCACATACACACTCCAGATTTCAAGACAGAAAACACAAAATGCAGAGGTACTGCAAACACTTTGCTGTATGCCAACATTGGTCTTGCCTGCCCCCTGCAGCCACTCACAGGCATAACCTCTTCGAATGGCCTCTTCAAGTGGGCACCCAGGTCCGCGAACTGTAATTAGTTAGAGGCGGTCTAGAGGGCAAGTCGAAAAAGCATACACTTTTGATAAATTGAATCTAGTGCCAACATGTTGAAAAACAAGTGAATCCGAAACGAATCCAAAACGATCAAATTGATTCAATTGAATAAAACTGAATAGAATCAATTGAGTTTCATCAAGAAAGCCATCCGCGCTTTGGATCACAAAGAGCACCGCTGCGGGATGGCATAGTAGCGATGCTGCGGTTGCGACCTGACACTGCCCAGCCTCTCATGTTGCTCTTTTAAGCATACTCGCTATTTTCCTGTCTTGCAAAGTGAAACCTTTTGCATCCTTCAAGTACACTGGTGAAACTTGAGAGCAGCGCGTTTGTACCCGATACCACACTCTGTAGGTGCCTTGATTCAAGTTCCCTCTTTTCAGACCTCTCATGTGACAGGTCTCATCAAGCTCTCTCTCTGCAGGAAGACCCATCGAGGGTCTGGCAGGCACACAATCGGACCACTCATTCCAGTTGCCCCACACACAGTCAACACCATCGTGGCACGGGGGAGAAGTGCATTGATCAGCCTGAAACAGAACTGGTTTTCTACACGGCAAACTGCAGGAAGTTGGTGAAACAACAAAACAAAAACACTGAAATAGACGGTACATATCTTCAAAAGCAGGTATGTCAACGTATATGTGGACAGGTATGGGGGGAATATGCAAAAGCATAAACATGTAGACATATGCATATATGCGTAATTTATATACATATATATATGTACACATACATACGTGTATATATATACACATACATGCACATACATCTAGATGTCGTATATGACTCAATATACATTTTAAAAAAATACATACAGTGTAAATATATATATATGTATATTTATATCCGCCGACCCCAGCCGGCGGCAAGGGGAAGCACATCAGAGAAGAGATTACGCGCAGCATGTGCCGGAGAACAGTTGGAGCGAAGGGAAAGCGAAGAGAAAAGCTGGTTTTTTGTCGATTCAGACAGCGACGTTAGGCACCAGCAATAGCAGGCCGAGGGCACGATCCGTCCGTCACCGGCACGCTGGTGTATAAATATATATATATGTATATACACATATCTATATATATATGTGTATATATCTATGTATATATATATGTATATATAAAAGTGTATATATGTATATATATACATATATGTATATATGTATACATATATAAATGTATATATGTATATATGTATATATGTATATATGTATATATGTATATATGTATATATGTATATATGTATATATGTATATATGTATATATGTATATATGTATATATGTATATATGTATATGTATAAATATGTATAAATATGTATAAATATGTATGTATATATATATATGTGTGTCTATATATGTATATGTATATATATATGTAAATATGTATATGTATATATATACATATATATACATATGTATATATATATATGTATGTATGTATGTATATATATGTATATGTATATATGTATATATATATGTATGTGTATATATATATGTATGTATATATATATGTATGTATATATATATGTATATATATACATATGTATGTATATATATGTAGATATATATATATACATATATGCATATATATACATATATCTGTAAATGTATATATGTATATGTGTATGTGTATATATATATGTATACATATGTATATATATATATGTATATATATATATATGTATATATGTATATATGTATATATGTATATATGTATATATGTATATATGTATATATGTATATGATTTATGTATATATGTATGTATATGTATATGTGTATGTATAGATACACATAGCGTGTACATGTGTATGTATATATATATTGCTCATGTAAAGAAAAGTGTATGTGTATGTAATAAGTAGAGAAAGGTACATATATGTATATAGAGATTCCATATACATAGATATACATGTGCGTATATATTTATATATGCCCATATGCATGTACATATCTATATATGTGCATACATATATACATGTGCACACAAATATACATATGTATATATGTGCATACATACATACATATGTATACAAATATACACATGTACATATACTACATACACTCATATATATATATATATATACGTACATACATTACATTGTATTGTATTGCACTGCAGTACATTACATTGCATTTTTTTTACCTATGTTACATTCTGTTCGATTCCAGTCCCTTCCATCCCATTACATTGCATTGCATTACATACATTACATACATTACATACACTGCATACAGTACATACAGTGTATATATATATTACATACATTATATTATATATATATACATTACATGTAATTACATTATATTATATACATTACATTACATGTATATATTATATACGTCACATTACATTATATTATATCATATATATATATAATTTATATACATTACTGTACATGTATTGCATACATTGTATACATATGTATACATCACATCACATGACATCACATCACATCACATTACATTACATAAACAACATACAACACATCCAAAACATACAAACCATACGCAATATACACAATATATACAACATACGCAACATACATATCATACATGCCAGTACATAATACCATGCCACACCAAACCATACCGTACACCTTGGATTCCATTACATTACATCACATTACATCACATTGCATCGCGTTGCATCACATTACACCACATTACATCAAATTACACCACATTACATCACATTACACTACACTGCATACACTCGTAGATATAATGCATATATATATACAAACGCATACCTTTGTAATTACATGCATACATGTACATTTACATTACGCATAGGTTAATAAAAATACAAATATAATATACATACTGTTACTAAAACATGTCTGTGCAATTCAGAGAACGAATGGCAAGCGCAGGTTCACTTAGAGAAGGGCAGAAATACAAGTTGCTGTAGGTTTGCGTAACGCTGGAGAGTAAGAGCTGCACCAACCGAACATACAAAGCGACGAACAGACTTTGCCAAATTTAGATGTCCTCACTCTCTCTCTTATTCATTCTCTCTCTCTCTCTCTCAAATTTACGCACTGCGGTTTGTTTGGGAAAAAGATGTGAGAAACGTAAAACGACTCTAGGTTCTGGTCAGTTTCTCCACGCAGCAGTCTGTTCCTGAGTTTGAAGTATGTGTGACACCATGGGCGCTGGTATCTGTGAATGTCCTCTGCAGGACAGGCCTGAATCAGCATGCCAGCACATCCTTCAACACCTGACAGATCAAAGAAGTCGAAGTCGGGAAAATGTGCTCGAAGAATTTCGAGTGATAGGAAACTGATCTGGCTCGGCTACAGCAACTCGCAGCTCCATCCTCCAAGAGCTGGAAGTGCAATTGTGCGCGATCTTTCCTGTACAATTCGAATGCCGTTTTGCTTTGACCCTTCAGGACTAAATTATAGGGTATTTCCCCTTTGTTCGTTGATTTTTGGCATTTTTTGATCGTTTTCATTCGTCACATTTTGTCATTACTTGTGAGTTCTCTACGGATTTCGATTGTGCTTTATCATTTTTGAGTCAGTGTTTCCAAGTCTCTGAAAGAAATTGAAAGAATCTACAAGCGACTTCAAGCCTACTCAACGCAGTCCTTGTATCCTTCTCCGCAAGAAACAGAACATTGACTCCACCTTGACCACTGAGAGTACTGACACACCTGGGCGTCATCAAATGTCATTAGGCAGAAATGAAACATGAGCAGCTAGATCAAGCTGCACTTGTGAACTTGGAGCAGCACCGTATTTGGAGAATTCGGACATGAAACCTGATAAAAGGACACGAAACATCCAACCCCCTTTTCAAGCGAGACGCGCGGCAGAACACATCATATTGACATGACATCTGACATCTGCTCAATCATATTCTTAATAATGTTAACAGCGTTGAATATCGATTGAATATCGATTCGATTCACCCTATTTTACTCCATTACACCTTTAAATTGTAGCGTTTGAGTCGATTCAGCATCGCCTGTCCACAAGGCTGCGTTTCTAGCAGTGTGCCCGAGCAGTGTAGACCTCGACAGTGGTGCAAGCACTACACAGTTTCCGCACATCAACCTGACCTGTGAGAATCCTGCCTCCATGCATATGGGGCTTGATGATCCGGGATCGCGAACTCAGTGAAAAGCTGGACGTTCAAGTTGCACGTTGGAGCTGGACTCTGACTCAAGTGAGACTTTTGTGAAAGTCCTGCATGAGTCCTGCATGAGTCCTGCTTGAGTCCTGCTGTGCATTAGTTCCAGCCTTTGTGCTCCTCCGCAGCTCTTGGGACATGGACTCCACCTCGACAAAATGACCAATGACCAATGACTGCAATGACTGCAATGACCAAAACACTCGAGACAAAACTTGACCAAGCATGCTGCGGCGCTGCGGAGTGCGACCGAGCCATTTGTGGATCGTCTCTTCTCAGGATGCTAAGAAGTTCTAAGAAGTTGGCTCGCTCCAGGCAGAAAAGACATCAGCATCGCAATCGCTCGGCAATGTCACGTCCTTGCCAAGGGGCAGTTTTGTTGCTTGGCAAAATACATTGAGAGTAATCAAGCAATGTCAAAAAATGTCAAGCACTTGCTGAGTCTGGACAATTCGGAGGTCGAAACGTCTCCGCAGTTCTAGATTCCACCACTCTCGGATTCGTTTGGGATCCGTGGCTCCTTCCCACAGCCTTTGGTTTCAACCTGCACACCTTGGCAAGGTTCTCCCACAGCATCTGCCTCGCACTGGGCATTTCGACACACTGTCTGCAAGACTCACAGCGCCTCCTTGTCAAACCACATGTCACTGCTACGTCATGTCTCAAAATGTCTTGGGGAGCCCGACTGGATGGATGATTTCTCTCCTTCGCACCTGGATCACGAAATGATGCTGCATGCTACTGCATGCTACTGCGTGCACTGCGTGCACTGCGTGCATTGTTTCGGGTGTGTTTCTCTACGTTTCTCTCAGGTTCCGGTCCTGCTGACTTCCATCGCACTCCTGCCACTCAGACCTGATTGGATCAGAGCTCTGAGCTGAGTGACTGCTCATGGCACTCATGTACATCAGCTTCGAGATCTTCGAGATCTTCGAGAATCAATGTGGAGACTGTCAGAGTCGATGTCTAAGCCATGTCGAAGCCAAGTCTAAGCTTGCGGCCATTGCTCCCAACTACAGTCGATGCCAATCGATTTCTCGGCGCACCTTATATTGAATGTAAAAATCCATGAGCAAAGCCAATCCTGATGTTCATGTATACTGTATACTGCACGAGTACTATGAGTTTTACTTTCAATAACCTTGTCATCTCAAGCTGCAAATATCATGGCCTCCCAATGGTTCTAGGTCTGCTGCGGTCGGATCTTGCATCGCTTAAGAGACTTCAAGCCTTCCGATACAAAAAGCTTGCTAAAGTGCCCAAAGTGCCCAAAGTGCCCACACTCAATCTTGGACTCTCACAGACTCTCACAGTCTCGGATCTCTCTGGGTTCCAAACTGCCCAAGCAAGCCTTCCCACCTTTGGAGGCCTGTACCAAGGACGCACAGGTCTCCCCAAAAACAGCCTTTGTCTCCATTTGCTTTCGCCAAATGCTTGCTTGGAGAGACTAGATATGATATCACTAGATGATAAAATACAGCAAGTGGATTTAAGTAGAAGAAGTAGCTAGTTCCAATTTCGGCCTGTGTTGCAACCGCCCTTGAGCGAGACTGCTGTCCATTTCCGCACCTCAACAGCGTGGAAAAGAATCTTGGTCGAATCAAAGGAGCTGAAATGTCAGAAAGTCCATTCATGCCTGCTCATTCTGTGCAAGGCCCAAACGAATGTGAGCATTCATTCCATTCTTTCCACTCTGTAAAGCTGCAGTCGACGGGCGCATTTGGCCTTACTTCCGGCAAATCTGCTTGAAGTTCTTCGTCTCGAACTTGCTACCAAATTCAATTTTGTTCAATTTTTGATATAACTCAAGTTGGATCTTGAAAGAGAAAACTTCATATTCAAGAACTAGATAGAATTAGTGGATGAGGAAACAAATCCATACTCCATGAGTTGACATGACAATCAAGACCTCTGTTGTTCAGGCAAACGCCTAGATGGAGACGCGTTGTGCCATATTGTGCCGTGAAACTCTGAGACTTGTCAGGAATTTGTCCGGAGTTTGCTTTAACGCCTATGCACTGAACATCAAGCCGTCCATGGGAGAGTTCACAGCAAAATTCATTGATGTCGCACTCACAAATGGGCTTGCAAACAGGATACTCCTTACGAAACCTATGAAATTGAGCATGGGACCCAGTCAAGCAAGAAGCAGTCTCGTTGAGGGAATTCAAGGAGCAAGCCTGCCACTGCGGCTCTACGTGCACTGCAGATACCCCAATCCAGTTGTGGCACAGGCTCTTCAATTCTTGAACCATCCGGGACCATCTGTTTCTCTCATGCATTGGATTCGTGTCAAGTTGCTACATTGCTACATCTTTACATTTTTTGGGCCCATCAAAGCTCTCTGTTCGAATCTGATTTCAGTTGATTTCACAATGTCACCTTGATCCTCACAATGTGTTGCATTGGAGCCTTTCCGTTGAAAGCTCCTGGCTCCAGTACCTGCCTGGACCGGTACCTGGCAGGCTTGGCTGGAAAAAAGGTTCACAAAAAGGGTTCTACATGATTATAAAGGCTAGATAGGCTAAATTTAAGCACTCTAGACAGACTGGATAGTTTTTTCAGGCTCATTCACTCGGTTGCAAACACGCCGCTGTTTCCACTTGATTCTGAATTCTGGCGCTGTGACTTGTTGGTAGACTGGCGCACTTGTTGTCCAGGGACGATGCACATGCTGACCAAGAACTCCATTCACCGAGCACACAGTCCTATCCAAGAAAGAATCAACTCATATTCCACAGCTCAAACCAGTTAGAGCATGTTACAGCAACAACCACGACCACGACACCCACAACGCTGTGCATCTTGAATCGCTTTCAACATTGCTGTCCTTGTCGTGGCAATTCGCCTCACACGGCTTTGTACTCTTCAGTGTCCTGGGCACTTGGCGTCCAACCCTGACAGACCCTGACACATCCTGACAGCGTTCGTGGCAAGTAAAGTCACTGAGTTCCGGTCCCCTCGCATGGCTTGCCACACTCATTGTTTGGAACCGCAACCCTCCGATGGCGAGTACAAATGCCCTCAGGCCGGCGTTGGTCCAGGTACAAGCTTCAGCTTGCACATGGTCTCTAGATGTCTCAGTCTCTAGGAATCTCTAGGAATCTCTAGGATCTAAAATTGTGTATGGTTTCTCTGGAAAGTCAAACCAATCATTTCTCTGGCATTTTGCAGTCAAGCGACCTCGCAAAAAGGGGTACTCCACTCAGACCATCCGCTCAACTCACAATCCTCAACTTTGCCCTCTAGGGTAAGATGCCAAACATACTGTAGTGAGACTGTGCAGCAGAGAATAGCAGAGGCAATGTGAGAAAATGTGAGACACTGTAATGTTTAGCAAGGTCTCCTTCGGCGCACAAGCCTCACAAGCTGGCAAGTCGCACCTTGAGAGGCATGGCATGGTGTCAACACAGAGGATTCGTTGCAACTGTATCGGTGGTATTCCATCATACGTGTTCATTCTACTTACCTGTGATGTGCATCTGTAGAAACAGAACCGGACTTTGCGTAATTAAACATAAATACTAACCTCAAGCTGCTCCGCAAAAGCCCCAAAAAGTTTCTCCATTGATAGGATTCACGCGGATATTGGGACTGTGAGATTCTGAGATATTGGAACTTTTGCTTAGAACCTGTCAGTACCTTGTAATGAAATTGGGCCAGGACCCCTTAGCCACTTGAAGAATACTCAAGAACCACAACACTCCCAGCAGTGTTTGAAAGGACTTCAAACCATTATCCTGACATTTGCTGGCCTGCGAAATCACAGAACGTCATCTTTGAAGGTCAATTGTTCTTGACAAAATCTGAACAATGCAGAAGTTCGGATGAATTAGCACCGCAAGAACCCGCAACATGCGAGGCCCTGGCGGCTGGACGTCCGACACGCTTCCTTTACAGTCCTGAGCACTTGAGACGATTGCAGCGGAAAGATGGACATGGGTTTGATGATCAGCAAGACTTGAAGGCATTGGTTCATTGACTCTTGTTGACCAAGTGAACGTTTTTTCTTTGCAAGAAAAGGAACTACACAAGATCAAAGAGCAGTCGGATCCAGGCCTTTTTAGAAGATGCCACTGCAAGGGGACTAGATGGCCTTTTGTCCTGCCCAATTTGACGATTGTGCCTCACCTGTTCTGACTTGTTCTGACCTGTTCTGACCTGTTCTGACCTTTTCTGACCTGTTGACCTATTCCATTGTTTTTCAAATTTTCATGCCAAAGTTTCAGCCAAACACCGCAGTCCGTCATCGCCAGGGTGCGCTGGCGGACATGGTTGCCCGCGCCACAAGTCTGACAGAACGCAAGTCTGAAGTAGCAAAGTTTCGCGTTTCCTTTGACCTCCATTTTTGCGTTGACAGGCGAACCAGCTTAGTTGAGAAAATATCATTCCTTCAATACCACCAAGTCACCACCGGAACACTGCCAAGACACCACGGAAAAACCCAAAACATGAGCAAAACACCCAAAACATCACCAGACACCGTCAAGATACTACACTACGGACACACCACCAAAGTGTCACCAATACACCAACGACCACCGAAACAAAAATTGACAGACCACCCAAAAGGATCTGCAAAGGGTTTTTCCCAAAAAGTTGTTGCCAACATATTTTGTCATGATAAATTGTCCCCATCACCATCTTCTCGCATCACCATCAACACAACACCGTCACAACAACATCATCACAGCACCATCATCATCATCATCGTCATCGTCATCGTCATCATCATCATCATCATCACCATCATTTTCATCGTGATCACCTTCTTCTTTTCACCGACCATGCCCACATCATCTACATCATCAACAACAACAAAAGCAACAACATCATCACTTTTCATTTTTGGCACGTTTCAAGTTGTGCATCTACAAAATGAGATACACAGGTGTACATGCAGGCATGTAAATATGAATATATTTTATGGACGCAGGCGGTGCAGGCGCATAGATGCAGATACAAAGAGCCTTCTTTAAAACAACTACTACATGAGTATTTGCAGGTGTAGTGCGGCAGGTGCACAAAAATGTGTATATATAGCCTCGTCCCCGCTTCTGGAACTGCGGACCACCTGAATTAGGTTGGGAAAACTTGTCCATTCCGGGACGAAATTTCGTCCCGGAATTTACAAGTTTCATTTGGGTCATTTTCATCATCATCATCCTCATCATCATCAACATCATCATCAGCATCATCGTCATCATCATCATCACATCATCAGCATCATCATCATCATCATCATCAGCATCACATCATCATCATCATCATCATCATAATCATCAGCATCATCATCATCATCATCATCATCCTCGTCCCCGCTTCTGGAACCGCGCAAACCTGAATTAGGTTGGTAAAACTTGTCCCGTTCACATGAACGTTAACATCCTGCCGCAAGTGCACATGAACGTTAACATCCCACCCCACCCCCCACCCCACCCCGCGTGTGCGTAGCATCAACTGCTGCCGCAAGTTCACATGAACGTTAACATCCCACCCCACCCCCCCCCCCCACACCCTGCCGTGTGCCACCCCACCCCACCCCACCCCCCACCCCGCGTGTGCGTAACTGCTGCCGCAGTTCCAGAAGCCAGGACAAGCCTATATATACATATATATATATACATATATATTATATATATACATATATATATATGTATATATTTATATGTATATATATATGTATATATATATATACATATGTGTATAGATAGATAGATAGATAGATAGATAGATAGATAGATAGATAGATAGATAGATAGACAGATAGATAGATAGATAGAGATAGATAGATTAGATAGATAGATTAGATAGATAGATAGATAGATAGATAGAAGATGTATTATAACGGCTGCTTTTTTACGAAGAACCCTTCGCAGGCGCTCTCGGGAAAAACCTGTGCACTGCAGAATGCTTGCAGCGTTCCGAAACCAAAAACTATAACTTGCACAGTATGTGCAACATACTGGGGCAAAATGCATTGCATCGCATGGTGTCTGAATTATGTTGTAACTATCACTTGCAAACCGCATGGCACGCGCAGCATTTTGAAATTAACTGCTGAAAGTTGGATGCTACTTTGCGGCTTGCTGAAGCTCAAAGCTGCAAGTGGAATGGTATTTGCAACATGTCGGAATTATCATCTGCACATTGCACATACTGGCATGGTGTTTGCTGCGTGTTCCGCTAAAATCTATAAACGGCATGGTGCTTACCACATTTTGAAACCAAAACCTGTAAATTGCGCGGAGCTTGCAGCTGTTTGAAAGTAACATGTGTAAATTGGAAGGTGCACGCAGCATCTTGGAGCTAGGCCGTTGTTTCTTGCTTTCTGTCGTCCTTCCTTCCTCCCTCCATCCTTCTTTCCCTTCCTGCTGTCCAAATTATGTCCTTCCTTCCTGTTTTTTTTACGCTGATACTTTTTCTTTTGATACATCTGCGTGAGAGTCGCGACGCGAGCGTACAGTAGCATGCAGAAAGTACGTCAACTCCTCTAGTGCGGTGAGCAGCCCGCAGCCCTGGTTGCTGCGTGGCATTCAGGACATGTTTGGAATTTAGTTGTTTCGGTAGAAGCATCATAGTAAGTACGCTAATTGATTCCGAACATACGCTAACATCCGTCCCGACCCCGGCCTCACCCAAGCATGCAAACGCAACCGAATTGACATCGTGATCATCATTATCATCATGATCATCATTATCATCATTATCATCCTCCTCCTCATCTCATCATCATCCTCATCCTCATCTTCATCATCATCATCATCACCATCATCATCATCATCCTCATCGTCATCATCCTCCTCCTCCTCATCATCATCATCAATACCACCAACTCCATCACCATCACCATCACCATCATCATCAATGTCATCCTCATCCTCATCCTCATCATCATCCTCCTCATCATCGTCGTCGCCGTCATCATCATCATCATCATCAGCAGCTATCATGATTGTCAGCATGACAACAGGATAGAACCGTTATAATTACTTGCGGCATGGTGTGAGCAACCCAGAAAACACCCTCAAGATTTGAGCAACGCGCAGAGAAACGCCACCGAGACACAACCAACCGACCACCCACACAACCGCCTCGACACCACCAACATGACGCCACCAAGATACGATCAAGACACCGCGAACACCTTGTATCAGCATCGAAACTGCTGAGGCACCACCAAGGCAACACCGAGTTACCAGCGAGGCACCACCTGGACACCATGAAGGCACCACTGAGGCACCATCAAGAGAGCACAACGCCATGCAGACACCTTCCAGACGCCACCGCAAGACTACCAAGACATCACTGAGACATCACCAATACACCACCAAAACACCACAGAGACACCACGAAGACATCAAGATTGCCAAGGAGCTTGCCAATCCTGATTGCCATCAAGGCACCACCAAGAAATCACCAAGACATCACCAAGACACCAACTCCACAAACACCACCAAGACGCCACCGAACTATTAGGGAAAAACCAGCAAGAAAGCAGCAAGAAAGCAGCAAGAGAGGAAAGAAAGAGACCAGCAAGAAACCAGCAAGAGAGCAGCAAGAGACCAGCAAGAAACCGGCAAGAGACCAGCAAGAGACCAGCAAGAGAGCAGCAGCAACCAGCAAGAGACCAACAAGAGACCAACAAGAGACCAGCAAGAAACCAGCAAGAGACCAACAAGAGACCAGCAAGAAACCAGAAACAGCAAGGGACCAACAAGAGATCAGCAGCAACCAGCAAGAGACCACAGAGAGACTACCAAGACACCACCGAGACACCACGGACACACCGCCAAGACACCACCGAGGCATCACCAAGACACCACCGAGACACAAACAAGACACCATAGCGACACCACGTAGACACCACGTAGACACCACGTAGACACCACGTAGACACCACGTAGACACCACGTAGACACCACGTAGACACCACCGAGACCCCGCCAAGACACCACCAAGGTACCAACGAGATACCACCGAGACACCACCACCGAGACACCACCGACGAGACACCAGCGACGAGACACCACCGAGACACCACCGAGACACCACCAAGACACCACCGAGACACCACCGTGACACCACGGTGACACCACCGAGGCACCACCGAGACACTGAGCCACCGAGACACCGAGACACCGAGACACCGGCCAGGCCGGCAGCCGTGAACCCGACGGCGCCCGACCGCCTTTAGAGTTAACAACCCCAAGCTATCGCTATTGGGAAATTAATCAACAAGAAAACAAACGAATGCTGTCAACAAGCACCCCAGCGCATCTTTCTGGACCCCTTGACTCAAAACGGTGTCATGCAAATGCAGTGGGGTGGTGCCGCTGCTGATCCTTCTAATGGGCATGAGTTTGCACAGAGGCGCCAAAAGATCCACAATTCGACAAAACAGTGGCAACCTGCAGTACCAACATATTCCAGTACCAACATGTACCAACCACAGAGCAACAGCTGCACTACAGGAACCGGAGCATTGATTGTAGCATGGCACCGAAACACCACAACGACAGACAGCATGCAAGCACCATACTATCCTGGCACTCCACAAAAAAGAGCAAGGCCCGGTCTGTTGACCACGGTGCACAGAGAATGAACCTCTGCAAAGCCAGGCCTTTTCCATGCGAAGGAACCTCTAGACTTGTTGCTCTACAAAAGGAATCAAAAGGAGCTCTAGAGCTCTAGCCGTGGGTTTCAAGATGGATGTTTACTGTGACCGCTGTGAAAATCCTCAAGAAGAGAAGGACATCTGGCACTCGCTGAAAACAAACGTTTGAAGACATCTGCTTAGATTTGAACAAAATCCCTTTCCAAACAAAGTTGGCTACCGCGTCAACAGTGGAGAGGCACTTTTCTTGGAATACTGATGGTTCGCGGAGACCACTCTTACTTTGGCAGAGACCACTGAAGGAACCACCGTTTTTCGGACATTTAGAGACATTTTTGGGGAGAACCGACTGGCCATGTAATAATGCTTTAACAAGCATGGTGTCAGCCGGAGCTCAGCCTGTCAGATGACACAAACTGTTAGGATCAAATGCATCAAACTGATTCAAACTGTCTTTGATCAGTCATGATAGTCATGAGGATCGCCTGCCTTCGTACACGCTGAGAATTTTGTCCACTCACTCCATGCACACCAGTACAATTGCTCGCCACACTCACGAGGACACCTGAGCGCAACTCCCACATGGTGTAGGGACACCGAGGGACACTACAAAAATACAAAATGGAAGCAGAAAGTAAACCAATGGAAAGACCAAGGCAAATTGAAACTTTCTTGTAACGCCCTGTGTTGCTTGATGTTGCTTGATGTTGCTTGATGTTGCTTGTGCAGTTTGTTCGAAGGGTCGGAGAACAACATCGCTGCTCAGTGCAAATCACTGCGCAGGTGATGGCACCTGGTTGTTTGCATTGTTTCAGACGCCTGGCACTCCATCCCACCAAACCTCAACGCAAAAAGTGGCGCAGCATGGCTCAGCTAAACAGCTTCCAGCTACTCTGAAACACTACACTGCCACTACACTCAAATGACTCAAAGCCGCAAGACAAAGCAAGGGTGCGACGATGGGTGCTGCATGATACTTCTTGAGCGAAATCTCTGACCGCCGCACCTTTATTGTGTGGCTGAAAGCATTTTACATGGCGCTTATCGACGGAAACTTATTTGCCATGTCATGCCATGTCATGCCATGTCTATAGTCAAGACACCCCCGGCGCTCCAGTCTGAAGGTGAAATGGACGAAAGTTGGATACATGTCCAGTACCCACTAGATCTCATTTGCTTGATCAGCCGATTGTGAATGCAAAGAATGGTCCAGCTGCTTGAGTTCAAGCAAGATGGGTACTGTAAGGTATGTAGCAGATGCAGAACTGAAATCGAATCCCTTGCCCAATTCTGTGTTGCTTCACTTACAGAAGAAACATCCCGACTTAGAGAAGCGTGTTCTCTGGAGACATCTAAAGCAAATACTTGTGAAAGGTCTACACTGCTACACTGGCTCATCAGTAGATCGACCAGCATGATGTAATGACGAACTGGAGCCCTCACCAGACAGCAAACAGGTTCGCAAGGTTTGCAAGCGAGGAAGGAGCACTTGGTGCAGTTCCCCCAATTGCTCCACAGACCATATTGGCAGTCAACCTGGCATGGTCTTCATTCTTCATGCTATTTCAGAGCTTGAATGCTCTGCAAAAGACACGCAATAGATCAAGACACAATCAAGACCCCACCCAGCAAAAGAATGCTTTACTTGAATTGGCGCCCGAGAGCCTTGTCACCGCAGGTTTTAGTGTTGCATGGTGCCAATTCCAGCGTCTTGCCCTGACAGTATTGGGATGGGACGTGTTGAACAAGCACATCAGGTGTGTCTGCTTTGAGCGCTTTCATTGATGGCAATACCAGGAATGTGTTTTAGCCTCGCAGGGGGACATAGATCCATCTGGACCAGGCAAGACCTGGCCATGGGGAATGATCTCGAACTCAAGGAATCCAAGAATCACGGCAGCACAACCAAAAAACACGCAAAAGAAGCAGGGACAATTGTGAAATAGCAAATACTATGGCATACTCACCTTCCTGCTTCGTGACATTTGACCACCATCGCACGTTGCTGAACAGTCAGACCATTCAGACCAGTCACCTGCAATGCAGAAAAAACGCTGCCAGTTGCCAATCGTGACAAGTGGCAGGTGCAGCTAGAATGCATGAGTAAAAAAATTAAGGGCTCAGTTGTTAGACAAGTGACTAACTCTGATACGAAAAGTGACCAGCTCCAATATCATGTCACTTGGCAAAGAAAGTTCCTGAGTTCGAGACCAAATTTGCACCCCTCTGGAGGTGGGTTGTCGCAGGTTGTGCCTGGTCACTCTGGGTTTGCATCAAAGGTTCTAAGGCAAAGCTGCAAAGCTGCAAAGCCTGAGTACAACCTTTAGAATTGGCGAATTGGCCTGGTTCTGGTGGACAGTGCTCCATCTCGGAGAGGCTTGTTGCCTTCGCAATCCCAAGGAATGGTAACTCCTTCGCAACCTAGGGAAAATAACTGCAAAAGTTTCGAGCATATGCACCTTCTCCTGAGAACCGCAAGGCACTCCCCCATCCTTCGGATGTACCTGCTGACATGGCTGACCATGCAGCCGTGCGCATAAGAGAATCAACAAAGTGTCAATCAAACAGTACTCAGTACTCGTTACTTGTGCATTGTGAGTCGGCATGAATTAACGCCAGCCAGCCTTGATGCCTCTGCTTCTTTCTCGGACCCCCGAGCATGGCTTGTCGCAATCTGACCAGCGGGTCCTTACTTCTCTGTGTGAGAAGACTGGAGGCAAGGCACACTGCGTCACGGGAGAAATCCAAAATGAATGCTTTGCTGCTTCCAGTGGGCAGCCGGGCCATTCTGTGAGTTCACAGTCCACAGATCCGGAGCAATGAATACCGTCGTTGCAACTGACACGAACTTGCAGCAAAACAAACACTAAAAACTAAGAAAAACATCACCAGTCCAATGATTTTTGCCCTGGCACTTGCTCAATGATCTGGAAGTGTGTGTGTCTCCGTGAGACAACTCTTAGACAACTTTCTAACTTGTAACTTGCCTCTCAATTTTTGTTGCCACCCCTTCAGCAGGCTTGCCACATTGGTTTGCCTCCTTGGCCACCCTGAGCAGAACTGTGCCAGCTCCAAAATCGAAAATGTTGCATAGTTTCCGCGTTCAGTAAACTCGAAACAGTACTGTTTCCATCTGCGTTCATGTTTCGAAACATTTCCACTCGAACTTGTACAACGGTTATGGCAGGGCTGCCTCCGATGTGCAAGACGGAAGCCACCACGACAAGACTTGGTGCAATCTGACCAGCCTGCGCAGCACAGATGCCGAATCTGTGCCCACTCCACTGTGAGCCGTCAAGAAGCGCAAGAAGCAGTCAGGTGAGATTCTTGCAAGGTTGCTGTGTGAAAATCAGGGGCGATTCTAGCCTCCCCATTCGCCCCAAGCACCATCTTCGCAATCTTTGACGACATCACAACTTCCTTCTCCGCATGGTTTCACCTCCCAATTCTGTGGGTGCTGCTGCCCGCCCAAATAAATTGGCGTATAGATATCCACATTCATCTCTCATATGTGCTTCAAATCTCACAGAAAGTGTACCAGTAGTACTCGCACGAGGCGGGGCGGAAGTTGCCTTAGGGGTGTACTATAAGACCTTTCTCATCCATAGAACTTGCATGCGCCGTGCGCCAGCCAGGCCCGTGCGTGCGTGCATTCTGCGAAAGTGGTGTCCTGTTTCAAATGTCACAAGTGAAGCTCCACTTCACACTTCTGACTGGACTCTTCACACTCCACACTTCACACTTCACACTCCACACTTCACACTTCACACTGCGCTCTTCCCACTCCACACTTCACTTCACACTGCACTCTTAAGACTCCACACTTCACACTCCACACTTCACACCTCACACTTCACACTCCACACTTCACACTTCTCACTGCTTTCTTCACACTCCACGCTTCACACTTCACACTTCACTCTTCACACTGCACTCTTCACGCCCCAAACTTCACACTTCACACTCCACACTTTATCTCATCTGAGATCTTCTCACCTTTATCCCAGCTCATCTCTTCTCATCTCTCTTCTCATATACCATCTAAGCTTTCATAAATCACTTCCCGGTACTGCTTCGTACTACAAGACTTGCACAAAGTACCTCCCTACTACGTTGTACTACAAACCTTGCACAAAGCACTTCCCAGTACTACTTTGTACTACAAAGCTTGCACAGAGTACTCCCCAGTACTGCTTTGTACCACCAAGCTTGCACAAAGCACGTCCAAGTACTACTTTGTACTACAAACCTTGCACAAAGCACTCCCCAGTACTACATTGTCCTACCAAGCTTGCACAAAGCACGGCCCAGTACTACTTTGTACTACAAACCTTGCACAAAGCAGTACTACATTGTCTACCAAACTTGCACAAAGCACTTCCCAGTACACAAAGCACTTCCCAGTGCTTCTACAAAGCTTGCACACAGTACTTCCCAGTACTACTTTGTACTAGAAACCTTGCACAAAGCACTTCCCAGTACTACTTTGTACTACAAAGCTTGCACAGAGTACTTCCCAGTACTTCTTTGTACTACAAAAGCTTGCACAGAGTCCTCCCCAGTACTACTTTGTACCACCAAGCTTGCACAAAGCACGTCCCAGTACTACTTTGTACTACAAACCTTGCACAAAGCACTCCCCAGTACTACATTGTCCTACCAAACTTGCACAAAGCACGGCCCAGTACTACTTTGTACTACAAACCTTGCACAAAGGACGGCCCAGTACTACTTTGTACTACAAACCTTGCACAAAGCACTTCCCAGTACACAAAGCACTTCCCAGTGCTTCTACAAAGCTTGCACAAAGTACTTCCCAGTACTACTTTGTACTAGAAAGCTTGCACAAAGCACTTCCCAGTACTACTTTGCACTACAAAGCTTGCACAAAGTAATTCCCAGTACTACTTTGTACTACAAACAAAGCTTGCACAAAGTACTCCCCAGTACTACTTTGTACTACCAAGCTTGCACAAAGCACGTCCCAGTACTACTTTGTACTACAAACCTTGCACAAAGCACTTCCCAGTACTACTTTGTACTACAAAGCTTGCACAAAGTACTTCCCAGTACTACTTTTTACTACAAAGCTTGCACAAAGCACTTCCCAGTACTACTTTGTACTACAAAGCTTGCACAAAGCACGTCCCAGTACTACTTTGTACTACAAACCTTGCACAAAGCACTTCCCAGTACTACTTCGTACTACAAAGCTTGCACAGAGTACTTCCCAATACTTCTTTGTACTACAAAAGCTTGCACAAAGTGCTTCCCGGTACTACTTTGTATTACAAAGCTTGCACAAAGCACTTCCCAGTACGACCTTGGACTACAGAGCTTGCACAAAGTACTTCCCAGTACTACTTTGTACTACAAACCTTGCACAAAGCACTTCCGAGTACTACTTTGTACTACCAAGCTTGCACAAAGCACTTCCCAGTACTACTTTGTACTACAAAGCTTGCACAAAGCACTTCCCAGCACTACTTTGCACTACAAAGCTTGCACAAAAGCAAGCTTTTACACAAAGAAGTTTGTACACAGAAAAACTTTCTGCTACATAATGACACCAGAAACTGCAACTCCAAAGGACCGGCGCCAAAGCGAAAAAAAACACGATTTTGAAGCACTTTTTAAAAGGAATTTTGAAAGGAAAATCACCAGCACCAAACTTGAGAAAATCGGCTGACAAATCACTATCGCAGCCTTGATGCAGCCAGTCCAATAGGATTTACGATGTACAGCTGCAAAAGACCAGAGTATTACGCATGCAGCCGCAACACCAAGCAACCTTGACGCAGCCATTACAATGCGATATCGAAATATTGAATTGCAAAACACAAAAGAAGTACGCGCAACGGCGTGAGAAATTGCAGCTCCACAACCCGATCTCGGCGCCAAAGCAAAAAAAAAACACGGTTTTGAAGCACTTTTTAAAAGGAATTTTGAAAGGAAAATCACCAGCGCCAAAATTGAGAAAATCTGCTGACAATCACTATCTCCGGCTTCCTCCCCAACACAACCCCCATGCAACATCCTTCAGCCATGACAATGCGATCTGCAGCCAGAGGTTCAACAAGCGCATAGAACTACGCGCACATGAACAACCACACGTTGCAGAACACCAAGGGAGAACCAAAAAACACCAAAACGATCGCAGCCACACGAGGTACCTTTCATCGCCGGCTGCAGCCACTTTAACGGAAAAACACAAGGCGTGAGAAATTGCAGCTCCACAACCGGATCTCCTCGGCGCCAACGCGAAAAAAAAACACGATTTTGAAGCACTTTTTAAAAGGAATTTTGAAAGGAAAATCACCAGCACCAAACTTGAGAAAATCGGCTGACAAATCACTATCGCAGCCTTGATGCAGCCAGTCCAATAGGATTTACGATGTACAGCTGCAAAAGACCAGAGTATTACGCATGCAGCCGCGACACCAAGCAACCTTGATGCAGCCATTACAATGCGATATGGAGATATTGAATTGCAAAACACAAAAGAAGTACGCGCAACGGCGTGAGAAATTGCAGCTTCAAAACCGGATCTCGGCGCCAAAGCAAAAAAAAACAAAACACGATTTTGAAGCACTTTTTAAAAGGAATTTTGAAAGGAAAATCACCAGCGCCAAAATTGAGAAAATCTGCTGACAAATCACTATCTCCGGCTTTCTCCCCAACAAAACCCCCATGCAACATCCAAGCAGCCATTACAATAGGATCTGCAGCCAGGGGTTCAACAAGCGCATAGAACTACGCGCACATGAACAACCACACGTTGCAGAACACCAAGGGAGAACCAAAAACATCAAAACGATCGCAGCCGCACCCGCCGCACACACGAAGTACCTGTCATCGTGGGCTGCAGCCACTTTACACGGAAAATCACCAAGTTTCGTGCCCCGGCTTCCTCCCCAACACAACCCCTATGCAACATCTATGCAGCCACTTTGCAACCGCACATAGACTGTGTGATGTATTGTTATGTAATGTACTGTTGTGTGACGTATTGTTATGTGATGTATTGTTGTGTGACAACTTCCCTGGGTCAACACACTCCCTTCGTTACCACTTCTGTAGGTCACCACACTACCCCCCCTCTTCACCACTTCCCTAGGTCACCACACTCCCTTCGTCACCACTTCCCTAGGTCACCACACTCCCTTCGTCACCACACTCCCTTCATCACCACTTCCCTAGGTCACCACACCCCCTTCGTCACCACTTCCCTAGGTCACCACTTCTGTAGGTCACCACACTCCCTTCGTCACCGCTTCCCTAGGTCACCACACTCCCTTTGTCACACACCCCCCTCTTCACCACTTCCCTAGGTCACCACACTCCCTCCGTCACCACTTCCCTAGGTCACCACAATCCCTTCGTCACCACACTCCCTTCGTCACCACTTCCCTAGGTCACCACACCCCCTTCGTCACCACTTCTGTAGGTCACCACACTCCCTTCGTCACCACTTCCCTAGGTCACCACACTCCCTTTGTCACACACACCCCTCTTCACCACTTCCCTAGGTCACCACGCTGACTTTGTCACACACCCCCCTCTTCACCACAGTCCCTTCGTCACCACACTCCCTTCGTCACCACTTCCCTAGGTCACCACGATCCCTTCGTCACCACTTACCTAAGGCACCACTTCCACCACCCTTCGTCATGTACTGGTGTGTGATGCAAAATATCACAACTCTATTGGTCCGTAACTCGGAAGATTGCTTCCCAACTTCCTTTGATAAGTACACGTGCGTTTGTTACATACACATGCACATATATAAATATATACATATATGTATGTATGTATGTATGTATGTATGTATGTATGTATGTATGTATGTATGTATGTTTGTATGTATGTATGTATGTATGTGTGCATGTATGTATGTATGTATGTATGTATGTATGTATGTATGTATGTATGTATGTATGTATGTATGTATGTATGTATGTATGTATGTATGTATGTATGTATGTGTGTATTTATGTATGTATGTATGTAAGTAGGTATGTATGTATGTATGAATGTATGTATGTATGTATCTATATATATGTATGTCTGTCTGTATGTATGTATGTATGGTTGTATGTATGTGTATAGATAAATATATACATATACAGGTATAAATACATATACATATTTATATATGTATACATATATATACATATGTAAATATGTATGTAAATATATATATACATATATATGCGTATATGTAAATATACGCGCAAACACCTCGATTTGCCCGCGCTTGTCGGCGGCCATCTTCGTCTGTGCTGAAAACGTGGTAAAAATGGGAGTGTTTTGCATCATGGCTAACTTCATGTTGTATATCGGCACGCACAGCATAGGGACCTGTGCGAGTCTCTTACACATCATCATCATCATCATCATCACCATCATCATCATCAAACCCTCATTGAAGATCTTCAATGAAGGTAGAAGTTTAACAGGGGTGGAGAATTAAACCCTCATTGAAGATCTTCAATGAATGTAGAAGTTTAACGGGGGTGGGAGAATTAAACCCTTATTGAAGATCTTCAATGAATGTAGAAGTTTAAGGGGGGTGGGAGAATTAAACCCTTATTGAAGATCTTCAATGAATGTAGAAGTTTAACGGGGGTGGGAGAATTAAACCCTCATTGAAGATCTTCAATGAATGTAGAAGTTTAACGGGGGTGGAGAATTAAACCCTCATTGAAGATCTTCAATGAATGTAAAGTTTAACAGGGGTGGGAGAATTTTGAAGATCTTCAATGAATGTAGAAGCTTAAGGGGGGTGGGAGAATTAAACCCTTATTGAAGATCTTCAATGAATGTAGAAGTTTAAGGGGGGTGGGAGAATTAAACCCTCATTGAAGATCTTCAATGAATGTAGAAGTTTAACGGGGGTGGGAAATTTGTATTCCCTAAATACCCTCGTTGATCTTCCCAATTGAATGTAAAGTCTAACGTTTGATATCCCCAAGTGTACAGCATAGAAGGGGTGTGGGCGAATCGGGGTGTTTGCGCGTAAATATACATATATATGTGTATATGTAAATATATACATATATATATATATATATAAATGCCGGTATCTATACGAGTCTACCACATGTATAAGTCTAATATCTGCGTAAATAATCTATGTGTATGTCTGTATGTCTAAAATTCTGTATATATATATATAGGTTGGATATAGGTCATGTCGATATATATATATATGTATATATATATACATATATATTGATATTATATATGTATATATATATACATATATATTGATATTATATATGTATATATATATACATGCATATCAATGTGAATTATGTGTATGTATGTTTGTATATATATACTTTACATATGCATTACATCATATGTAGACATTTATACATATGCATAATTCATATTTATGTATCCATCCATGTATCTAATAAATCGTGTGCCTTATATTCCTCTATATTCTGTATGCATCATTTCATGACAAACTTGATGGCACTAAATTACATCTTCTGACTGCATCTGACCTGGGCAGAAATACCAATGAAACAAACTGGACAAACTGGTCTTGGTCTTACGGTCTTTTGGTGTGAGTCTCGTTCTGATGGCTCTATCTCGTCGTCGGCAGACAAATCGCCCTGCCTCCATGAGTTGATTCTGTGCAACATTGCAGGGTTGTCCACCCACAGAAGCATGCTTCACTACGCGACGGTCTCGCCTTGTCTGCTACCGCTCGAAAAGCGAAACATACGAGACAAAACAAAAAAATATTCAAAAAATGACAATGGGAGGGCGATAACATTGGAGGACATGGAAGTTTGCCCAAACGCACTGCATTTCGATGCCAGATCTGAGGCAATGGCTCTGTCATACCACCCTCACAAGACTTGGTGCAAGACTTCCACTCAGACCTTGTGCAATCCAGGGCGGCACACAAACACCTGTTGAGGATATCGGTATTCGTCTGACATCGCTCCAGCGAACAAGTTTTTGCCAGCTTTCAATCAGCTTGAGTGTATATAGACTGGGTGAAATGCCATGCACTGATCTCGCAGTCTTGCACTTCACACTTTTGCCAGCTTTCCTGTCAAAACGAAAACACTGCGAAACAATCTGAGCAAATGGCTTGCAACCACATGCACCCACAACAGTATGCAGCAACAGTATGCGGCCGGATGTAATCTGTGAATTGCAAGCATCCCAGGCTAGGCATGTCTAGGCCTGGTCCGTCTGACATGGTCTCGTTTCTGCGAGGACCAAATCGCAGGCTTGTCCACCTGCATCCGCCTGGAGACCGGAGAAGCTTCCAAACATTTCCAAACCCAAATCAACTCCAAAAAATCGATTCCAAATCCCAACACCTACAGCCCCACCAGGCTCCTACCAGGCCCTACCAGGCGCTACCAGGCTCTATGATCCCATCTACCACCCTGCCGAAATGGGCAAAGGTTCCAGGCTCAAGCGCCTCGACATATGATCGAGTCCTCGTTGCACTTCCAGGCGCACACGAACATGCTCCCCACTCAGACCTCACAGGGCCAGAGAAGAATGAAGAAACCCATAGACCCATAGACAAGAAGCAACAGGCATTATAAGATTGAAAACCATGTGCATGTGTTGAGGTGTTTGTACATGTTCATATTGTCCTCCATCACAAACGGTAAATCAACTGGAATTTTCATCCTTCCAATTAACTCGCTTCAAGTGCATCGCTGCAGCACTTTAAAGCATTTGAGCATTCGATAGGGGAGAACGAAATGTGGGTCACATGCTGCTCAACACCCTGGCCCCCTTGATAGAGGAGTTCAGGATTTTTTTCGGAAGCCTGTGGAAAGACTACCTCTCATCTCTTGTGGGAGAAGCAGCCCCTTTCCATATCATCCCATATCTGTCTTTCATGCCAAACATCCCATAACAAAACGGTTTCAGCAACCAAATTCTGGGGGTCAAACCAAGCTGAAGGTCTGCAAGGCTGATGGTAGAGGCTGCACGACCCCGTATTGCATGCAAGCGTTTCCTTGCAAGGTCTTGCATGGGAGATCAACTGGCACTGGGGTTGATGTGTGAAGTACATGTTTGACGTATTTTGATGTATATAGGATGCTTCAGGCACAGGCGCACGCTTTAGCTAGCCTCCGTTCGCAAGCCCCTGTATTTTCGGAATATCGAATCTGGTTTTTTCTCTGCCATGTCAGCCTCGCGTGCAAGTCAAGCAGCATCCATTTTCTACTTGGACAACCTTTGGCGACCGCTTCTGTACTATATACCGGTTCCTGCTTGTTGTTTTAGCTACTTTTTTCTACATCGAAATTTTCTCCAATCACTATTTTCTGGATTTGTCGTATTCAACTCCTTCCTCAAGGCCGTGGGGGAAGCCTTGCACAGCCTCTTCTACATCTCATTCTCCGAGTTTAGTTTGCTGGAACCAGTACCAATTCAACCGTCGCATCCTTGGTCTCATTGTGTCTCGTTTCGGTTGCACTATTCTCCTGCTTGCAATTCCAGCCAAATTTTCTACTTCATTGACATTTTCTCCATGCACATTTTTCTGGATTTTTCACAATTCACCCCAAGACGAAGACAAAGGGGGAAGTCTTCCACATCAAGTCCTACTTTTGACTCTCTTCTTTTGCTGGAATGTACACCATGCCACATCACTTCAATCGTTGTTACTTTCTCCCTTTTCTAGTTTTACTCTCTAAAGCGAGAGACAAGTGGTCACGAACCCTGCTGTGCGTCACGGGACCGATCTCCTTAAGTATATTTCTCCTTTGTAGTTATTGTTTCTCCGTCGTTTCGTTGGTTTTGGGGTCCACCTACACAAAACCATCGGATCCCGTGTTATAGGTGCTGGTTAGTAGCTTATCCTGCAGCCACAGATTCTCCTGTTCTTTTCTATTGTTCTCTTTTTTCATCTTGTTTCTCCATTCGGCTGACGGAAAGCTGCTGCTGACGTAGTTTAACATGAACTGCATATCGCTGCGGAAAAAATAGGATGCTTCATGTGTTCAAGACCTTGGCTTGGGGAGCTTGGGTGTTTGCAGCTGCTCTTGCAGGTAGGGCTGTCAGCATGTCCAATATTCATAATATCCTTTCAAATCTTTCAGCTTGCTCCTGCAAGGCGGCAGTGCACATGGATCCGCCAGCTGCAGCATGAGCGGCGATGCTTCGACTCCTGTAGCATCAGAAGTGAAAGGAACAATAAAACATCGAACTCCAGAACAAATTCGGACTCTTTACCCTTCCAAACGAAGATATATCATGATATATTTTCGAGATGTCCTTCTTCCTTGCCAGCGGCTTGTTTTGAATTGACATGCATGCCTGTTTATGCAGCAACCTTGTTTCAATTCAAACCTATCGCAGTGATATTCGATACGTTTTGATGCTATCGATCACGAGGTATAGACGTACTGTTCTCGAAGGATACAGGTGATACATGCAACTTGATCAAAGAAGTAGAGTAGAGGTCGGCATTATCACTTGTCACGGAGTAGTACTTGGCCTTTGCTTACATGATATGCTGAATACATTTCATGAAGTGTACAGCCAACGGATCTTTTGCTAGGTTCAACTCTGATTCATAAATGCATATTTTTCCCACCGACTATCCTCTCCTTCGCTAGAAGACCACCAATGCAAACAAACAAGCTCACGTCAAGAGAACGGCAAAAGCGAATCAACAAGAGAGGACAGGAATCCATTCTAATGCGTTGAACTATATTATATTCCATGAGCGGTCTGCAATTCAAACTAGAACTTTGTGGGGTGGAAGTCAAATTCACGAAGTGCATCATCGCACTCATTCCAAGCAAACCCAAAGCTAGGCCATCAATATCAGAATTCACACCGCTTGCTGGTCCTAATCGTCTGACCACCTCCGCATGATCGATCACAGAGCTGCCACTCAGACCTGAGTTCAGTCCCTTCAGCTTCAGGAAAGTTCCAAATTGCCAAAACTGAAGATATTCCATGATGTTTTCACAGACATGCGGTAACTTGCCGAACTTTGCCCAGCTTTACCAAAACTCTTGACTTTGACATATTAAATCTGACCCGCAAACTATTCTGAGCCTCGAACCAGTCACTTAGCTGACAGTCACTTGCACTTGGGGGCGTGGATGCTTCAAAGCACCTTGTTCAAAGTCAGAGCGCTGCAGGACGCTCTTCAAACACGAAAACGAGACTGAGCGTGAGACGCAAGAACCTCCACAAGCGAGCCCTTGCAAGCCTGATGGTGCTCAGCACTGCTCAGCACAGCACTTCTGAGCACTGCTAAACTGACAACATTTTGCAGTGCTTTAAGCAGAACCTGGCCAGCTGCCGCCGCGTGTTGTGCCACTTTTCCTTGGCAATCACAAGTTTCCAAAATGCCACAACCAGTCTTCCATTCACAAGCTTCGAGCGGCTTCGAGCGGCTTGGAGTTTGGGCGCGTACGCGTGCGGCGCTTCTCGTCAGCAACATTACAAGCGCTCCACTCACTCCTGCAGATTGAAGCACGCAGGGCACCAAATACATTAGGATCCACAGCTCTTCCCGAATGAAATGCGCTTTGGAAATCAAAGTGGCAGAAAAAGCTAACGCTTGAAACTCTTGCACTTTGCTCCAGCTGCTCAAGATGCAGTTTGAAGACTCACCAAATTCGCAAGGGCCTGGCAGCAGCACAACTGACACAACTGAAGTGAAAGAAAGGGTGAGGTGCCCGAAAATATCATCCAAAAGTAGGTGGATACTGTGGCGTGGGAGGAACTGCAGCAAAAAGCAATAAGTCTCAAACAAGAGATGCACAACACAATTCTTTGCTCTGTCAAATGATATTCAACCCTGTCAGAGCTATGGGCAACATATTTCTAAACTTCAAGTCTGATGTTTCCTCTCACAGGCAGGATGCTTTTGCATGGAAAGGACATGCGCGATTTCTTTAGGCTTCGCAAAGCTTCCAATTTGATGGACGTTGCTGTCTATCTTCAGCATCTTCGTGAATGTACTGCAGTTGCAGAGATGAACAGAGTGTGTTCTGCGTGTATTGCATGGTTTCTGCAGCACCATGTCGCTGCTTGTGGCCATCCCCTGGAATTGCACAGGGAACATGGCATGCGGGCAAGTCTCATATCAGTTTCCGGCAAATAATCTATTTGTGACTTACTAAGACGGTAGTGCACTTGTGCAGGAGCTCTTGCAGGTAGCTTGTCAGATCAAGACTTTCTTATTGTCCAAGGCGAGCGCAATGAGAGAGGTCACGCTAATTTGTAGAAGATACTTTCCAACGTGCCTTCTTGTTCAAAAAGCATGGCAGTAGGAAGACTCCGGCCACTTCATTACACATTACATTTTGGAACTGCGCCTGTACCGCAAGGAGCAGTTTCTCCCAAAGTGTCGGCGCAGTGCCTGAAGCACAACATAAAACCCAAAATATGGCAAAACGAGAGTGCCGTCTCTCCCAGAATTTGTGGTGTACGCGTTCTGTAGATATCTAGACCGTGTTTTCATATCAACAGGTAACACGTTTCTTCTTGTGTACAATGTGTGTGTGTGTGCATCCACAAACATAAACTTAAAAACATACCTACACATATACATAACTTACCTATATACATGCACACATACACAAAATATACATACCAGATCATACCAGGATATTTAGATATGTACATGCATCCATTTATGTGTATATATCTATATATAGAGATACTCTGATTTCTCAACCTTTTGCCCTCCTGACTCGTGTCGGTTCGGAAGACTTACAACGAGTTGTATCCAACTGCTTCCATGTGGGCATCAACACCTGGATTTCATCAAGGTCCTGTGGCTCAGGATGTGTTGAAGGCTTAGGGCGCCCCTCGACTTGTGCACCGTTTGCAGTGGTGCCAAAAGGGCGCGGTCGCCATAGCACTCAGGGTGGTGCCTTCGTTTGTGGAGTTTGGACCAGGGGTCCTTTTGCTTTGGAGGATTGGAATTCAGGGGCCCCTTCCAGTGCTTGGGATTGATCCAACACTGGTAGCGGAGCTACCTCGGCCAAAGGTGTGTGGCCACACTTTTGGAAGCCGTGATCCAGGATGAGAGGAACTGAAGAGATGGCTCAGTCATCAGTCCCGAGTGGACCTTCTTTGTCCCATCTTCCCTGGAATATGATTCCGGCGTCTAAGCCGGGTGAGACAGAGATCAACGAGTACGCCAAGAAGAAAGAGTTTCTTGCAGGGCTATGGCCTCCTGGGCATCTCAGTCACTTGGCCCCTTGGGCTGCGATGTTGTGCGAAGGTTCGTCCTTCAAGCGTATCATGAGGTTAGACCCAGCAAAACTGAAAGTCAACAGCCTGGATGGCGGGAAACTGCTTATATCTACGTTGGGAGGTATCTGGGGGAAGAGCAACCTGGAAGACAAGTTGAGCGTTTTGGGCGAGCAATTTTTTCCAGTCCAATGCCAAGATGGGTCGCATGAGAGTTATCGGGCTAGGCATGACTATCAGTTTGAAGAACTTTTACAAATGGGTGTAGGATTCAATGAAGTACGTGCGTACATACTGCTCCGGAATTCTGGTTTGGGGTCAGAGGATAAGAAGAAGCGCGTTGCTGATGCCAAGGGTGAATTGGAATACAAGTCCATTGTATCATCTTTGAAACTGCTGGGCTCCAAATTTTCCATGAGCTCCAAACTGGAAATCGATCAGTGAGTCGCAACAAGACCTATGACGTGAATGCCGTCTTCGAGGAAGAGCCCCCCATGCCACCTGCGGATGATGAAGTCATTTTCATGGGTGAGACGTGGGAGGGCTATGAGATTCAATGCCATGACTCAGATCCTGACGCTGTGGCTTGCATGCAATTTGAAGAGGGTCTTGGAGAAGCCCTTCAATGTGATTCTGAAATTGCAGCATGTTACAACACTTACTTGGATGCCCGAAAACGTTTAGCTGACAAGGGGAAGAACCATGGGTTTTGGAATCCCAAAGGAAACCCATATTCCCAGAAGGGCAAGGGAAAGGGGAAATCCGAGAACATGTTCAAAGGCCGAAAACCATTGGCCCAGCGTATTCTCGAGTCAGAGTGCCGGAGGTGCGGCATGAAGGGACACTGGAAAGCAGAATGCCCTTCTGCAGCCGCTCCAACACCAGGGTCCACAGCCAATGCCTTTGCCGGGACCGTCACAGCCATCTCCGGTGATGCCGATGATCAAGACATGATCGTAGCGGAGTCTCTTTCAAGGGATGTGTCTTGTTTCAAATCAGTTTTCTCAGATGACCAGGAGTTTTGTTTTGTAAGTTTTGATGATCAATCCAACAACATGGGAAGGCTGACTTCCCAATGCCTCTCCAGGTTTCTGAGTTCCAAGAAGCAACGCCTAAGCCCTCAACCTGAGATTCATTCTGAGCCATGCCTGACAGGTCATTTGCAACCTGCCACCGATGTAGCAATTTTTGTGAGTCATGGCCCATGCGGTATCATGGATTTGGGCGCAAGTCAAACTGTGATCGGCAGCGATTAAGTCGATTCTTTGTTGTCACACTTGCCCATGGACATTCAGAACCGAGTCCAGGGAGTACCGTGCCAGACAATGTTTCGATTTGGCAGCAGCAGCACCGTCAAATGTCAGTTTGCTCGCATGAGCCCACTAGGAAATTGGATGGTCAGGGTGTGTGTTGTGAACTCTCAGATTCCATTTCTCCTCTCCAACAATGTTTCAGAACATTAGGAGCACCGATTGACACAGCACATGGCCGCAGTGCACGTTGCCAAGCTTGGTTTTTCCATGGATCTGATTTTGTCGGAGAAGAAGTTGTACTTGCTGGACTCTTGTGAGTTAGTCAAGAAGTCTTTTGAAGGCAAGTCCCAGGTTCTAGTCTTCCAGATCATGCGAAGCCCATCATGTCAGTAGTGAATGCCGATGTCGAAACCGAATCTGGCATTTCAGTGAAAACCGAACATCAGTGTCCCAATCAGCCAGAACTATCAAGGCAGCACATAGCATCCGACTTGTGGTCTTGTTCAGATCGCAATCCGGCGTTGTCTGACCATGGCCAACAAGACCCTTGCCGATCGCTTTGCGGCAGTCACGGAGACCAAGGTGAACGAGGAGTTCATACAGCAGTCCTACAAGGAGCTGTCTCAGATGCGCATCTCCTTCGGAGAGACGAGGCTGAACCAGAAATTCATCGATGTGATCGAGCAAGATCACAAGTATGTCAAGTGGTTCACCAAGAAGTATGCCGAGAGCCAAAAGCGAGCTCACCAGGCGTTCATCTACTTCATCAGCCTCTATGTGGAACGAATGGAGCTGACTCAGGAAGGAACCACCATGGCATCTCCATGCCATGATCAGCACGCTGAAGCCCGAGACCAAGGGCGCTCCCAAGCTGTCAGTGGTGCCGGAGGATATCTCCAGCTGGAGCGAGGACGAACTGGACCAATCCTGGAGCGTGGCGGACGAAGTGTCTCAGCAGGGCGAACGCCTGAACAACATGGAGAACACCATGTCCCAGATCGCCAATCAGCTCCAGATCTTGACCCAGATGATCCATGCGCAGCAGACTGCCAGTCAGTGAGAGAGGGTCAGCCTGAGTCCGAATTTAGGTCATGGGTGGCAGATGAGATTGGCTGTCATGTTTTACAACATGATCCTTCCAGCGTGCATGACACTGCGTATTTCCAAGAAGTAGACATAACTGGGTATATCAGGAGATGCGGTCGTATTTCCATAAGAAACATGCTCATCTGGGTATGGGTCAAAATTAGGTACCCCAATAATTGGATCGTTAATACTAAACTAGACTAACATCTGTGGTCCCCTAGGTCTTCCATTTTGACCCACATCCATCTCTCGATTGAAGGCCTCCGACAACACTGGAAGCAATCCCAACGTGATCTACTGGAAGTGCACTGTGCCAGTGACAGCCAGTTGACTGCCCAGAGTGTTCAAGCCGGAGTGTCGGCCAAGCGATTTTGCCGGAATGGGGACCTTGCCACCTTTCATGGCCGGTGTCAATTGTATGGTGTCTTATGGATGTTCAGGCCTCGTCATGTGTGGTGTTCACCCCGCTGCGTACCCTGGAGCAGCTGGAACCGACTCAACAGCCAAAAGTCGATTGCCCTAGCTGACAAGATCACACACGATAGGATTTCTGAAAAAGTTCATCTGTTACTCTGTGATGCCACGTTTCGCCTTCAAAACTGGAGGGTGATGACTTTCATTTTCAGTTGGAACAACCACAAGGGTCTGAACTTGTGTTCCAGCGTGAGATGGAAAACATAGTAGAAAACTTTCATGCCCAAATATATAGCCATGAGGCATTGTGCAAGAGAACCCGGCTCCTGACCACTTCACAGATCATACGGAGAACCCTGCAGCGATGCCAATGTGTGGGCTCGCATCACCATGATGTGGTTGCCGGTTCATGCAAGCCTGTCGGCTTTGGTCGCATGCCAGTGTCAAGTACACGGAACTTTACACAGAAGGTTTTGGTCGACGTCTCAGTCGTGCTATCCACTATCCAATGCAGCTGTCAGGTCCAGGAAAGAGTTTTTGGTAGTCGCCAGGAATTATCCTTTGTGACCAAAACAGCCGATGAAGAGTCAGAGCCAAAGTGCCGCCGACTTGCCGGGAAGTTCCATCCCAAATTTCTGTTTGTACTGCCAATGCAAGGTGCTCAGGATTCCGAAGGATCTCAAAATGTTCCGTCTCCTGCGCTGATGGTTCCTCAGCCAAGTGATGCAGCAGCCCGACAGATTTTAGAGTTGGCTGAGGAATGTGCTCCCAGGGTCGGTCCCGTTGTCTTCCAAAATGGTCCGTTGTTCCAAGCTGTGCAAAATACGTATCCTGATAGACATATCATTTGTTTGGATATTTGCCATGGTATCAACCGAATGAGAGTTTGTCCATTAAGAGGAAAGGGCATAGCATCTTTTCGCAGAGCCATCGGAAGACATCGTGCCGACCTCAAGCTCTTTGAGGACATTGAGTGGGAACACTGGGAGACTGTATCACACCGGCAGCAGATCCGATCTGCCTGAATCAGTCTGATCAGTCCGTGCCTGATCGTGAAGCCAAGCGTGCCAGAGAGGCCCCACAACATGATCCAACAGAAGGGGATTTGCCCGATAGCGCAAGCCCACACCCACTCAGTGGAGAAAATGCATCCGTCCCCATCACTAAAGACCCTAGAAGATAATCCCAATAACCAATTCCCAACTGTCCCATCCAATAACCACACCGCAATAACCCATGGTCCCAAATTCACCGCCCTTGATAGCCACACTCAAAATCAAATCCGTAAAATTCACCAGAACTTGTGCTGCAGCTGGCTTTGCGAAGATACGGCTGGACCAAAAAGGAGATCAGTGCTGTCTCAAATTTTACATGCCCGGTGTGTCATGAGCACCAACATCCCAAGGCCGCTCGACCTGGAAAGTTGTCAGAACCTCGAGACTTCAATGACTTGGTCTCATTCGATGGTGCAGAATGGACCGATACACATGGCAAACAATATACATTCTACCATTTCATTGACACAGCCACAAATGATCATGTTGCAATTCCATACCAACAACAAATCGAAGAGGGTCTGATTGGTGCTTTCACGAATGCTTGGTCGCGTTGGGCAGGTCCTCCAAAAGTCATGATGTTTGACAGTGCCACGGAAGCCAACAGTGAACATTCTCCAAGTTTTTACAAGACCCCAGTGAGAAACCCATCCAAAACTGGGATGATTTCTCTCAAGGGTTGATCCAATTGTGTAACGCCAGAATGCTATGTCCCGTCATGAGGGTTATACTCCAGAGTTGTGGGTGTTGGGTAAGATGAAGCCTGTTCCCGGCGGCAACTTAAATGATGCCCCCGGCAGTGCCAGCTTTAAAGCTTTCAATCAAAAAACCACTGACGGCGCTCGTTTTCATGATCAATTGGCACGGAGGGAAGCCGCCCGATTGGCATTGTTCGGGCTGACCATTGCCAGACTCTCCGGAGAGCACTGCATGCCAGATCCCGACCAGACCAAATCCGTTTTGCCATTGGTGACCATGTGATGTACTGGAAAGATGGTAAAGGTGCCAATCCTGGTTCCTGGCATGGGCCAGCAAGAGTTTTGATGGTTGAAAGATATAATCTGGTCTGGATCAGTCACATGACTAAGCTGTTCCAGTGCGCTCCAGAGCATGCGCGTCCTCTGTCCCAAGATGAGGCAAGCTCTATCACTGGCCAAGACCAAGGTCTTCAATTGCCCGAACGCAGTGGGAATGGGGCGTTCCAGTTTAGAGAGCTGTCCAGCCAAGAGGGCCCAACCCCAGTGAGTGTAGTTCCCCAAGGAAATCACCAGGGCAATGATCCAGAAGCCGCGTCCAAAATCCCAATATGCAACCTGATTTTACTTCAGTACCAAATCCACCACCATCCACCACTTCACAACCCGATGATGAACCTACAGTACCATCTACACGAGTTGCCGAAGACCCAGCTATCACAACTCCCATTCCTGATGACCCTGATGATGATTTAGTAGCTCAGGAAATACCGCATGTTTTTTGGGAAATCCGTGCAACACCCTCATCCGCCACCATGCGTGCCCTAGGTTGGAACCGTTTTTTCTTCATGATACATGGTCATGCCCAGTGAATGTTGAAGACATCCAAACCACTCGTTGTACACAAGGGCAATACCTGTCAGGGGGATCTTTTCAGTGCGAAGAAAGCTGGCAAGATAATGTCCAGATCCATTTGCCATTTCCTGAACTACGGACTGGACAATCACAGTTTGCTCTGCGCGTGTCACCTTCCGACCCTGAGGAAAAGCCCACTTGCGTGGTGAGCCCATTCCATGGAGAGTCTCATAATCTGACTGGCCAAGGGTTCCATGCTGAGATTTTTATGACGTTAGGTGATGTCCAAAAATGTCTTGGGAAAACCAATGACCAACAGGAAATTTACCTGGCATCCGCACCCAGACATCAGATAAACAAAAAAAATCTCTCCTGAGACAAAGAGATTGATTCCTGGCTTTCCACTGATACCGTGAGACGCATTTTACGGCATAAAATTCCTGAAGGTCAGCTGTTGAGATCCCGTTGGGTCCTCACATGGAAACCTCTTGACGAAGTCGAGCAAGCTGAGACCGGCCTGGAAAAGAAATACCATTTTGGAAGTCAGCGACACAGTGCTTTCACTTTCACTGGTGTTCAGTTGCAACATGAAGCAAATGGTGACATTCTCCTGAGTCAACAGAATTATGTCAATGACATCGCCCCTATCAACATCAGCGACGTGAGACTCCTGGGTTGCCAGTCACCTCCCAAGAACTGCAAGACCTTCGAAGTTTGATCGGAAGCATTCAATATGCCGGCACCAATACTCGGCCTGACTTATCTTGCCGTCTTAGCTTGTTGCAGGCCCGTGTGACTTGTGCCACTGTGGCTGGTTTAACTCAACGGAATAAAGTTGCTGAATGATGCAAAGCGATACTCTGAAACAGAAATCAGAATCCAAGCTCTTCCTCCTGATCAAGTAAGGTTTTTTCGTTTTCAGACGCTGCATTTGCTACCAGAGAGAAAGCCAATTCACAAAAGGGATGTCTCATTCTTGCCACAACGGAGGAGATTTACAAGACTCAGATGTCCTCAGTAAGTCCTTTGGTATGGCTCTCCTAGAAAATCAGCCGCGTTGTTTCAAGCACCCTGGCTTCTGAGACTTACGCTCTTTCGGGGGCACTAGATCTCCTCAGCTGGACTCCTTTGCTTTGGGCCTGGATGCTGAATCCAAACCTAGAATGGCAAACCCCAGAAATCACTTCGAAGAAACTCCCGCAAGCTCAAATTTTCCACAGTGCCGCTCAAATGGCTGATAGTTAAACCAAAGATACGGATACTTCAGTGTTGAAATCCTTTCTGTCCAGAGGTAGATGTATTCTCCATGGTGTTGACCAAATCCTCCGACAGCGTGCTGGCAAGAAAGTTCGCTAGCAGTGGTATCAACAAACAAGTGATCCAGAATCGGCCTTGCATGCTTTTGCGCTTTTGCTGGGAATTTTGAAGTTGTAAGCTGGATGCGAAGGAATCCTGCTTCAATCTTGAGACGACGATTCATCAGACATGTTTCCAACTGATGGCCATGGTCCCAAGGCCGAGTTCCATACACGCCCACCAGGGTACTCTCGATGCTGAAGATTTTTCTTCTTTGCTTGCAGAGAAACTTAAAAACAATATCTTGAAAGATTTTTCTGGGAGTGTGATTTCTCAACCTTTTGCCCTCCTGACTCGTGTCGGTTCGGAAGACTTACAACGAGTTGTATCCAACTGCTTCCATGTGGGTATCAACACCTGGATTTCATCAAGGTCCTGTGGCTCAGGATGTGTTGAGGGCTTGGGGTGCCCCTCAACTTGTGCACCGTTTGCAGTGGTGCCAAAAGGGCGCGGTCGCCATAGCACTCAGGGTGGTGCCTTCGTTTGTGGAGTTTGGACCAGGGGTCCTTTTGCTTTGGAGGATTGGAATTCAGGGACCCCTACCAGTGTTTGGGATTGATCCAACACACACACACACATGTGTATATATATATATATTACGTACAATTTAGTACAAATATGTGAGTATACCAATATATGTGTGCAAGGATCACATCAAATGGATTCGGATTTAAGACCAACAGCTTCAAACCCTAGATCTGCTCATCGGCTCAGGTGTGGCCTTCCGCCATTTCTGGCCTTACAAATCAGCAGGCACAGGGCGAACAATTTCTGCACAATGAGGTGTCAACAATGAGATGTCGTCTTGGCCTGTTGGCACGAACAAACTGTGCTTGGCTTGCCGCACGTCTAAGAATAGTCCGTAACCTCCCTCTTTGTCCACCGCCACACCTCAAACCCAATGAAAGGGAGGCAAACCCAGCTGCAAACACTACGGAACAAGAGAGCAAAAGCAAACAGAGTCTCGTATCAAGTTCACGTTCAAAAAAGATAGGGTGTGTGTGTGTCTGTGTGTGCACAAGGCAAGGTCAACTACGTAAGGTGCATCAAGCTAGTGGAGGCGTTTCCCTACTTGCAGTGACATCCGCAACCTACCTTGTTCATCTTGATTAGAGAGTTGGAATTGCTCACCCCTTTTGGCATGAAGCATCAGACAGGGAATGTGTCTGCGATTTCAATTCCTGCATGTGGTAGCGCAAAGACTCAATAATTTGACAAGCACACGTCGGACCCCGACGTCATAGTGCAAGGGCTCCATTCCATCCACCTGAAGCTTGGAACTCTAAACGAGACTCTCAACAAATGATGTTTGCGGTCAGTTTGGTCAGTTTGGTTAGCTTGTGATGTTTGAGTCATTTGAGCATCTTCGAAGCTCCAGCTGAGCTCGATCTAAAGATGGCACGAGGACATCTCACAGTCGCGGCTGCCAGATGCTGTTGGGCCACAGTCCTACCGAAGGCTTCAGCAAATACCCCGCAAGACTACTCATGTCATCCACAACTTGCTTGGGTCAAGAACTTCCATGTGACTTCTGTGTAGCTGCATATTCGCATATTTACACACTCTTTTCCTGTCTATTCCATTTGTGTATCAATGCATTTTGTTCCTGGGTTTCTAGAAGTGCACCATCACATTCAGCACCGCCTCTGGCCTGAAAGTCAAAAGAATTGCACGTGACAGTTTAGGACACTAAGGCAGAAGAAATTGCGTGTGTGTGTGTATATATATATATTACACTATTGTATAAATATATATATATTAATTTATCTTTAGGAAGATCCCTATGATCCATAAGGACCGACATGTGCTTGGAATTACTTCTGCATTCTCGTCGTCGACAACAACTTTGGTAAAGGGAAGGAGGTGTGAAAAGGACTGCCCAAAAAGACAAGAATCCAGGTACCTAAACGACTTACAGCTATTTAAAACTTCATGTTTGCAGCGGAGTGCTCGATGGTTGGTGGGTTTTTGGTGTTGCTTTAATTTTAAAGAAGCAAAGAAGTGCACAGCTGTTGGTCAGGCTTCTTGGGCAATCCTCGCACCACTTCGCGTCAAAACCTCTTTCTCGGATTCCATACTTTCTATCACTTCTGTCTTCTATTTGATGGATCTTCCATTTGCTGTTTAAAAACTGCCTTTTTTGCGCCAGATCCTGTGGATTTCTGGTCTGGTCTTGGACAGCTTCCTCAAACGGCAAAATTGAGATTTTTGGGCGGGACAAACTGGCAAGATTGACACAAATCACAAAGCAGAGGAAGAAGAGAATCTGGAGATATTCTAGTTGCACGTACCAGTAGCAGCATCATCGTTGAGCTGCAAGTGCAAGGGATGGGCCAAGTTTGGGAAGAGGAATATCACAGGGGGACCAGTTGTGGAACCAATCGGCTTCTTCTATTCTGGCTTCTTCTATCTGGTCAGCGTCTTTTGGAGGATTTCGGCGTCCCATCTACTCAGAAAATGCCACTTTCCCCGAGGTTTTTGACGGTCCGGACTTCGACAGTGAAAATGACTTCATCGCCATCTCAAAAGTAACTGCTCCGACATCACAGGTTTTGCAAGGTGGTTCTTCGAGTACAAAGGTCAGACAAATACAAGATTGCAAGAGACTGGGTTTTTGCCAATTGCATCCAATTGCTCCATACAGGACAAATAGAAGATTTTCTGGTTGCGACATGCTCTTTGCGGATTGTTTTCTTCTATCTTACTGGCTTCTAATGCAAGAGCAGGTGTTTTTAATGAGTGTGTACAATGTGTCTGTATCAGTATACACGTGAATATCTATGAAAGTATGTAAACATATTCTCTGCGTACTTATATATGTAACATAATATCTACACATATGCATTCATACCCATTCAGGAGGAGATAGAGACTAAATTGGCCACAACGGAAAAAAACATCCGAGCTTTAAAAAATTGAGTCGCCCAATCCAAATTATGAAACCAATGTACATACACACATGCCAAACAGCTTAAGCATCATGGTTTCACAAGGGAAAAGTGTACAACAATGACTGTTAGACAAGGTCGGGGCTGGCAGATCTTGAACTCCTCGTCTTCTCTCCCTGGCAGTTGACAGACTGAAGTAACATGATGATTGCATGATGTTTTTTCACAATGTTTAAATTGGGTTCAAGTCTTCGCTAAAATTTCTCGAGGGCCTCTGTTGTGTCACATTGGCGTTGCAAACGGACCATGGACCCCATGGACCAAGTTTGCAGTCCTGCAAACGCAACGAAGCAAGGGTGAAAGTGGTGAAAGTGGATGGTGAAAGACAAGGAGGCAATGATTTTGTGATCAAAGTGATCACATTTCAAGATCTCTTCAAGACTTCCGATATCTTCCGATTCTGAGTCGGAGACAAGCAAACTGTGCAACGAAACTGTGAGATAAGACTGAACTCTTTGCCTTTGGGGAAGTCTCGCAAGCGCTAGCTCCATCACAATAGGCGGAGTCATGGAGTGGTCCCCTCGGTTAACATGACATGTTGTGCTCACATTCGAAAGCAAAGAGCCTGCAAGCTGAATGACACGTTGCTCCCACACACTGGCAGTACACTCGCACTATACTCACCGCGCAGTCCCTCTTCATTGGTTGGATTGACTCAAAGCATCATGACAAGATACTCACAAGCGGCTCCACCACAGCTGTTCTGGCGAACAATGTCGCGAGTCCTTCCAGCACAGGAGGCTATACATCTACCACATGAAAGCAAGACACATGTGTATAGGCATATACATCATACATACGCATGTAATCGCGTATGTATGTGCATATATATATATACATATATATATATACATATATGTGTACATATACATATACATATGCATATATTTATATGTACATGTACATATACATATACATGTACGTATACGTATACATATACATATAGAATGACATGCGCATGTAAATTTACATTGTTACATGTATATGTATACGTATGTGTATGTATATGTATATTGTCTGCACAGATATACAGTACATGTGATTTATACTTATTCATTGTTATTCAGAATCAATCAGATGTGTAATGATAACGAACCTGGCCTTGCAACCCAACAGCAGTAAGGGCTCCAGGTTCCAGAGTTGCAGGTTTCCAGGGTGCTTCCATTCTGGTTTGAGTCCCCCCCCACACCTTGAAACCCAACAAGGACTGCTGTTGTACGTAAGATGTAAAAATGTGTTGGTGCCTGGCTTGGTGGGTGCCCAGCTTTGGCAAACGCTGCTTCCCCTCAACACTATCTGGCACTACCTTGTTTGTAGTCCACTGATATGTTCCAGCATGCTTCAGCGCTCAAGCTCTGCCCCAGTCACAGGCCACTTTTGGTCGCATCTCTTCTTTCGAATACATAATTTCAAGTGTCAAGATGTTTCAAGCATGACATTCTACTATTCTACTACTGTCTTGCCAAGCCATTCTGGACAGCCTGAAATTACATCCCAGCCACCACCCACATGTCCTTGTGCAAAGACCTGTGCATCCCAGAGGTTCTGACCATGCAGACCAATCCGAAAACCTTGAATTCAGGGCTTCAGTGGCCGTCACAACCAATCTTCGTGGGGAACCCTTGTTGCAGTTGTTGCAGTTGTTGCAGTTGTTACATAATCTGCCCATGTCAGTACCATCCTGAGCACGCTGCTCGCAGGGTCTAGGTTCTGCTCCATTGGGGCAGTATGTGCTTGTTTCAGGGCAGTCAGCCTCAACCGTGTCCCAGCTCCAAAATACTCCTGTAGGGTAGTTGTACATATTTATGAAATTGTTTCAAAGAGTGTGTGCAGGCTGACAAGAATTGCAGTGTCATCCAACTCACAAACTCATCCACATGGTCGCTAACACAAAAGCTGTGGCGAGACTCGATCTGTCCGCCTCATATGGACAGGCATGGTGTTCCATTTGGGTGCCAGCACATACCTGCTCAAGGGGATGATCAAATCAGCTGCAAAAGCCTTACTTATCTTGCTGCCTTCTGCCACATCTTGCAAAACAAGATTGAAGGGTTGAACTCAGCCTGCAGAAAGAACACACTCAAACCGGCTCAGAACAATTCACAGCTGTCTCCACCTTTTTGTGCTCGCAGATCGTTGCGGCTGTCACTAGCGGGTAAAAGTCTGTTGTGCCAAACGGTCTACTGTAACATGGGCCAAGAAGCCAGGAATGGAATTGTACACTTCCAAGTAAGACATTGCTTGGCGGTCCGTCTGAAGTTGCTCTGCCCAAGGGGTTCCAAGCAAATCAAACTCTGCTGGTTGGCCACTTCGCCCTGGCCGTAGCTGGAAAACCAACTCTTGCCGGACTTGACCATAGCGCGAAGTGAGATGCCATCTTAAAGAGTTCCCATCACCTCTCATTTCCACCTTCCAACCAAGTAAATGATAGAGGCCTTCTCTGAACTCCGAGACATACTTTTTGGTGGCTTTCTTGTAGCGCTCAAGCTGTCGTGCCGCTTGCTGCTGCTCCAAGTCACATCCAGAGCCGGCAGCTTCATCTTGCGGCCCTCGTACCAAATGAAGGATCTTTGTTGTTCTCGGATCATAATCTGCGTTGGCAACATCTATTTCCTGGCTGTGCAGTTGCAGTATCCTCCTTTCAAGCTCCTTGTTTGCCTGCCACAACTCAGCATTTACACCTTCAACTTTGCGTAATTTCCGCTCAACATCTGCAAGTCTCCCAACTTCATTTTTGAGCACTGCTGCTTCCCGTTTGATGACCTCTACAGCTTCTTGCTGTGCCTCTTGAAAGCTGTCTGCAGTGCGTATCATTTTGGCGTCAACTTCTCCATGAATTTCTGGAAATTGCATATGTTTTCCAGCAAGTGCTTCACGCAATACAGAATTCTGAGCTTTCAGATTTTGGACTGTATCTTCTGATTCCTTGAGTCTACCTTGCAATTCTGTCGATTGCAGGTTTGCCAAAGACATATCAATCTGAAGTTTGTTCATCTCTGTCTTGAATTGATTTTGTTGATCTGCTGCGTCGTGCAGTTTTTGCTCCAACTCGAAGGTCTTATGGGCCTCTTTGGTCCAGTGGGAATGCAGGCGGGACCATGCAATTCGCAAGTTGGCTGGGGTTGGATCTCCGATGTCCTCTGGCAGCTCTGGCCCCAGCTGCCGAGCAGCATGAAGGATATCAGCAATCGAAGCTTCATAGAGTGCTTGATCTTGCTTAGCACGTGTGCTCTGGGATGCCGCATCTTTACATTGCTTCAAAGAAGCCTCTTGAATTTCAAGAGCGGCCTGAAGAGAGATTTTTTCCTGCTCAAGGGAGAGAATTCTTTCTTTGGCATGCAGCAAGTCCTCCACAGTTTTGTGCGATTCATGCATCTCATGTTCAAACTCCACATGTTTGCTTCGCAACTGCGATGCTAGCTCATGCTCAGGATACCAGTCCTTCAATAGAAGACGCAGATAAAACACCTCTTGTTCAAGTTCAGAGACACGTGCCTTCCAAGCATCTGGGTTTGTTTTCAAGGGAAGCTGTGACTGCTTGGAGTTCTGGAGCTCTGATTCTAAACTCGAGATTGTATTCTTAAGGTCTTCCTCCTGTTTCCGACATTCTTCTGTAGCCTTGAGGCGACTGGCTTTCTCGCGCTGCCTTTCTTCTTGAGCCTCTTTCAGCTCATATTCGAGTAAGTCTCGCTCCTGCCGAAGTTTAGCCAGTTCGTTCTCCATCTCACTGAGACGCCTTTTTTTGACCTTTGCATCTAAGTCCATATCTTCACGTCTTTGCTCAGATTCTCGGCTCAGCAGCTTTGGTTGGAGTCTTGTCTTGAATTCATGCTGACAATCTTCCAGCTGTTGTTTCAAGTCTTCATTCCGGCGTGATAGCCGCTGAATCTCCAATGCTTCCTGCCCTTTGGACAAAGTTTTTGTCTCCTTTGTCTCCTTTGTACTGTCTGACGGACCAGACGGACCTAAAGAGCTCAGATGACAATCTGACGCAGAGGATGGGTCCAAAAAATGGTCGATGTCATGACAAACCTCTTCAAGGCGCGACTTAGCGCCGGCCTCCCACATGGCAGGTCCGAGGCAATTTTTTGCCCAAGCCTGTTTATGGTTAGTTGTTCGTGTTTAATTTATTTCTTGTATTCATGTTTCTTTCAGGGTCTGCACTGATCGGTCAGACTTGGTAATAAATGACCTGCTGTTGCTTTTGAACCACACACACCACAGAAAATCCAAAACACGTCATTTTTGTGGCCACAATGAATGACAAACATCCTGAGAGCAAGCACAAATTGCAATAAGCTGCAATGAATTGCAAACCAAATTCCATACAAAATACTGTATGAATGCATACTGAATTGCATACACGGCGCTTTATGTGTATTCACATACGTTTCCCATATGGCCTCTTCGCATTGGTTGCGTCCATTGCAATCTTTCGAGCACCTGTCCATGTCTACGGGTGCAGCATGGTGCAGCAATTGTATCAAAAACACGGGATTTCCTCAGCGTAAACAATCTGCAAAATCTTGAACAGTGAAATAAGAACCTCAGACCCTGGCCTCACCAACCAACCATTCAACTCATTGTTTGCGGCCTGAGACAAGCAAAGGAAACACAAAACCATCTACCACCTGCAAACCGCAAACGGATTGCAACATGTTTTGTTTACAACCTGTTTACCATGTGTGTTTTCATTTTTTTCTAAATTTTTCTCGGATCCCCACTGTCACTACAGCAAGAGCTGCCAGTCTTCGGGCAACTCTGGGCCACACCATTCCGCACCTGAAAGCAGCAGACTCTCCAAAGCAGAACCAAAACAATATACAAAAAATATATTTATATAATTATACATACACGAAACAATGTACACTATTTCCAGCATGAGATTATATAATGAGATGCGATTTAATCTTGGGGATATCTTGGGGCCACAGTCACATAAAATGGAAACCACCTGTTGTTTTAAGTTGTGATCTGATCTGTACCAAGTCCATCCTGAATTTTCATTTCCAACAATTTGGTTCGAAGTGGTTTTGAGGGAAATTAAGATGCTGCACGCGATTGGAAACTGTTGGACGGCATTTCTGAGGTCAAGACTGTCACCTTGGCACCTTGTCGCCCCTTGACGTGCTTCCCAAGCCAAAACACGCACAACAAGACCCATCTGGCCAGTGTATCCACTGTATCCGCATGTAATGTGGATCATGCAATGGAAAATCCATGAAAATTGTGTTGCGCACGTACAACACGATGAAGAGGAACAAAAGGAACGGGAAGAGGAGGGAAGGTAGGAGGAACATCAGCCAAAAGAAGGAGCAGTCACACGGTGAAAAAATCATGCCAGGACTTTTGTGCTGAAATGGCCTGGACTGGACCCAAAATTATCGACGGAATTATCAAATTGCAAGTGCCCAACACTGATGCAGGTCGCAACAGTAATCAACCAGAACGGTTTTGTTGTTTGAAAAATTCAAGTGTTTTGTTTCAAAAAAAATGACGCGCAAACAAAACCCATACTGCAGCAAATATCGCAACTCTCATGGCAGGCCATTGGTCAGGAGATTGCAAACCCGGATATGTCGAAGCAACCACAAAATTAAGAAATATCAACGAACTATTTCAAAACCACAACACATGTTCAAAATGTTATGTCCGGTTTTTCCATCATGAGGCAATCGGCAACACAAACATGGGAATTGAAAATGACATGTGGGCAAATGTTTGGCGCCTTCAAGGTCATGTTATTCTGTTCTACATAACAAAAATGATAACATCATCGCGTGCGATTTTAAAGTGGGATTTGCCTTCTGTCATTGTAGCGCAACAACTAACAAGTAAACACAGAACAATTGCATGATGGTGCTGAGGATTCCATGTTTCCGGTGTGGGTGGAAACAAACATTCCGCGGAAATCAAAAAAAAAACATCAGAACAACTGGCAAATGCCGAACATGCACAACACCGCGCACATGCCATCCTGAGTTTTTTCCTTGATGCAAAAGCAGCATCTGCAAACACACTTCTCGATTTGTGCGTTGCGCACCTGCAAGACAACTCAATGCAACAACTGAATATACGCTATCGGAGCTAGAATTACACAAGCGGAAATGATCTTCACCCCGCCTCGATGCACCTTTTGGTAAGCACCGAAAAAATTCAAAAAAACTGTCAAAAGTTGCAAGTAGAATTCTGGCACTGGGGGTTCGCTTTCAAATGCCAGTACATGCTATGTTTCTTTGAAGCCAATCCGCCGCAACAACCTGAAACACTCTAATTTCCTCTAAACTAAATGTCTACTGTTATCTGTTCGGCCAACAGAGACCCAAATTAACCTCTGGCTAAGGCCCAAGCAAAGCTAGACTTGATCCAGCTCTCATGGCTGTATGAAAACTTTCGTTGCAAACTGACATATTTTTTAAGGATTGCATCAACTTCCGTGTGCACTGCTGCTTTCGTTCTCATCTGAACTCGGTCCGCCATCTCCATGATGGAGATATGTCCACAAGTCAGGGTCGGACACTTCACTTTGAGTTGATCAAAAGTATCCCTCCATTTGGGATCGTGTTCCCCCAACGCCAGCGTCAGAGTCTGAATGGGGTTCTGGCGGAAATGCTGCACCGCGTCCCAAGGCATTCGCAACCATGTCGACATTTGTGCTGAACCCTGTGCTCGAAGTTGATCCAGTTTCCAAGGAATGGATTTCCTTTTTCTCTCCTTTCATTATCTTGGTCGAGTGCCCGAATTCAAGTCAAGGCGGATGATTCCGGCTGCTCCATCCGTTCTAATCCATAGAACCGAAGCGCCTTCACTTTCATCCCCCCTAGGTGTGGGTGGGTGGGAGACCTTTGAAAGGCCCCCCCATTCAGCCAGCAGGTCCTGGTCATCGAGGAATTCAGACCCCACTGATCTCAGGTAACTGAGCGAAATACTTTCAATCGGATATCCCTATATAGGTGAAATACTTTCACCTCAAACTCAAAGGTTGTGTCCCTATTCAAATAGGTGGGATAGGGAAATACATTCCTTTAACACATCAAGTCCCCCTCCGGTGAAATATATTCACCAGAGGCAAATCAGGACCAACGAAAACATTCCCACAAGGTAAACCTAAACTCAAACCAAAGACATCTGAGGTTTCGAGAATAACGTGGTGTGTCGTCGCGACGAGGCTACGGGGAAATACATTCCCCTATAGGGCTTACGACTCCCCATATCCAGAGGTGCCGTTAAATACATTAACAGCACCTCAGACGAACGTGCGTACCTACCTACCTAGCTGTCCCACTGTGATAGACACGTCCACCCCGCGTTACACCTAGTTGGTACGTCCTACTTTGTTATACGCCTAATTAAATCTTAATCCCAAGTAATACATACCCGTTAATAGGTGCAATCCCTCGGACTTGATATTTCAATCTCCTTTTTCTCTCCTGTCATTATTTTGGTCGAGTGCCCGAATTCAAGTCAAGGCGAATGACTCCGGCTGCTCCATCCGTTCTATTCCATACAACCGAAGCGCCTTCACTTTCATCCCCCATCAACGACGACTTCGGGTCACCACGGACTGATCAAGCTGGCATCTTTGAGCTTCAGGAGTGATTTGATCAGCCCTTCTTTCCTCTTCTTCTTTCTGAGCTCCTTGACTTCGTCAAAGAGCTCTCCTCCCAACTCCAGCAATTCTTTGAATTGATCCTCCAGTAGTTCCTCTGGTTTCACCCCGACCCTCACTCAAGTCCATGTCGAATCCGCTGTAGTCCCCATTGGTAAGGACGTCAGCTTCTCGGTTTTGTAAGCGGGGCAATCAATCCAACCTGAGTTCCAAATCCTGGCGATGAAGTGTCCACGCCAGCTGCATGAGCACCACGCAGAGGCAACTTCGTCGTGAGGAGGCGTGTCACCAGGCGACGGGGACACATGGAACCGTTTGGTACTCCCAGCTTCTGGCGGGAAGGCCACAATTGCCGCCAATGTACCTAGCAGCTCAAGCGATGCGATGGCCCAAGCCAATATATAGCTTCATTCTATCAGGCGAGTCACTGCAGCACCATCCTCCCAAGACCGCCGTCTCGCCTTCTGCCTTCGTGTCAGACCTGAAGGCATGATCCCCTTCTTCAGTGAGTGGCAGCCTCACCTTTGTCAGTGCGTTCTCTTCTTCAAGAAGGTGAGTATGAGAAGGACCGCTGCCGGAGCTTGCAAGGTGTTGCAATGGTCCACCGCCGTGATCCAGCTGCACAGGGGTGCTAACAAAGGCTTCAAGTGCGTGAAGGCCGACATCATGAAGGCCAGCCTGCCCAATGCTGACCTGAACTCGCCCACCCGCACAACCTTGTTGGACACAGTCTTCTCCAGCCAATCTCGCGCCCACCTGAGCCTCTTTTCCCCCATGCCCCGTTCACTCGTAGCTGCGCTGATCTGGAACCCTATCCACTCACAGCACGTTCCTGCTTGGAACTTACGCCACGAAAATGGCGTGTCCACCAACAATAGGGATAATAACGTGAGCCAAATTGCTGCCAGTCCTCCTCCCAGTCGATTGGCGACGAACAACAAACTGTCAACGTATCACGCCTTGCAAGCAACGACTGGGCACACCTCGTTATCGCAACAACCAACCGGGTGGAGTGATAGCTTGCAGCCAACTTGCAGACGTCACTCCGAACGTCCCCACCGTGTTGAGCCACACCTTGCTGCTTGGTTCTCAGTGACAAGGTAGACAGTCTGAAAAGCTAGGAATTCAGCAGCTTGACTCGCGACCCAGCGAAAGAGACTGTGCCAATTGGGTCCCGGTGCAACTTCAATGCCGTTCTCTACTTTAATCTCATAATCGTGCCTATCTGGTTCGCCAGACTTTTTGCGGGGATCTCCAAACCGCCATTGGTGATGGACAGTCTGATTCAAGCCATACTCAGTTGAGATATCTTTATATAAGCCCAGTGCTTCCAATAGGTCATCGAACTGCGCATTAGGGTCAGGTTCAAACCATGTCTGCTCGGCTTGCTGTCTAGTAAGGAGTACCATGAAAACGTGGTGTAGAGCAAAGCCCCGGACCAGTCTGCGGCCAGAGACAGTGCTTGATTTCAATAAAGAATGTAGAACTAGGGGGCCAGCAAAGTGATACCCTAGACCAGTCTGCGGCCAGAGGTACCACGCTGGAGTGAATGTTATAAAAGAAGGCAAGACCGGGATAACAAAGGAACAAGAGGAAAGAAGGGAGGAGATGAGGGTGGAGCTGGAAATCCGGACCAGTCTGCGGCCAGAAAGACCAGGCACAACACCCGAGGGAAACGAGAGACAAGAAAAGAGCAAGGACAAGAGGAAGGGCAAGAGAAAAGACAAACCGGACCAGAAAAGAGACGAGAGCAAGGGAAAAGAAAACGAGAAACAAAGACAGGAGAGACCCACGAGCACAAACAAACCAAGAAAGAAGAAACAAAGCACAACAAAGCCAAGGGAAGAGAGGAGAGGAACGAGGAAGGAAAGGTGGAGCCAAAAACAGTCACACCTTCAGTACCAAATTGACTTAGCCAGGGGAGTTGGGAAAGGTCACGAGGATCAGGGGGCAACAGTGGATAGTTGGGGTGGAGAGGTACTGACAGTCCGGACCAGTCTGCGGCCAGAAAAGCCAGGTACCAAGGAACGAAGAGAAAAACCAGGAGACCAAAACACGAGACAGGACAGGAAACAGGGGAACGTTAATCCAGCGAAACGACAGTGACAAGTGAGGAAAGAGAGAGAGGCAACCAGTAAGGGATTAAAGGGGGCAACTTGCCTGAGATGGCGTACTAACCCGAGCTCCAATCTAAGGGCTGGACGGCCAGCTAGAGTCAATGGTTTGAGCCACAGTCGGCAACGCCAGATGGAACATCAAGTGAGAAACTCATGTACTGGTTGCTATATCCTGCCTTATATGCATTCATTTGCCTTGGGGTAAATGCATCCTTCGGGGACATATACTTCATAGTAACCTAGACCTAAGTATTAGTGCATCCATGTCTCACTACCGTCGTCTAGCTGATGACTCAGACGACCCGAAAGGAGAGATGGCATTATGATTTAGCAACAGGTCAGTCCCAGCATCTGGTATTTCGTTTCCTGTCTCGCCACTTGCTGCAAAATTCTAGGTGGATGGTCATTACTGTACAAGAAACAAAGTGGGACGCAGAGAGAGAAAAAGCATGTATTAACACTTACGCTCATGCTAGTGCGTCGCAAATCTGCTTGCAAAACCTCTGCGGGCAGCAGCAAAATTCTCCGATGGCTGACCCCACTTTTGGGTCCAAATCTGGACCCCAAAACGGGGCCCAAGCAAAGACCTAAAAGAAGGAATGAAAATGTGATCCAATTCTGGACCCCATTTTGGGGTCCATATTTGGACCCAAAAATGGGGTCAGCCATCGGAGAATTTCGCTGCTGCCCGCACATGTTGTGCAAGCAGATTTGCGACCCTGCAGCTTGAACATGAATGTCAACTCATACCTTTTTCTCTTTGTGCGTCCCAAGTCCGGTTGCTACTGTCAAGGTCCCTTTATCGCAGCCATGTTTTGACCACTTTTTTGGGCCCTGTTTTAGGGGCCATGATGAAGCAGGTTTGTTGGCATTCGAGGCGCTCCAAGGCTTACCGAGGCCTGCCCGAGGCACGAGGACAAAGCGAGGCTCACGGGGACTCGAATCTATATACTATGGGGGTACGCCCATGCGTCACCGCAAAACTGCCTGTTTTGGGGCCCTGGTTTTGGAACCTCATTTTGCTCAATCTTGCGGCCGCTTCTTGCTACTTACATGGGGGAAGGTTTTGGCAGCAGCAGGTTCCGAGTCCTTTATGGTGGAGAAATCTATTGCAGGTTCTGGTGCGCGAGCTGAACCACTTCAAGCAGCAGCGCAAAGCGTTGCGACAGGCATCTCAACTGTGTTGCTTTGGCTTGCAGATGCAATTCGTCACTGTTTTCTGATGTTGGCCCTCTTGAGACCATCGCGGAGAACAAGACAGAACAGAAATCGGCAGCAAAGCGCCGCCAGCGGTTGCTAAAAGCACCCCAGCAGCCGCCAAGCTAGGATGTGCGTTTTCCCACAGCGCGGAGCGTATAGTTGATGAACTTGGACTACTATACCCTGAAAACCGTGGAAATTTGCGGAAAAACATGGCCAGCGTATAGCGTATAGTTGGTTCAATTCGATAAAAAACCTTACTAAAAAAAAACTTTCTTAGAATGTGAGCTGACCGGCCAAAATGGATCTCACGCCACAGCGCGGAGCGTTTAGTAGGGTACTAAACCGTCTGGCCCGCAACACCAAAATTGTGTTCTCGCCACAGCGCGGTGGGTTTAGTTTGGCTCTTTGTTTGCACGATTATTTTAGAGATTCAATTTTTTGCGTGACGGGCGCAGCACTTGAGAACCCCCGTACGGCCATCTGAAAGGTTGAAGCGCGGCTGGATACTTTTATTTGACGCCTCCACATGGAGCAGTGGAAAGGTGGAAGCCGATGGTGCCAAGCACACACTGCCCTGTGGGTAGATCTCCTTCATTGGGGCCCAGATGAAAGATTTCCCTCATTTGCAGAGGAAACCAACAAAGCTATATTTAGTTGCTTGCCCCGTCCATGGAACAAAGCTGAAAAAATTGCAGTAGTGAACTCTTTCTCATCAATGTGGTTGGAAATCAACAGCGCTCTTGCAGCAGAAGGACAGCGCCCATCACAGTGGCAAGCCCAACCTGAAGCCTCCACCAAGAAAGATAAACGCGATCTTTGACCCTCAGCTATGATTGCTGTAGCTCCCCTTGTTTCTTCACTGGAAGATTGGACTATCTACACACACACCGAAAGCCGGTGTGACGCTCGGAGATTTACAGATGCTTCAAAAGCGGCTTGTGGTGTTCAGATTTACAGTTCCTGTGGAGAATCCCGACATCGGCATTCCTGCAAAGGGGAATCGTCGATGTTTGCGCTTCCAGACTCCAGACTTGCAGTTGCAAATCCAAGATGAGGATTTGACGTACTGTTGCGTTGAAAGCTTGCTGCTTAAACAAAACCCAACTTTGATTTATTTGCGTAATGTAAAGAGCTTCGTGTTTCGAGCAGGTCGCAAGGTTCCACGGTTCCACACTGCCAAAAATGGGATTGCCACGCGCTACCACTTTTCGCTTTGGACAGGGCCATTTCGAGGCTGTTTTCAATTTCTTTTTTAATAGCAGGCGAGACCAAAAATGGGCGCGCCAAATCCACGCGTTGGAGCGTGTGGCAATCCTGTTTTTGGGGTTGCGACATGACGCTCGGAACGCACCCAGCTGCTGCAAAAGTTCGCCAGAAACCATGAAACCACAAAAGGCCGGAAGGATGACACAGACATCCACGTGCTGAACTGGGGAGGACCACTTCTTGGAGTCCAAAAAGCCAATGTGTTTACGGCCCCGAAAATGAGATTGCTGCAGTGACCTTTTTTGCGAAAAATGGCGCAGCTTTAACAAAAAGCAATACTCTTGCAAGTGTAACGGAATGGCAGGATTCCGGGGAACACGGTTGCTGATTGAAGGTCTCTAGCCCTGCCTGCATGTTGCCAATCTTCGCCAAAGCACTATGTTGTTTGGACTTGTTTGGGTGTTGTTGTCGCAGGCTTTCGCAACATGGCGTCGGTGAGGTGCTGATTCCGCTGCGACATTGCTGGCGGGATGCTTTGGCGTCGCACTGCTCAGTTTTGTTTTGGTCTCTTGATGAGTTGTTTGTTTTTGGGCTCCCCCCCTTTGCCCCCCTAGACTCCTAACGCGGCAACTTTGCGGGTCGGGTTGTGCATGTCGCCCGGAGTTCAGTATCATCCGGTTAAAGAATAATAGTATATATTTAAAACCGGATGAATCCTTTGTTTACATTGGGGGAAGAGTTTCGATTTCATGACTCCAGCAGATTCCGTAAGAAGGCTAGAGATGCAAAACTTCGGTTTTACCACAGTTTTGTGCCAGTTTTGATGTCTTTAGCTGCGGAGTCTTGCCGGAGTCGGGCGGAGTCGGTACACCTGCTGAAACCCTATTTACAATGGGGAAAGGGTTGAAAGAGTTCCAACTTTGTGACTCCAGACGACTCCGCAAGAAATTGCAAGATGCGCAAGATGATGTCACTGAACTGTTTGATTTGTTTGATGCCCATTTTTGGGCTTGGAAGGTATATAGAATTTGGACTCCCAAAGGCGGTCCTCCCCAGTATGTTAAAATCCCCGCGCCCCATCTTCAATGTTGGACGCAGGCTTAAATGTTGCAGTTTCACCTTTTGAACTGATAGCCATCAAAAAGAAATTTCACCCTTCTGTCTCACGGCGGTAGTTTCTCACCACTTTGTTGTGACCCGGCGTTGTCGGTGTTTGCTTCAAAGTGTCAGGGTGAATGTCATGCCATGAT